CTCCTCCTTTTCTAAGATCGGATCTACAACCCTATCTAGTGCCTCCTTAAGTACTTTACGTTTATAATCGTTATCGCACTAATTAAGGAACGTCTATATAATAGCCTCGGAGTTTACTTTAAACCCCTCCTACTTCCTACCTCCCCTTAGGATAGYAGTCTCCTCTAACTAGTAGTCTAGCATCTTACGTAACTATTTAATAAGGTTCTCGTAGGCAATCTAGTGCTCTAGCCGTTAGACCTCTAGTATAAAGCGGTAAGAGCTAGGCCGGCCGGTCGCGAACCTAATATCCTTTAGAATATTAGTATATAGTTCCCGAGTTACTAGTAGCAAATATTTATTAGGATCTAAAGTTATTAGCAAAATAAGAATATAATAACTATATAAACGGCGTCCGCCTATATAAACGCACCCTATATAGAACAGGCATYWACTAGGCTATTAATATACTYCTYGTCGATAGYATGCCTAACACTTTTACGCCCCTAGGCCTTAGCGAAATAATATCGATAGTAAGGGATCCTAGGTATTATATARGGTCGGTTCGGTTGCTTCCGGATCGRATRTAGGTTCTACGTCTATATAAACGAAGCTATCTCCTCTCGYATAATCGGCGTRTAGATRTACTTTATTRCTACGCGATCGGACCGCTTTAATTTATAGAACTAGCCGGATTTCTTGTATTTCGTAAAGAAGACCTATAGTAGCAAGCGTTAAGTTCGTGTACCTAAGGCTTAGTATAATACGAAGCAGAAGTCGCGCTATAGGAAGTAGGTAGTTTAGACTTATATRCTACTTCTTTATCCGCCCTCGGGTAAGCTAGCCCTACTAGGCCTTAACTCGAAYGTTACGAGTACTTAAACCGAAAATAAAACAGTTCCGGAAGCGYACTTTATACTAACGGGTCCTCTTCGCGTGTTCGTATTACGCCTATATAAGGARTATAGTCTCCTTCCCCTTATCTRTRCGAATCTTACGAGGTACTCGTTTATATTTCTTAGCGGCGTAAGCGAAACTAGAYAAGACAGACACTATTATACGGGCGGAAGGACCTAAATACTAGTATAAAACGTATCTTATATCGGCGTTAATAGTAGCGTAGATTTAAAATCTATAGTCCTCTAGCTTATAGTAAGCATCTATACTCTAATAATAGTCCGGCCTAGGCGTAGTATAGATACCTCGACGGCGCGTAAATCGAGAGGATCTATTATACKCYCCTACTAGGTAGACCTTACGGACTAGTTCGTATAAGCGGCGCCTACGGACTTTGTTAGCTATTACTATATATAGGAGTAGTAGTGTAATCCGAAACTATAAGGCGTACTATTATACCCACCTACTAAGCGTAATCCTTATACGGTCGGTTGTACGGAAGTGTGTTTATAGGAGAACCTTACTATACGTATCGATCTTAGAGCGATTAAGCTCCTTTACGACGAGATTAAGGAACTCGTTCTTACGCTCCGTAAACTCTATATTACGGATGCGTAACTTAAGGCCGAGCTACCGACGTAGCCGTATAAAGATAGTATGTTTAATATCGTAACCGTCCTTCTTTAATTCGTCTATAATAAACGGATCTAGTAACGCTTAGAGGTAAAAGAGGTCGGCAATCCGGATATAGAGGGAGAGGTCGTTACGAAGGTCGGCGATTAGGGACTAGCGGCGATTCCTACTATTAAGCGATACGATTATACGGATCGTACGTTCGGAGGCGACGACGTTTTACGTCTCGAGGTATACCTATATCTCCGTAATGCTTATAGTATCGTTCTATAGCTTAATAACCTTAGGTCGGAGCTCCGCTAAAATATTAGGTAGACGTCCTATAGTTATATATAATAATAGCGCTAGCCGTATAATAGGTAGAATAGAAGGGGGAAGATATAGAAGGTAATAAGCAAGTAGCGTTATAGTAGAAACCTCGGTAAAAATAGGACCGGGTTAGGGTTAGGGTAGCGTCTTCTCGATAGTAGGATAGTAGACTACGGCATATTCGACTATAGCAAATAATAGTAGTATAATTATATAGAGCGAAGGGATATTTATAGGTAAAAAGGTCGTAAAGAAGGATTTAGATGCAATTTAAAGATATTTAGAGGTTCTAAAAGTTAAGAAAACTAAAAATAAAAATCCACTATATATTTAAACTTATTTAACGCACTATCGCTCGTATTAAACCCCCCGTACAAAGTAGAGAGAGAAGGTCGTAGCACTTGTTTAAGACCTATTTATCCGATCTAGGGTGTACTTATTACCCTTACTAAAGACATTCCGATACACGTAATTTCCGTAGGCATCGTTCTTACTGCCCTTCGCGACTACGCACTCCTACTATTATTAGCCTCTGCTACTATTATATTAGCTACTCGTAATAAGACATACCTTAAACGGGCCCTTCTACTAGATATATAGGCCGTATCGCTCGTTATTTCTACCCCTCGTCCGATTGTTATACTAGTTAACTCCGCTATAGTACTATTAGCTGCCGGCATTAATTCTAGGAGCTATTATACTAACCGGCTCTAGATAAGGAGAGTAGCTGTTATAGTCTAGTCGAACTTTATCGGGGGGAAGTCGGGGGTACGGTAGAGGAAGAGGGAGCCTTTAGCCTTATCTATTAGCTTGCTAGCTATAAGGTCGAACTAGAAGCCGGCTACTTAGAGCTAGTTTGTACTAGTTAGTCTCGTAGTCCTAAGCGCTATTATCTAACCTTTTACCTCTTACCTTATCGCTACGAACGTCGATCTAGCGCTATAGCTCTAGGCTAGCTAGGCTAGCGTCGACAGATTTAGGCATATAGGGAGCTATTTAGTAGTAATTCCGCTTTATACTAGGAGATAGGGAGGAGGTTAGAGGGTATAGTAAGGTGTAGGAGTATTAAAGAATATATTAGATATTAAAGTAAGGTAGATCGTGTTTAAAGATAAAGAAGGAATATAAGTAGTAGTCTTATACTCCTCGTAGGCATTACCCGCACGCGTATAAAATTATACGAATTACTTATCGGGTGTACTCTACGCTCCCCGGGTCCTATTATTACTACGTATTCGGCAGATAACCTAAATATATGCGATTATCGTTAGTATTCGGTTACGAAGTAATAATAGTAAGGTAATTATTCCCCTACGGGAAATATATGTATAATAGACATAGGGAAAGGCTTTATACTTTTAGGATCCGTAGAGCTAATCCTTAAAATATTTTAAAATATTGCCTATTTAGGAAGGAGGTTTTTAATATTAAGGATTAGCTATATTATAAACGTCTTAAGTACGATAACTCTCTCTACTAATTGTACGGTAGAGATACGTAGAGAGAAAGTAAGGACACCTAGATATATATTTTAGATTAATAATTAGAAAATGCCGATCTTAGAAGGAGGAATAAGGAGCTAAATTAAAATTACATTTCTCTTGAATTACGCTCTATAAACCCTAACCGCTACTAAGATACTATTATATAGTCCGCCGGAGAAGGTAGTCTCTACTTTCTACCTCCTCTAGTACTCTTCCGTACTCTCTTCTTAGGCTCTACCTCGGGCTTAATATAATACTCTACTATCCTAGCCGTACGCGCTAGCGCCGATATGCTTCTCGTTCTAGTCTTGCTAAGGATTATACTTAGTAGCTTCTCCACCTCCTCCTCTATTAACGAGTCTAAATACTCGTTCTAGATATTATAACTACATTCGGTCGCCTAATCTTAAAACTTGCAATTTCCGCAACAATTATAGAAGTAATTACGCTAGATTATATAGTGCTGCCTCTGTTAGTATATAGCATCTTTATACGGGAGAATAATAGAGGTCTCGTATCTAGAACGGGCCCTTACCCGCTAGGTACCGGGTGCATAGCCCGCTAGTAGTAGGGTGTACGCTAGCACCTATAACGCTACCGCTACGAATCTATTAGTAAGGATGCTTAGACCTTAACTAGAAATAATTGTACTAACCGGCTCTAGATAAGTAGAGAGGTTATATGTAACTAACGATACTTAATACGCTTAGCTAGGTCCTACGTAGGATCCCTTATCGAAAACCGGTAGCTAGCCTTGTCGTCTATCTCGTCTTAGAGGAGTAGGGTAAAGAGAAGGCTAGCATCTCGGAGCTATTTTGTACTAGTTAGTCTAAATGTCCTAAAGATATTGTCTAGCGTTTTAACTCTTACTTTAGTTCTACGGTAGTCGACTCTACGCCTTCCTACTTTATCGACACTAAGGTTAAGTAACTATAGCCGGAACGGTATAGTCGTTATCGTAGTAGTCGCGCTTTATACGGGGAGGGGCAGAGGAGGGAAGAGGTATTAATATAGTAAAAGGATGTTAATTGCTATGTTTAATACCGTGGAATATTAGTAAAGGTATAAGGAAAAGGAATTTAAAAGAGAGTACTGTTTTGTAGTTACTACTATAAAGCTCTGTCTAGTACATATATAATAGCACCTAATACTACTTATACCGGTCGGAAGTAAGTAATACGTAATACACGTGCTCGCTCCCTAGTAGGTGTTATTACTTAGAAGAGAACATATAAAGTAAATAAAACGGGGACTTAGCTATTTTATAAATATCTTATACTTTCTCCTTACGGAGTATACGTATAATAGTAAAAGGGAATAATAGCATACTCGAGGAATACGAGAAGCGGAATAGCGATATAGTCTTATTTTCGAAAATAAGCAAAGTAAATATAAAGTATAGAAAAAGAGACACCTGCATTCTACCAAAATAAAACCCTTCTCTCTATAAATAGTAGCCGTATAATAGTACTAGAGAAAGGGTATATACTCCGATTATTAATTTAGTTCTATAAAGGAAATAGAATATCTTATAAAAGGAAAAGGGGAGAGAGAAAGAAATAATAAGCTCTAGAGCTAGCTCTATACCTACCTCTAAAACTACTTTAGTACTATTATACTACCTAGAGGAGAAGACAGCCTCTACTATTTGCCTTTTCCCTTACTACGGCTCGCCTCCTTCGCACTTGCCTTACGGGGGAATCTTATGCCCTTATACTAAGGATCTACCGCATTGCCTACTATATTAGGGTTATTACTAGCATTCTCGCTCTATTTATACTTAAGGATACGGTCGTTTAAGGTATTTACGGAGCATAAGTTCTTCTTACTATTCTAGATGCAATTTCTATAGGCACCCTCTATTATATACTCCTATTTTACATATTCCTACTATTATTAGCTTTAAATATCTTTATATAGGAGGAAGGCGGAGAAAGAGTACCTTCTAAGGGCCTCTACCCTCTTTTCGCTTATTCTTATTTAGGATCGGCCGGCCTTAGTAGGCGGTATATTCCTAGTTAATAATATTACCGCTACGAATCTATTAGTAAGGATGCTCGGATCTTAATTAGAAGTAATTGTACTAACCGGCTTTAGATAATTATCGAGTCTATAGTGTTCTTACGGTCTCTAAGCATTATCTACTTCGCCGGGTTCTAGGTCTTCTTAATTTTCGGAGCGTAGCTACTCTCCGCATCGATTATCTCCGCCTATTCCTTAGTAATATAGAGGCTACTAGTCTTAAGCTAGATTGTACTAGTTAGTCTCGTCTAGGTAAGGCGATTATCTTTACTTATATTGCCGTCGTTAACTATAAGGCATAGATTACTATTATCGTCCGACGAGTAGTATATATCTAATAGGTCGACGTCGCCTATACCGAAGCGGCGAACTTCCTTCTCGGTTATTATACGGAGAGGTAGAATAGAGTAAAGAGGGGAGGATAGGTAGTAAGAGTGCTAATTAGAGTATTAAATGTAGTAGTTATTAGGAGGACTAGGGGAGACGGTAGAAGGGTAGAGGGAAGAGTCTTATAGCACATAAATATTACTCTTACGCGTATAATAAGTTACTAGTAGAAGCATATGCATAATAGCAGTATTAAAGTAAGATATAGGTAACCGAAACCCGTTATATATTAGGACCGGTAACTAAGTAATAACGGGACGGTAATATCATACACACATAAGCAAATAACGACGTTTATTACATGTAATTGTACGGGCAATTAAATTAATAAGCGAGGTGTGAAATTACTCCACTTGGTGGCGTTAAGCTATATTAGATCGCGTTGTTGCAGGGAAGTCGCTAAAAGTCCACCGTAATCTGATCCGAGCCCCGACGAAAATCCATCCAAGTTGAACTTGTCAAAAAATCCGACGAGCTTGCGACAACATAACCATTGCACACTCACAAACACAATGTCGACCGATCTCAAAAGTAAAAAGCGCAAGTCTGGTGATGATGTTGTCACAAAGGCCAAGAAAGTCAAGACTACCGTCCCCACCACCCGCGAGACGCGATCATCAGCAGAAAAGCCAGCTCCACTCAAATCTGCGCTGAAGAAGGACAACCCTTCCAAGTCAACCACCACAACCAAGCCCAAGCCCAAGGAGACTAAGAAGAGCGCAAAGGCCAGCAAGAAGCAAGAAATTGCCGACGCTGAAGAGCTCGAAGCCGCCTCCGACGCCGAAGATGGAGATGCTGAGCTCACTGCCAACCTCCTCGCCGGATTTTCCGACACAGAGGATGAAAACTCCGATGCAGACGGCGACGAGGATGCCATTGAGATCTCCAAGCTCCCAGCTCCACCCACCGCAGGCGAAGTTCAGAAGGCCATCTCCAAGATCGCCGCAGATAGTGCCTCAGACCCCGAGTCCACTCCCGGCGTAGTGTACATCTCACGCATCCCTCACGGTTTCTATGAGCCTCAAATGCAAGCCTACTTCTCTCAATTCGGCCCCATCWCCAACATCCGACTCGGACGCAACAAGAAGACGGGGAAATCGAAGCATTTCGCTTTCATTCAATTCGCGTCGGCGAGCGTGGCGGAGATTGTGGCCAAGACTATGGACAAGTATCTCTTGTTCGGACATTTGCTTCAGGCAAGAACAGTCCCTGCTGAGCAAGTGCAAGAGAATCTGTGGAAGGGCGGAAAGGGTGTCAAGGGAGGAAAGGCGAGACCGCGGAACAGGATTGAGGGGAGCAAGTTGAGGAAGGGAACTGATCGTGAAGGGTGGGAGAAGAGGATCGAGAAAGAGGAGAAGCGGAGAAGCGAGAAGGCGGACAAGCTGAAGGATATGGGCTACGAGTTTGAAATGCCCAGCGTCAAGGCTGTCGATACTGTTCCAGTGAAGGCAGTAAAGGATGCGGATGCTGCAGCTGGAAAGGATGCTGTGGTGGAAGAAACCGTGGTGGAGAAGATTGAGCCYAAGGGTGATGAGACGGTTGTCACTGTGGAGAAGACGACCAAGCGGAAGGGCAAGGGTGCGGCGGCCGCTACAACTACTGTCACGAAGAAGAGGAAGACGAAGGTGGCAGCTTGAATATAATCACGGATGAAAGCGCTCGGAGTCATTTTACCATCGTTGAAAGATATGGACAGCATTGCACGCCTATGGCGGGCTTTCTCGCCTCACTTCCGTCGCCCATTGCGTGAACTCTAGCATCATGCGTGATATCGTATGCGAGCCGTCTCGCCCATTCCATTTCGACTGACATTCCGACACCTCCCAAACGCCCACGCCATGCTCTGTAGACACAACACCCTTCAGTCCGATAACTACGCAGACCGACATTGAAGCACGCCGCTCGGCACCAGCTGAGCCTCCTTGACTGTGATACCAAAGTCCTGGTAGCTGAACACCTTGCGTGGAAACTTCRGCTCGAACGAAGTGACCTCCTCGCCGACGGCATCCTTAATAGCGGCGGCGACCTCGAACAATGTAGTCTCGGCTGGGAAGGTCTGCATGTGCGTGCCTCCGCTTGGTGTCATGAGCTTGAGCCGAGCCTCGGTGTGGTTGGTCTTCGGCTTTGGTGGAGGAGCTGCAGGTTCGGTGGGAGCGCCGGGGTTGTAGGCATCGGGGTTTGCACGCATGGCCCGGTCCTGTTCCTGCTTCGCCTTTCGCGCTGCCTTGTCTGCCTCAATCTTGTCCTTGATGCGCTTCTTCGCCGCGATGTCGTCCAACTTCTCCTGCTTCTTGGCCGCAGCCTCCTTGATCTGCTCCTTCCGTTGGAGAATCTCTTTGGTGTCGTCGTGTTCTTTGGTGTGCTTGCGACGGATCTCCTCGTTTCGCTTGTTGGCCAATTTGTCCTCATTCGCCTGACCCGCACGCTTTGCAGCGAGCTTCTCGCGCAGCTCCTGTAGACGCTGTGCCTTCTCTGCTTCGGTGAGTGGTGCGATTTCCTCACTCGACTCGGCGAAGTCAGTATGGCCAGACTTCTCGGCGTGGAAGCTCGCCTGGGCCATGCTGCGAAACTTCTTGTTGCACTCGTTGCAAATCATGCTCTTCGCCTGCTCGCCAACCTCAAGTGCAGGTGCTCCAGCTTCATCCTCGAAGCCGGCCTCGTCGGTGTTCATCTCCTCAATAGACTTGTTGGCGTTCTTGTCCAGCCAGTCAATTGCCCCAGTCAGATTGCCGCCTTTCTTGAGGGCCAGGGTGGACTTTTGCTTRTCGAAACCCATTTCGACGAGGGTATCAAGATCTCCCATGATGGCGGTCGTGACGGCTGTGGCGATGTGGAGAGGACGGACTGTGAGTTAATGTCGTGTACGTGGTGTGTGGAGAGCGAACGTGCTGATGAAGCTTGTATCCGCGTGTACAGAGGATGTTGTTGATGATGAGATGACAATGATGGAGTTGTGAGGTTGAAGGTGGATCTCCACTTGGATGTAGCATGTGAAGATGGTTCCTAGATAGACTGCCGGAATCTCCAAGCTTCTGTGAGTGGGGTGTGAAACTACATCATCGCGTGCTGGGGAAAACTAGCCCCTTCCCGTCACTCCCGCGCTTCCAAGATCGTGGACGGCCGGCCGGCTTCATCATCATCCACGAAACACCCCAGCAAACAATCCCTCCACCGTCCACCTCTGCACAAAGGCCCGCTCCACTCCACCTCCAGGATCCTGAAAGCACCTACCTGCCTGCGAGCACAACACGCACCCCGAAGCACATCATGTCGGTGGTAAGCTGCCAGAACTGCCTGATAACCTGTAGCTGCTCGCATGCTAACTTCCCCGACTAGGATCTCCAACCCCCAGAGCTTGGATTCAGGCGTAAGGACCACCGTGATAATCCTCAAACGGCTCAGACTATTGACAAAGCTTCGCAGGCCCGTTCACCCACGAAGTCAGCCAAGTGCTGCGCCTCGCCAATCCAAACTCCGRGCCAGTGGCCTTCAAGGTCAAGACTACCGCGCCCAAGCAGTATGTCTCTACCCAACCACCATCTGGAATCATCCTGAAGACTGACCTTTCGCCTCACAGGTATTGCGTGCGCCCCAACTCCGGTCGCATCGAGCCGGGCCAGCATGTCGAGGTGCAGGTGTTGCTGCAGGCGATGAAGGAGGACCCACCACCAGATGCGCGCTGCAGGGACAAGTTCTTGGTGCAGTCGGTCGCCATCAGCGCAGCTAGTGACGTTAGCAATGTCGCTCAGGTTTGGGCCAACATCGAGCAAACTGCCAAGAGCAGCATCCAAGAAAAGAAGATTCGTGTCTCTTTCCTGCCCGCCGACGGTAGCGATCCTTCCACAAACGGCATCGCCCACTCCCTCCACGAAGACGACCACCCACCGGCATACTCCTCACCAGCCCCAACTCCACAGCGATCGAGCGTCCTACCGCCTACCGACAACAGCAAGAGCCCCGAGGCGCCTACGGTTGCGCAATCCACCCTCAACACCGCAACTGCTGCTGTTTCCAGCGTGACTGGCTATAGCGAGCAGGACCTCAAGCGTCAACTCGAGGAGGCCAAGTCTACCATCTCTCGGTTACAGCAACAGGCCGCGGATGGATTGAGGCAGCGGAAGACTGGAGGGGCCGGAGCATCGGTTGAGAAGACGAACCCAGCGAGTCAGCAGACTGTCTCGCCCCCAGGCGGTGTCTCTGTTCAGATTGTCGCATTGTTGTGCTTGTTCAGCTTCTTGCTTGCATACATTTTCTTCTAGGCGCATGGTCAGGGTCGAGGGGAGATTAACTAATGTTCACGTTCTGCTTACTGCCTACAAAAGCAGGAAGCGCCGGCGAAGATTGATTCTGAGTGCGCGGTTCATAGCGTTATGAAAACAATTCTGTCACAGTCGATTGCGCATCATTGTCTATCGCGAGTGCCATCTCGCATCTGCTGTCTCCTGACTTGATCAACGACTGCAGTCGTGTCTGAGCTGGTGCTATAATGAAGTGTTCTTAGCTCCTCCATGTCAAGCGGCCAAGCCGCAAGAGACTGAGAGGCATCGCCACGAGAGTTCATCGCTCATATTCGTTGAAAATTGAAAAACCAAGTCCAAGCTAAACACCAATCTAATGTATGAGTTTCACACCAAGGCCAGAGACACACGATCCCAACTCTCGGACTACTTCTTCCCACCAGCGGCCTCTGCCTTCTTCTTCTCCTCGGCTATCCATGTCGGTTAGTCTTGCACAATCATCCCTTGGGGAGGATAAGGTACAACATACCAGCCGCCTGCTTCTTGCGCATAATAGCCGCAACATCGTCCTTATTGCGCATCATTTCGCTCCCGGACATTGAGTTTCCAGATTTCTTCTCGAACGTCAGTATGTCAATTATATTGCAAGTAAAAGAAAAGATGCTACATACAGCACCCGCCAATTTGGCCTGGTTCTTTTCCCGGGCCTTGTCACGCTGGTTTCCACGAGCCATTTTTGAAGTTTTTCTTTTGGGTGGTTTGAAAGTTTTCGGGTTGTTGCCGCGACGGTACGATCGAAACTTTTGTTGGGAGAGAGATCCGCAGTCGGGCAGGCAAGGTTTTTGAGTTATCCTGGAGGCCGATTTTTTGAGAGTAGGAGGTGAAGTGCTGGCGTCGAGATATTTTGAGAAGTGGCGGCATGCGCACGGGTAAATTATGCACGTGGCAGGTTGCTAGGCTAGGTAGGGTCTGGATTTAGACTTGATTGGGACCTGGTTGTTGGTTCATTTCTCTCTCCACTTTATATATACATCACGATGGAAGATTGGGTATGGTCTTTAGGTGGAGGTTCTACTTATAACAGGCGGAAGCTTTGGGGAAGAGATGTGGCATGCTCTACTCGAGCATGCGTCATTGAACCAGCTTGTATATCAATCGATAGGTCTATCAGATACAATCTAGGAAGATTTTTAGCATTTCAATCGCCCTATCTTGATCAAATGCTGGGTTGGGCGAAGGCATCTATGCTGGTCCACTCGTGTTCTTCCCGCCTCCGACACATTCCTTTTGAAGTAAGACTTCGCCTGCTATAAGCTTGTGATGGAAAACGATGATTCAAGTTTGGAAATCAACATGCGATTGTTTGACATCTACCGCTACACTTACAACTACAAAGAAACGAAGTCCAACGCAACATGTGGAAGCCCGGACGGTTTGAAGTCATTTAAGAACATTTTTTACTACWCCAACTCTTACCCTAGTGTTGGTAGCCACTTTTCAGGCTACTAGGGAGACCATATCGTGTAATAATGTCCCGAGAGCTCAGTCACATCATATTTGTCAAATGCCATAGCAATGAAGATTAAGCTCGGCATGGCGAAATGGCCCATGCTCTGGAGAGCATGTTCTGAATGAAATTGACTGCGGCGAGCCCGTGAGGTGCTCGAACTGGAGAAAAGACTGAGAGACGGGATAAGATAGATCTTCTACCTACCTGCAAGTCCCGATGGTAATGATCACTCAGAAACCGAAGCATCCTCCACATGCGGCTGGTTACCCCAGTCCTGCTCTTCATCAGCGTGCTCAACACCCTGGTTGGCGACGACAGCTTCCAGTAGCTCAGGCGGCATCAATCGTGGATTGATTGCTAGTCTGTCCAAGATTCCCGTCTGTGTGATGGCACCGCCTCCAAGAAGGTTGTTCTGGATATGCGTCATCCTCTGCACATGCTCATTGAAGACTGCAGGGTCAACATCAGAATCCTCGACTTGCTGCCTAAGCTCCTCGAGAGACGTCGGCGCGCCCTCGCGATCATCAGCAGCGCCATCTCCGGGCTGTGGGTTGTACCACGGGAATAGCTGGTCGAAGAAGGCGTGGATGTCTCGGATCTCCGCGACATACCGAGCCATCTCTGCACTGGACATGCGTGCTAAGCCAGGTGCTGTACGGCTCGTCGAGCTGGCAGATGAGTAAGAGCTGATGCTGTCGTTTGGAGGAAGCGGATCTGAAGAGCTGTCAAGTTTCGCCGTCCAATGCCGTGGCACCAGCGCGATGAGTGCAGGTGTGTCGGAGAGGAGCACATGGCGAGCCTCATCTTTGCTGATATCCGTTCGGTTGATTTCCGCCTGTGGTGCCTCTGGCTGAACAGCGCTTGCCACTTCCATCAGTAGAGCTGAGATTTCAGGAGTGTTCCATAGGTCTTTGGCTCTGGTAGCGTATAGTTCAGAGTAGAGCCTTTCTTTTTCTGACCTTGGCTCCTTTCCCCACACGCCAGGAGGTGCATCGAGTGTCAATTCTTGTAAAAGTCGAGCAACAACCCAAGGGAACCTGCCGATTGCAGTATAGAGCAGCTGCTTGCCTTTACCTTTGTTGCCTGCGCGAAACTCCGCAAGGGCCTGACTGAGTTGCACGTTTGGCATATCGCGGTGAATACGCTTGAGAGCTGCACTTCTGCTGATGTTCAAGTAATCAAGGTCCTGTCGCGATCGTAGAGCGTATTGGTCAAGAACCAACCAAAGTGCATACGGATCGCTTTCAGGGGACAAGGAGATGAGCAACTTGGTCCACTCGTAGACGGTCCTCCACGTAGCACGCATTGTCAGGTTTTGACTGTAGCGCCATGTGGCCAGCCAGAACTCGCGGTTCTCCGGTCGTCGAAAGTCGAGCCGCGCTTTTCCTTCCGCTAGGTTCTTGTTGAAGGTAGAATGGACGGCGCGTCCAAAGGAAAACAGCGCACGTTCAAGTAGATCGCCTGAAGTTGAGTGGTCCCGTTCTTGTTTTGCAATCTCCGAGACTTGTAGTAGGGTTGAGATGTGGTAAGGGTTGTGTTGAAGCAAGACAATCATGCGGTTTGGWTCCATGGATGCAACACAACTCTCGAACTGAGCCTGTACATCCTGGTAGGCAGTGTTGTGAACGAAACGATACAGCACGGTACCGTCCGCGCGCTTTTCTTCAACCTCCATACCCAAACCACCTCCAGTAGCCACAGGCCATTCTTCCTTTCCTTGTATGAAGATATTCCTGCGCAAAGCCATGGCAGCCAACCCGGACCTACCATCCTGACGTTGGCCACGCAGAGCTTGTGCCAAGCCAACTTGCTGAGCTTGTCGCTGCTGTCTCCGGTTACCAYCAGCTGGTCCAGGCGCCGCGGGCTGATCATCCCCATCTTGCTCAAGCGCCGCACGTCCAAATAGTCGCCTCATCTCGTTCTGCGCGTGGAGGTGACTAGCATCGATGGAAAGCAGCCGGCACGACTCATTCACTGCCTCGTTCGAACCTGCTGTGGTAGTGGCGGTTTGTGATGCTTTGCCGTTAGTGGACAACTGCTTCAAAGCAGCATCGATCTCGTCTAACTCTGCTTCCTGTGCGGTCGAGCCATTCGCAGCACCTTTGCTCTTCTTCTTTTTCTTCTTCCTCTTAGACGAGGAAGTCTTGGGTATCGCTACTGTCGTGGGTGCCTCTTCTGCGTCATCATCGTCCTCGGCATTCTCCACCTCATCATCTTCTGCATCTCCGTCCTCCTCTAGCATAGCGAAAGCGCTCTTCCTGACCGCCGGTTGGGAGAATTCCTCTTCAGCTTCTTCATCTTCCTCCAAAGCGTGTGCCTCATCCTCCAATCGCTTCAGTCTCTCTTGCTCTTCTTTTTCCCTTTGTGCCTTGCGCAAAGCACGAGACGACATTGCTGCCTCGCTCTCTAGTTTGAATGTTTGTGAACTGAAGAATATTCGTCCAGCTCACTAGGATTTGAGTGAAGGTATCAAAGTTCAAGGTGTAAGGTGTAGAGAAGTGGAAGAAAGGGAAGTGGGAGAAGTGGAAGATGATGATGTCGCATGCGCGCTCCAAAACGTTTGCTCACTGCAATCCATCCGATGACGCAACCAACCTGGAACTTTCAAACAATTTCCATAAAAGTTACATGTACCTACTTTACTTTACCCAGTGACTGAATACCTTCTACGTAGTGCGACACGCTCCATTGCCGGAACCTGTCATAGGCACTTTCTAGGAAGAGACGGACAATCGCTCAAACATCGCACTCCTCCTGAACGAGTTCCACATCAACCCAGCCCGAGTTGAGCAGATCCGCAATCTCTCCCCAATGTCCCCTTTTAGCAGTATCCCACTTGACCCCCAAGATTTCCCGACGAATGAAACATGCCTGCTCTCCAAGGTATTCCAACTCGATAGCCATCTCCTGCATCATCTCTGTGAGTTCAACCCGAGTCTTTTCCTCCATGGTCTGTAAGGTGGGCAACGCGCTGAGCGGAAACGCGCTGACGATCGGGTTTTGGTGGAATACCCGAGTGTACGGACTCGCAGCGAAGTAGGCGATCTGAACGTGAATCTCGTTATGCCTGCACTTGATTTCCTCGACTGCCCACAAGATGCACTCGCGAAAGTGCGCCTCAAGGAATCSCGAGTCATTGATGAAGTAGCGAGCGCCTTCAGATCGAGGTATGCATTCCTCGCCGGAGACGCGCTGGTTGGGTGTGATCAACCAGCGCTTGAGGTCGTGGATGGGGTCGTTGGTCGTGAGGCGGTAGTCTTGCTGTCGCGCGGAGGCTGGGAAGACGATCTCTTCGTCGCAGTCCGCGTAGTGGCCGCAGTCGTATACGCCCGGATCGTCGGGGTCCTGCTCGGGTCGTAGGCGCCCCTTGCCTTTGCCATGGAATTCGCGGCAGTTGCTGGGAGGCAGCAGACGGATTGGGCTTTCGTACACCTGGGCCGGTGCGGATGTCTCCTTGATAGTATCCATTTCTTTATCCATTTGTGGGAGCGTGTTGGAAAGCGAGGGCGTCGTGCTGTATCCCCCACTCGCGTCAGTTTTTCTCCGTTYTGTACTCAWGGCTGCCGATAATTTGCGCAAGGGAAAGGATGCGATGGCGAGGTTAAAATGCATGAAGATTTTATAGCCAGTCTTTGCGTCGGATGTGGACGGTGAACGGATAGTGGCCGAAGGACACGCAGTCAAAACTCAGGCCGGGTTTGCTGACTCCTTCCCAAACAAAGCGACGGAGGTCTTACCAGGTGAAACTGTCCTATTAAGGTAGAGCGAGAAATGCTGGTGCCAGATGACCGTCACAGACTGGTTGTTGGAAGACGTGGGATGGAAATAACTTGATCTTGCTGCAGACAGTGAAGCGGAGCGAGTCGGGCAAAATTGCAAATGTCTTTGAGTTGAAGAAAAGCTGCAGAACATCGCTGCGAAGTTTGACAAACTCTAGAACGCAGCGGCTGGCGACTTGAAGGAATGACTTTGAAGTTTTGAGGATGAGAACGGGAATACTGCCTACCGTCATAGGTGAAGTGATCATGATATTATTCGTAGCCTAGAGGGCATCACCATCGAGTGATTTACAACAGAATGTTCATCTTCAAGCAACTTCAAGCATCATGTAATACCGATGAGCGCGCACATCGACCATTGGAAGACTCACCCTTACGCATCAACCTTCTCGGCGGTATCTGCGACCTCGGCAGCCGTTTCCGCAGCCTTCTCGTCGCTGGTCTCTGCCTTTTCTCCACCCGCACCGTTGCTCTCTATGAGCTTCTTGACCACCTCAACAGTAGCCCCCGGTCCGCCTGGCTCGCTGGCGAGCACCTTTCCACTCTTATCAACAACGAACACACCCCTCGTAGTGCCCTTTGGAGCTTTCTTCAGTCCAATGGCAGCAATCAGTGTCGCAGACGGATCGCACAGTAGTGGGTATGGGAGGTTCTGCTTGGTCTTGAAAGTCGTGTTGGCCTTTGGGCTGTCCGTGCTGAGGCCATATATGCTGAAGCCGGTAGCGGTGAGCGGCTCATATGAGTCTCGGAAGAGGCACACTTGGGTGGTGCCTACAGATCGCGTCAGCTTGCGATCATGTAATCAAGTCAACTGGAAGGTAATCTCACATCCTGGAGTGCTAGCTTTCGGGTACGTGAAGAGCACGACTCCGGCCTTGCTGTCAGCTACAAGCTTGGCGAGTGTTGTCTTCTCTTCATCATTCGTCTGAATCTCTCCACCAAAGCCTTCGAGGGTGATGTTGCTGCCAACTTTGGGAGCACCGCCTTTGGGCGTCTTCTCAACGGCAGCACTTTCGGCTGGAGCTTCCTCTGCAGCAGGCTCTTCCTTTGTTGCTTCTTCCTCGGTGGCCTTGGCCTTGGCCTTGGACGGAGCGCGTTTCTTTGGCGCCGGTGCAGGTGCAGCGGGAGCAGGTCTTTTCCTGAGCTCAACCATGGTCGCGCTTGAATGTCGTCACGTCTGTGTGGTGAGGGAATTGTGGACTATCGGGATGAAGCTGGCAGAGTAAACAAAGAGTGAGCAGTCTGACTAGCTTACACCACTCATCCCGTCGTTGCCTTTACCGGATAGGGGTCAAGCGCAGTTACTCGAGCGGCTTGTTGCGTCCACATCCTGGTTCCCGTCTCGAAGCACGTTGCTATGCATTGAGCTGACGCGAAGCTTTGGCTGTGGCGTGATGGTGCGGCCCGCTTCTAGTGAAGATCGCGGAGCACCACGACACGACACGCCCTCTCCTCTATCCTCTACCAACATCACGACAACATCTCTACACCCTTGCAGATGATGTCCACTGTTTCTGAAGCAGATTCCATGAGACTCCGAGGCCGACGAAGTAGCCTTGCTGCCTCGCTTGCATCGTCTAGCTAGCTAGACCTCCATGGGACAACTTGGAAGTCCCGATGGCATGGCATGGCGTGGCTTGTGTTCATTCAAACAACTTACCATGGGATCGTTCTAGAGAATCACACGGTACACTTGTACGTAAGGCGTCGCAAGTCACAAACGCTACAACAGAATACGGCAATTCTCACACGACGATGCCGTATATGCTTTTGTTCCGACACATTGGACGTGCCAACGTGTTGTCATCTTTGACACTGGTTGAAATGGCAGTCACTTTGAGCAATCCAGAGCTCCCCCGGCAAAATCTGGAGGTGAAAAGGAGCCTTTTCAAGAAGGTGTCATTCTTTCCTCGCAAAATGTTCGAAAACATGATGCATTGATATGGGCTTAAACCGCGCCAGCAACTCGCACGAGGTTGCAAAAGAGTGGGACCGATCGGTGTTCCAACGGTAAATCGCGGACGTGAAGTCCTTTTGCCAGGCCTCTGTCAAAAAAGTCCTGAATAACCGCTCGAGCCTAATGAGTCTTATACATCACACCAGCTCTGATAGGCCGGAGTAGACAATTCAAGAATTGGTAGACCACCAAAAAAGGAACTGGATAGCCCGGCTCCACCGTGGGTCATCACACTACTTCGTTGGACTGCAAATTCATGTCGATGACTTGCATCCCGATATTGACCGTCGCATACATATTGAGCCATCAACAGCAGTCTCGTAGCCATTTGTACAGAGACAGCGAATCAAGACACTTCTCTCTCCCCGCCTGAGCGATCCCCAATCAAAAGGTTGTCCGTACAGAACCGAGCTCGATTCTGCGACCTATGAGTGACAGAGACGACTACGAGCAACCGTCAATTCAAGCATCATGTCTTCTCAAGCTACGTCGCAGTTGGTCGTTGGCCACCACCCAGGATCTGACAGCGGCAAGACCCTCGAGACCTCCATGCCCGCAGAAGTTATGAACCAAAAGCTGGTTATGCTTGAAGAAATCCGCGCCATTCACATTCATAGCTCTGGAGGCTCATCAACAGAAGCAAAAAACGAGGCTGACGATGCAGGAACCCGCGTGGCCCAACCCGATGCTATAGCCAACAGAGTGTCAAGGCGTATTGGCTGGGTGAAGGCCGCAATACGTACGTTCACAAGCTCCATCTGTTCTTCGTACTGCCTGACCACCAAAGCTATCAACATGAAAACTCCCCTTGCTRCCAAGTGTTTCCACAACTCGACGCATTATTCAACTCACAGGGAGGGCTCCAGCGACTCGGGCGTCAGAACCAGTGCCCTGAGATTAGTACTGATGGCCTCATAGTCATGGTAGCCGAAACAATGTCACTAGGCATCATGTCTTTACCTCAGGCCATGAATTCTCTGGGCATGATCGTCGGTGCAATCCTCATCTGCTTCTGCGGCGTCCTGAGCGTTTTGAGTGGTCTCTTACTCTGGAAGGTCAAGCTGAAAGTCCCTGAAGTCGCTAGTTATTGCGACATCATGAACAAAATGTATGGTCGGAAAGGAACCTGGATGTCCACAACCAACAATGGCACCATACTCATTCTCGTCATGGTGAGTATAATGATGGAGAGCCTTGATCGTAAAGAGATTGTATGGGCTGACGGCATCGATTCTAGGCCGCGCACATCATTACATGGACCGAAATGGTTGATGTTCTGAGTAATGGCAACACTCCTTGCTTAGTCTACATCAAAGCCGCTGGAGCGTTCGGCATGGCATCGTTGTCACTGCCCAAACTGCTTAGAAGTAGCATGCCGCTTTACTATGTTGGTAGGGTTTGGGACCGTCCGATAGGAGAAAGCATTGACTGACAACATCATGTAGCTGCTGGATCCATCGTAACGGCATCTTTCATCCTGATCATCGGCGGCGGACTGACATATGAAGACTTGGGAGCAAAAAGCGCCTTCCTCATCGTACCACTACGTCTGCTCAAGTTTTCTGCCGTGGCGAGCAACATCAGCAACGTCATGATCTCATATGCCGGACACGTGGCCTATTTTCAGATTATGGATGAGATGAAGAATGTGAACGACTTCTGGAAATCGCTCTGCCTCGCAAATGGAGTGATCGGGATGATGTAAGCACTCTACATGGAGCTTTGTGAATGTTGCCAGGTAAGGTAGCTATGAGTCCTGAGCTGATACTCGATTCTTTTTAGGTATTTCCTGATTGCCGTGGTTGGATACAAGTTCTTCGGTCAGGACGTGGCCTCTCCAGCTCTGAGCTCTGCATCTCCCATGATCAGAAAGTGGGCCTGGGGCATTTCCATTCCGACCATCATCGTTGCGGGAGTCATTGCAGCGTTTATACTCAATCACGATATCCTGGAGTTGATCTGGAGCAAAGAGCAACTATCTCATGACGAAGCAAAGACCACATCGATCCCGAACATTGTTGACGAGGAAAAAGATGCGACGGGAAATCAGACGAATATACAGTTGCAAAACTCTGTCAACTCGTCATCAATGCTATCCTACAAGAATGAGTGGATTGGCCGGGTCCTAATCAACGCTGCTACGTGGATAGCCGCCTTTGTCCTCTCGAACGTCATCCCCGATTTTGGCAATCTCATGGGATTGATGGGCTCTCTCGTAGGCTGGACGATCGCAATCGGACAACCAGCCTTGTTCTGGCTCTGGACGGAATGGAACCCTGTCAAAAGCGAAAGCAACAACAAAGTTCTATGGAAGGAGAGCATACAGCGCTCGTATTTCCATCATTACAGCACCGCTTTCTGGTTGTGCTTTTGTGTTTGCATGTTGGTTATATGGCCCGTGGCTGCTGTGACGGGGGTTTATGGGAGTGGGGTGTTGATTCAGGAGGCACACGCCAAGAATGGTGCCTTTTCTTGCAATACGATCTCCCTTATGAGATAGTGGAGAAGAGCTCTGTGGATATCTAATCTCATATCTAGGACACYCCGGCAAGAGAGAAACAACTGCGCTGATGAGCAGGTTCATAGCAGCTTAAAAAGTTATATTTGTCGGGTAGACATCTCTCGATCAATTTTAATCGCTTATATTGTCTTGAAGATGAGGCTGGATAAGATCAAATCTCATCACTGGCGCTCTCCGAGAATCTACGAATGACTCTGCTACATACAAAGGCTTGTATATCAATTATAGTCTCCATCGAGACCGCTCCAGTCGATTCCAAGAGCGCTCCGAAACAGATCGTCTACCTAGGAATACGCCAAATTCTGCAAAAGTAAGACAACAAGAGTGAGACAGAGCCTCATGCTCAACTATAAGTCATGCAATAGTCGCAGTCGTTTCTCTTAACATTCCATACCACCTGCCACATCTTTTCCCACCCGCCTTCCAGGACTTTRCCATCCCAGCACGTTAATATGGACGACTCCAATCGCCAATCTGCACGAGATAGAAGATTACAAGAGCAACAAGACCATGAAGTTGCGCTGCGTTTGGCGGGCTACGATGTGCCTTCCAGCATCGCTAGTGATTATTCCAAGGCGGATGAAGATTTGGCTAGGGAGATCTATGAAGATGAGCTGAGTCAACTCCTTGAGTCGACATCTTTGACCACAGAGGCTGGTCCTAGCACGGGGAAAACGAACGAGACTTTGGAGATATCAGCTCAAGAAGATCAACCTGGTGATACTGATGCTAGGGCCTTTGTCCAGGGAAGGGCTCCGAGGAATTGTGTTGCTTGCCATGATAGTCCGGGGATTATAGCCGTACCCGTAAGTAGTTTGGAGAGTTCCTAGGGCTTCTTTGACCTCTGATGTTCAAGATGTATGCTGACTTGTGTGCATCGTTTTAGTGCGATCATCGCTACTGCGTACACTGTCTCACAGAGGTCTTCCGTAATGCCATGAGCGACGGATCCGCCTTTCCACCCCGATGCTGTCGGCAAGAGATTCCAATCGCTGACATCCGACTATACTTGGATCAAAGTTTTGTCCAAGAGTTCGAGAAGAGAGCAGTAGAACTTGGAGCAGCACACCAATTGTACTGCTACGAATCGACCTGCTCCGCATTCATTCCCACGGATAAGATTCGTGCAGACGATAATGCTCAGTGTCCAGACTGCTCTCGATGGACCTGTATGCATTGCAAAGCGCAGAGACACGATGGTGACTGCCAAGAAGATGAGAAGGTGCAACAGCTTCTACAAGTGGCCAGCCAGGAGGGTTGGAGGAGATGTGAGTGTGGGATCATGATCGAGCTCAACACAGGCTGCCACCATATGACAGTAAGTCCGACTCTTGCAATCTGCTGGATCGTCTACTAACCACACACACATGCAGTGCAAATGTAGACGTGAGTTCTGCTACCTTTGTGGCAGTCTTTGGAAAACCTGCAGGTGTGCTTTGTGGCAAGAGGATAGACTGGTTAGTCGAGCCGGGGAAATCGTCAATCGTGGCCCTGCACACCGATTGTTTCCTTTGTTTCCAGGCCCAGCGCGTCAGGGTCTTCATCTGGTACGAGGCCCAAATCCCGTGCCGCCAGCGGTCGACCCGCAGCACCCTATTCACCGGCGAGTTCCACCTTTTGCAGGACTACTGTGGCGACCAGCGCCCGTAGCTGCGCGACCAGCAGTTGTCCCGCGTCATCCTTCTAGGCAGCCGGTGGATATCCCCTACGCCGGGCCACGGGAGCGGCCAGGATCTACCGTTGCGCAGCCAGCACTTGACGCTCGTGATGTCTTCCGGCAGCGAGTCGCTCTCTTCGGAGAGCCACTCTGGCAGTCGGCTCCTGCTCCGCGGTCAGCAGTTGAGCCAGTTCGTCATATACCGCGAGCAGCGCCTCCTCTCCTTCAGCGGAATGGTCAAGAACAGATCAATGCACCTCARCAGCTCGAGGCGACTGTTGGTCGTACGCAAAGAGAGGTAGCACCTCATTCCCGACTAGAGAATCGCCAGGAACAGATTCAGGCGGCAGCTCAGCAACTCCAGGCAAATGCGAATTGCCAGCACACGAAGAATTGGGGGCCACAGTTAGGAATTGGCGTTCGCTGCGACATGTGTTTCAAGGTGAAGAGCAGGATTCACGCCTGCAAGTATTGTGGACTAATTGCTTGTTATCCGTGTCGTAGGAACAGAGACGTTTAATGAATGAAAGTTGAGCGGAGAGATTCGATCCACTGCTTGAGGTCGGAGAAGACGCCGCCGCTCATACTTTCCATTGCAACGCAAATCAGGTCGTAGTTGCCTCTTGTGGATGAAGAGGAGGAAGCCTTGGCTGGGAAGATATTGCTGGAGTGTAAATGTGTTCCATTCATCGTCGAATGCCTAATGTATTCGCAAAGGTGTTGTCGCACCTTGAATTGCAGGCAATCTAGGGCGGCAAGCTTCCATTTTACCTGGCCTTTTTCACATGATAGGATAGAAGATAATGATTAGCACATCATTGAACACCGCTCGTCTGTGTCGATACAATTCATTGCCCTGTGAAATGCTCAAGGTGTAGAGACAGATTATGGCAGGCGGGAGAAGCGACGAAGGCCACCGCCACGACTCCCTCATTCCACATTCCAGATGTGTCCAGATTGCTCCAAACAGGTGACGGCATGAGTGGCGGATTCTTTCGGGAAGGTACGGTAAGGTAGGCAAGTAAATGGAAAGTGGATGTTGATGCCTCCTCGCTCTCAGGCAGCAATCGGCGGGAGCGATCTCCACACGACGTCAACCRAAGCATCAACCCAACATCTCGACCTCTGACTTACATCAACCGCCACTTCAACTTTCTCCATTCCAATCGCCAAACATTTCACCTTGACGACAGGATCACCATCATCAGCATGGATCCCAGCGACAAGGAAGAGGCGGACAGGGTAGGAAGATGCTCCACTGCGACCAAGGTTAGTATGGATAATTAATCAAGCGCGACAGATCCGGGCCAAACGTCTGGCCAAACTCGGCGGCACCCCCTCAGCGCAACCCAGCCCTTCCACTACTGCTGCATCACAGACAGATGGCACCGCCGGATCGTTACCACCACCTTCCTCCGCCGCTCCGATTTCGCAGTCAAATCCTCAGGCTACCACCGAGAAGAAGCCCGTCAAGATCAATGTCAGCAAGCCACGACCCAGCTCTCCATCAAAGAGAGATCGCGATGGCTCCGAGAAGCCACGAGACAATGGTACTACTCGTCCGCGCGCGAACAAGCCGGAGCGGGCGGCGGAGAGTGTGGAGGTCTGGCAGGATAGAATCCTGAAGCAAGCCATGCGGGTGACTCTTAGCCCGGAGGAGGTCGTCGACTCGAATGGTAATAAGCTCGCATTCTTGGCTAGCACGAGGCAGGACTTGGAGGATCAGAATGCGCCCATCCTCCTCAACGTGGAGGTGTTGGAGAGTGCCATTACAGAGGCTGCAGCACAGGCGGAAGACAAGAACATCTTCAAATACCTCCTCACATGCTTCAAGAGAGTATCACGGACCATTCGATCGACAAGATACACCGACGAAAACGATCCAAGGCACGACATCTTAAAGGAAGCTCGGAGACTTTGCATGAGCTACTGTGTATTCGCCATCACCATGCCGGAGATGTTCGGGGAGGATGTCGCAACCTCGAATGGTCTTGCCGATCATTTACTTGCCGAGCCGGAGTCGGATTATGGAATCTGTGCGGACTTTTTAACCCAGGCAAGCATTCTCATCGAAGAGGACGACAGTATCAAGGATGCCTTGACAGGAGCCGTGGAACAGCTCAGCACACAGCTGGCGGATATTGACATGTTGCAAGGCTATGAGCCATACGTGCGCGCGCTGCGAAACATCTTCCAATACCCCAAGCTCATCGATGCCATTTCACAATCCTCAATGTGGGCACCCTCCGATGTACAAGCGCAGGACATTGAGAAGAAGACTATCCTCGGACCATTCTTCCGCATCTCTCCCATGCAACAAGAACCAGCAAACAGCTACTTTCCTGCTCCGAAATCACAAAGCCGAGGGGACATTGCGAGCGCCCAGAATGCCGTGCGAATGAGTTTGCGAAACCATCAGGACAACTTGTTCGTGCTCACCAATGCGGTTGTAAAGAGCGGCCCTGCCCCACGTGAGCGCATCCTCGACTGGTTTGCAATGTGCGTCAACAAGAATCACAAGAAGCGTGCGATGCGCGTAGACCCCAGAACCGTCTCGAGTGACGGTTTCATGGTGAACGTCACCAACGCTCTTGACCGCTTGAGTGAACCATTCATGGACGCAACCTTCTCCAAGATTGAGAAGATTGATGTCGACTATCTTCGCCGTAACCCTCGTGTGGACATTTCCGAGGAGACGAAGATGAATGTGGACCAGAAGTCGTCGGACGAGTTCTACTCCAACAATGCAGATGGCAAGAACAACTTCATCTCGGAGGTGTTCTTCTTGACAGTCGCGGCTCATCACTATGGTACCGAAGCCGCGCAAAGCCGAGCCGATCTCATGAAGAAGAGCGTCAAGAGGTCTGAGGAAGATGTTAAGAGTTTCGAGGCGGAGCGACACAAGTACATCAATGTCCGTAAGCCCCTCCCCGCAATGCTAACACGATGACTGATAGCCAACCACAGGATCCGCGTTACCTGCAGCGCTACGAAGAGCATTTGGAGAAGATGAAGAAGATGATTGACAACACATGGAGTACAATTCACGCGACGAATGGCGTTCTTCAAGACGAGCAAACACAAAGTCGCTCCATGCAATTCATGCGATATGTGATTGTATGGTTACTTCGCCTGGCATCCGGACAGAATCTGCCCAAGAACAGCATCCAGCTTCCCTTACCGGAGGAGCAACCTCTTGTTTTCAAATGCTTGCCGGAGTACTTTCTCGAGGACGTTGTTGATAATTTCAAGTACATTTTCAACAACGTCCCAATGATTGTCACACCACAGCAGAGCTCTGAGGTGGTGGAAGTGTGTGTGACGTTTTTACAAAGCAGCGACTATGTCAAGAACCCCAGCATCAAGTCTGGTTTGGTAACCATTCTCTACTACGGCATCATGCCATATACTTCAAACCGGAAGTTGGGAGTTCTTGGCGATGCCCTCATCGGATCATCCTTTGCCAACAAACACCTTCTCCACGCGCTCATGCGGTACTACATCGAGGCCGAGAATACCGGCACGCACACTCAGTTCTTCGACAAGTTCAACATTCGTTATGAGATTTTCCAAGTCATTAAGCGGATTTGGGTCAACACTGTCTACCGTGAGAACTTGGCCAAGGAAGCCAAGGTCAACACCGAGTTCTTCGTGCAATTTGTCAACATGATCACCAACGATGCCACTTTCGTCCTGGACGAGAGCCTTACGAGTCTACAGAAGATCCACGAATTGAGCAAGGAGTTGAATGATTCTGCACATATGCAGGGGCTTTCCGAAGACCAGCGGAAGGAGAAGCAAGAGCTGTTGGATGATAGCAAGAGCAAAGCGAAGAGCTACATGGGTCTCACACGGGAGACCATGGAGACTTTGATTCTCTTCACCGAAGCTTTGGCGTCGTCCTTTGCGATGAAAGAGATTGTCACCCGACTTGCTGACATGTTGGATATGAATCTCGCCCTTATGGTCGGCCCGAAGAGTAGCAACTTGAAAGTCGACGAACCGGACAAGTACGACTTCCACCCCAAAGCACTCCTGTCGGATATTGTCAAAGTCTACACCAACCTCTCGAAACAGCAAAACTTCATCACCGCCATTGCTCGAGATGAGCGGTCTTACATTCCCAGCAACTTCGACCGCGCAATGAACATTATGAAGGATAAGGCGTTGAAGTCCCCAGATGAGCTGAAGTTGTGGGAGCAACTCTGCAAGGACGTCGCCGAAGCCAAGGCGCAGGATGAGCAGGAAGAAGAAGACCTCGGCGAGATTCCTGACGAATTCTTGGATCCTCTGATGGCAACCCTCATGACCGATCCGGTTATTCTTCCTATGAGCAAGAATACGATTGATCGAGCGACCATCCAGAGTCATCTCTTGAGCACTCCGATGGATCCTTTCAATCGGTCGCCGCTGAAGATTGGCGATGTCATTCCGGATGTGGAGTTGAAGGCCAAGATTGATGCGTGGAAGGCGGAGAAGAAGGCGGAGAGGCAGAGAGAGAGGATGGATGTTAGCGAGGGTTGAATCTTCATCGAGGGTTGACTTAAGATGGGTGATATGATAGAAATGCACTGCTACGAGACAGATGGCGCAGAAATTACGAGTGTCATGTTGAATGAGCAGGCAGAGCTATTGATAATGAGAGAATTATCAATCAAATCGCGCACTTGACGGCCTTATCCGTTGTTGTATAACGGGCCACTCTGCTAGTGATGAATTTCTAGCAGCTCCAGAGTCGTCGATTACGCGGAGAGCAAGGCCTAAAGACGTCATGGCGACAACTAAAGTAGAGGTGTCTTGTCTCGGTGAAAAATCCTCATATCAACAGCTCTGTGAATGAACATTGGCACTTCCAATACAGATCAACTATCGCCTAGTATGTCCATCCATTCATGGTGTGTGTATCCTATCGCTCGCTACTGGTACCCGCCACTTTTGCACGACGTAGACTTATAAGTTCCAGAGTGGTCATTTAATCAACCCTTTCTCCGGTCTTATTAAACGTAATAAAGTGAGTTCCTCGTATCATGAGTAGCGGCGATCGAGGACCTACCTGAACATTCACGCACGGCGCCAAGCCGCGCTAGAGAAACCCACGCTAAGGCTCCTACTTTCTTAAGCCCGCTTTCTGGAATCTTCATCAGATAATTACTACTATCTTGATGTTCGAAGTGTTTAAAGCCTTCCTTATAGTCAGATGACGCGATTCTGCATCTCTTGTAGGAAATTTGAAGGAATACCCGCCTTTATTACCATTTTTAAGCCTGAGGCAACGGAGACTGAGTTGACTTGCTTTTGAAACAGTACTAGGAGAAGGAGGAAACGAACGTTTTCTTCGAGTTTGATTTCTGCAACAATAGCTTTCTAGTGAGGCGCTTGTTTTATCGGCTGTTCATGCCTCAAGATCGAATCATTCACTTACAATGCCAAGACATTGCCCCTCTGAGACTCGCAACACCTTCCAAATCTTCTTACAGGCAACCCTCCGCGGAGAGGATGAATTACGATGTGAGGATTCTTTAGTTTTTTCTCTCTAATGCTACGGCTTAGAAGGGTGTATAAAGAGGTTCGGAAGGCTGCTGTTGGGAGCGGTGGGGTCCTTTATCACTACCATCACTCCCTCCCTCACCACTACTTCCATCACCACCACCCCCACCATCATCACCACCATCCCTTTCCTCAACGTCCTCCTCCTCATCCATACTCCTCAAACGATCCACAACGCGCCTCACCCTTTCCAAATCCTCCTCACTAACGCCCCCTTGAGCGATCCACCTCCATTCCACATCCCCCTTCCAAACCTCCAACATACGCTTCCTGCCCATACACTTGTAAAAAGCATTCACGGCCGCGAAAGCCAGCGATCGAGTGAAGTACGTCGGTCGAAGCGTTTCCATAATGGGAGGACCTTCTTCTTCTTCTTCTTCTTCTTCTTCTTTCTCTTTCATTTCGGCAAACTGTTCCCCAAGATTGTCATCATCATGATCAGAAGGAGAAGGAGAAGAAGGAGGAGGATCGTCCAAACTCCCCATCGTCTCCCCCCAAATCTCCTCCAAAACCCTCCAATTCCACTCCCCACCCACATATCCTCCAAACTTGGCAAACCCTCTCAGAAACCCCACCCACACACCGCCATACACGTGAAATCCCCTCCCTCGCATCTCCTCAACCAATTCCCTGGCCCGTGCCAACTCACCACATTCCACCGACCAAGCAATGAGGATGCGATAAGTTCTGGCGTCGGGTTCAATCGGAGCAGACTGCTGCACCGCATCCCTCTTTCCCCTCGAACTGAATGTGCCGCCGAAGAAGGAACTTTCGTGCCGACTTTCCTCGTCTCGCAAGCGTTTTGCTTCGGCATCCAGGCGGAGGCCCGTAGCTTTCCATTCCCTCCAATCTTTCAACGCGTCGCCTCCAAACTTTTCTTCGTGGAGTTTCTTCATGCGCAAAAAGACGGAAGTCGCCGCTCCCGGTTCCCCGGCTCGCAGTAAGGAGAGAATGACACAATTCAACACGGCCGTATCCACAATCTCCCCGGCTTCGACCAATTCCCGAAAGGCGGCGCGCACGCCCTCGCCATCCCTCCGCATACCGGCATGATAAATGACACTGGTGCGGAAGAATCGATTGAGGGGCAAACCTCTCGTCTTCAATTCCTGCTCAATGGTCCCGGCCAAAGCGAACCTGCCGGCTTTGACGGCCAAATCATAGAGGATATTAAACGTGACTTCCGTAGCTTGTACCCCTCCCTGCTCCATCCTCATCCACACGCTCACGGCACTCTTGACCTCCTCGGAGGTGACATGGCGCATCCAACGTCCGGCGAAACTGATGGCGGAATTCCAGACGGTGGCGTCTAGCTTCTCGTTGGGACGGGCATCGAGGACTTGAYTGAGTAGGGAGAAGTAGCGGGACATGGCGGCGTCGTGGGAGTTTTTGAACTCGGTCCAGGTCAAGTGGTTGAACATGCGGGTGAGGGTGTTGGGGGTGAGGTAGACGGGTTGTGGCGATGGGAGGGTCAAGTAGGTCGACCAGAGGAGGTTGAGGGAGATGTGGCCGAGGGGTTGATTGAGAAGGCGGCGGAGGGATTTGAGGGCTCGGAGGTGCGTTTCGTGATCTGGGTGGTCTTGGGGGAGGTCGAGGGCGAGGACGCGGTGCGTTGGTGGGGAGTCCTCTTGTTGGGATTCCTGAGCGGGAGTGAGGGTCAGACGGGATGCCAGCGGATAATATGGTTGGGCTTGTTCCTGGTCTTGTTCTTGAGAATGGCGGTCATGGTAAATGTCCACCAGATCGTGGTATTCCTCGCGACTGATTTGTGGGGAGGGAGAGGGAGGATGAGGATGAGGATGGGGTGGAGTGGAGTATGGACGACGTTGGAGCCCATTCCTCCTCTTCTTCCCCTCTTCCTCCTCTTTCGCTCGGTGCCGGCGACATGTTCCCGCCGTGACCAGACCGCGGATGAAAATGACTTCGATGGATTGGGATTGGGACGGACATGGTCGGGCATTGCGAGTGATTYTCGTCATGGCCGGGGCTATCGGGGCAAAAACGCGTCGGAGGGACATGAACAGCCACAAGCCTCCATCATCGCGTAGCGTTCATGGAAAGGTCGGGGATGCTTGCTGAAAGGAAGGATGAAGATATAAGGTACATGTAGGTAGTTCAATCGCGTGTACAATCAATCGAATGCGCCCCAACTTTCAATTCCTCACCCCCGAAATCTCCCCGCACATTTCACCTCCAAACACCTCCAAGCATCATCAATCAATCAACTGCACATCATTCCAACATGGGCCGCCACTCCTTTGCCGCCCAAAATATCAACAAAACCAGTCAATACCTCCTCGCCGCCAAACGCCTCCTCAATCCCCCACCCGCATTCACTCCCTTGGCAACCTTCCCGCCCTCGACCCGTCTAGTCCGCCCTCCGAAACAACGCTCCGCCAAACCCGGTTCCCGGCGTACATCGCGCCTCTTCGCACCCCTCAAAATCGCCTACGAGGAAGACCGTCTACGATGGGAATACTTCAACGATCACCCGTGGGAACTCGCACGTCCGCGGATCATTCTCGAGAGTGATGGTAAAGATCACCAACGCTGGGATTGGAGTTTACCGTTGGATTTCGGCTTGTTGAGACCTGCGGTAAGGGATGGGGAGGAGAAGGCGTGGGATCGCGTCATGGCCAGGCAGGGTGGCAGGCCGATTAATGGAGAGGCGTATGTTCCTTCCATGGATTGTAATATGTATTGGATGGCAAATGCTAATTGAAGGACATGTGAGGGAACAGGGTGATTCAACGCCAACAATACCTCATGCACAAACAATCCCTCTCCGAAGCCGCCGCTTACGATCGCGCGCGCAAAGAACTCTATCGTTTCCGCCACGCTCGAGAAATCGAACAGCGCGTCGCACGTGAGGAGGCCTTGTCCACGGGAGCATATTTCGGTCCCGGACCCCTACAAACGGGTATGCATGTGGAAGATCAAATGTATGAGCAGTGGAAGGCATGGGCGCAAAATGAAATCCAGGCGCAAAAGGCGCTGGCGGGTTCCGCGTATACGGGGGCGGAGGAGGAGGTGGGATTGGATGCTGAGGGTGGAGAGGAGAGTGCGGCGTTGGAGGAGGTCGCGGGGAGTGTGCCGGGGAGTAGAGGAGGGGTTACTGCTCGGGGAGGTGCGGCGGTGCATGCTTGAGTTGAGGAATGAGGAGTGTATGTGTATGTGTATGATCAGTGGAATTTGGGATGAGTATTCCCTGCTACGCTATGCTATACTGTACAGAACGGAACAGAACAGAACAAAGCGATTCATGCTGGTTTCTTCCATCTATAATGTCGATTCACTCTCTTTCCATATATGTCAAGGCAGGAGAGACAATACCGGTAAATTGGTGATGGTGTACACCGGAATTCTCAACACAACTTGTGAATCTCCTTCTCAATTGTCTGTCTGACACATATCTATCTATTCCTCTGCAATCCCAAAAGTCTTAACCATCCATTCATGCTTCCATGCGTTCTTTCATTCCCAGAAACTCCTCGCTATACCCGCAGCACAATCAAAAAACACTATCAATCATCCATCACTCCATCAACTCCACCGGCGGCCTCGCAGTCCTCTCCAACTTCAACCCACTTCCCTCCACAGGCGTCAACGGCAACGGACTCATCGTCGTATCCTCAACCGCAATCGCCGGCAAATCCGGACTATCCCCAAACTCCTCCGGGTCATACACCACCGTACTCCCCGCTCCCAACGTCGCCGCTCTCTTCCTCCCCGAACCTTTCCTCTCAGCGAACGTCCCCGAACTCTGCTGATACAACGCATCATCAGCACTAGGTCTCGCGGTCAAATTCGCCAACGCAGAAGCCAGATCCTCGGCATGCACGTCTTTGTTCGGGGGTCCTTCATTGCGCATTTCCCAGCCCATGGGCGGGGAGGGCGGGGGAGAGATGAAGAATAAGCGGGAGGATTTCGGGGCTTGAAGATGTTGATCTTGGGGGTCTTCGATGCGGGTGTTGGCGCCAAAGTAGACGCGGATGCGATCTCCGAGAACGGTTTCCCCGTCGAGGAGTTGGCGGACGGCGATGGCGTCGGCGACGGTGTGGAAGGTGACGATGATGCGGCGCATGGATTTCAAGGGCGAGAAGGTGTGGATTGGAGCGTGGGCGTTGATGGCTTGGGTGATGGATTCCAAGTTGATGGCGGTGAAGATTGCCGGGGTGGTGAGGTTTGTTATGAGGAGGGTGTTGCTTGGTGGGGCCGGGGTGGAGAGTTGAGGGAGTGAGGAGAGATCGATGGAGAGGTTGGGGCTGCGGCGGCGAGAGTGTGGGGGTGTTGGTATGGCTTGCATGGTGAGGGTGGCCATTTGTGTTTTGTTGTTGGTTGGTTTGTAGGTGAGGTGGAAGAGAGGAGAGGAGAGTAGATAGATATGGTGGGTGAGGTTGAGGATGTGGCGAGCTTGGTTGGTGCAACCTCGGGCTTTGTCTGCGTCTTATCTCCAGAAAGTCTTTCTCGTTTCAATTGTTTGATGAATGAAGAAGATGTGAACGGAAGAAGAAGAAAGTCAGCGGCTTATGTCTCTCCCCATCCAACGAGGCGGAGCAACACAGCGTGTCCAGACGTTTCTGTCACCTCCCTCGCCAAGCATATCCTTGCCCTTTGGCCCTTGGTTGGCTCACTGCTGCGCCTCGCTGCTCTACCTTACTTTATCCATCCCGCGCGCGGATGCGAGTGCGGACCTGCTCCGTCTCGCAGAAACAAGCCGCTCCGTCCCGCCCCGGCAGATTCATCAACTTCCATTAACTTTCACCTTGATCCGAACTGATGCGATGCGAGCGAGCATGTCCGGCTTGGACTTGGCTTGCATCATGAAGAAGTCGTCTTGCTTATCATGCACAATTCCCCTATCATGCCGTGCTACGGCTCGGGAAGGAAGGAAAGGTAAGACGACGGAGCCTCCCTTCCGCGTCACACGATATTCATCACACATCATGGCTCATGGCTCTAAGTGGTCATTCTTGGTCTTGGTCTTGGTCGTCATGGTACTAGGAAAAGTTTGGGCGGAGCCTTGGTTGAAAGAGACACACGTCTCACATTACCACCTTCCATTCATCATCCAAAACTAGGCGGTGCAACAACTAATAATGATGATCAATAAACTTGAATCAAATGATTCACGTGCACTGATCACATAGTAACGTTCAGTGTTCACATGTTCGGCAGATCGATCGCTGCTGCGAAAGCTTGCTTGACGTCCGAGTTTTTTGGTTTGAAGAACAAGAAATGGTGGAAGCTGGGTTGGTTTGAACCTCTGTCCCTGATATTCATCACCGTGATATTGTGGCTTAGAGTCTCAGACCTTGGTTTCTATCGTCGACCAGGCTCTCAAGATCGAATCGAATCGATACCACACCGCTACTACGCCGGCTGTTGGAGTTATATTACTATGGTAGAGAACAATACTGCTAACGATACCTCTGAATAAAAGGCGTCTGTCTGTCTGTCTGCTGATTTCATGTATCTGGACCTCTGAAAGTTTGGAGAAAAGTTAGGCTTAAAATTTGAATCCCGTGCGAGGCGACGTGGGATGAGGAGATGAAGGATACCATGAATGATACACCTAATTTCGAAGAAGACCATCTATGAACATTAACAACTCTCCTCTACCCTCCCACATCCTCCAAGCCCAGAAAACGCCCGCTCACCCACCCCACTCAAATCCAACAATCCTCATGAATGAACTGCTAGCAATAACATCACACCTCCCGATCAATCACCCAGCTCCCGATCAATCACTCCATCACCCAATCAATCATCCCAACCTGCTCGTAAACCTCCCCTCCGACTTCCCCACCCTCCGAGGCCGCAAAAAAGAAGAAACACCCTCACCAACCCTCTCCGGCGCATCTCTCGAATCAAAAGTCCTCGATTCATCRACGGTGAAATGCACGCTTTTCCTTCTGTGTGGTATAATCTTCTTCTTCACATGTCCATATCCCTGCTCCTGTCCTCGTGTCGGTGGTGCGTTGCAAGCTGTAGTTGAAGAAGATGAGGCTGGAGGGAATGATGAAGATGTTGAAGAGCGGGAATCGTGAGAATATCTCCCCTGTTCTCGGGACTTGAGAGGAGGAGGAGGATTGTAAGGTGTTGTTCTGCGGGGAGGATTTCCTCGAGGAGGAGGGGTGTATGGTAAAGGTTTTCGCTCTTGATATTGCTGTGGTGGTTGCGGCGCTTGAGAAACGGCAGGCAAGGGAGGAGGAGTCATATTCCTCGACCAGGCTTCGATTGAAGAGCGGATTATCGGCATGGTTTGTGTTGTTTTCGGGGATATTAAAAGTTTCTCTCTTAGGGTGCGACGGAGGCTGGATGGATAAGGTAGAAGAAGAAGGAGAGGTAGAAGTGGTGGTTGGTTAGTGGCAGGCTGCTTCGTAGGTCCTCTCTCTGTGGTTTGTGGTGCGGTTGGAGTTGGAGTTGTGGATGTGATGTGATGTGATGGGAATGTCCGAATTCGTGCGACCCAACGATACGGATGCGGATGATGTGGAGTCGAAAGCGTGGCGGACACGTTGTTGTGCAGGGTAGGTAGTTCTGAGGGTTGAAGTGGAAGGAGGTGCCAATGTAGCTTTCCGAAGGTGGGAGTTTGGAAAAGGAAGGAGGGAAGGATTGTCATGCATGTGTTGGGGACCTACCTCGGGACCTTTTTCTGGGGTGTGGTTTGTCTCAGCAGACCTGGTGGGTGTTTCTCGCTCTATTCACCGCTGCGAGTGAGAATCATCTCGGTCATCCTGCCAAATGGGGCCCTTTAGTGTTATCATCAATCTCACCCGTTCCTCGGGCTGGGTGGTTCATGACTTTTATTGTCGCTCCGTTCATGCTGCATGGGAATGCGCTCTATATCCTCCACGCAAGCATCGATCCCTTCCCCCTTACTCTTCAATCGTCTTGATCACCTCCCATCCACCCTTGAGCTTCTCCTTCCACAAGCTGACCCGGTTATCTCCACACGACACGGCCAGGACATTTCCCGCCATGCTCCAGCTCACCCTCCACACCACGACATCCAAGTTCAACTCCTCACTCTTCCACGCATTCGCATCGCCGACATTTCCACCCGCCGCCAACGTCCATATCCTGACGGTGTGATCTTGTGATGCGCTGGCAATGTAGGACTTGGACAAGGGAGTGGCCGACCACGCGACATCCCTCACCCAATCGGAGTGACCGTGCAAGGTGGTGACGTTGTCATAGCTCTGTGTGGTGGAGTTGAACTCCCAAATCTTGACCAAATTGTCACTTCCTCCCGTGACGAAGCGTCGGACGGGGGATGGTGTCTGACCGGGAGCTTGGGCGGAAGTGAGTTGGCCGGGGAGGATGGCGGGGGACCAGCTCACGGCATTGACACCACTTCCATGAGCGGGGAAGATGGTGTGGGAGAAGGTGTTGTTTTCGAAGCTGAGGACGCTGACTTTGCCATCGCTACTCGCAGCGGCTAGATGACAGCCGGTGTCGGGAGGCGACCAGGCGACGAGGTTGACGGAAGCGGTGTGCAGGGTAAATTCGTAGATGCGCTGCCAGGCGCCATTCTGTTCGCGCCAGATGAGGATACGGCCGTCGTAGGAGGAGGAGGCGAGGATGGTTCCGTATTTGGGATGGGCCCACGACACACACCACACGGCCCCTTCATGCCCTTTGAGCGTTTCCGTCAGGCGGTGTTGATCACCGTCGATTTCAAACATTTTGATCGTCTTGTCGGAGGAACATGTCGCCAGTCGTCGGCCGTAGTAGTCGAGGACCGCATCGTGCTAGATGGATATACTGTTAGCCAGACCATCCCCCCATCTCATCCTCTCCCAGCATGACATACAATCATGTCATCGTGACCCGAGTTGGAGATGACTTGCGCCTGGAGAGGGTTAGCAAGGAGACGGCGATGGATTGAGGATTGGATGAAGCCAACCATYTTGTGGAAAGGTGATTTCTTTGATCAATCCAGTGGCGTTGAATGTCGGATGTAGGGATCGGTGATGTACACAATCCTCAAGAACAAAGTAATTCCCCTCAACACAACACGTAGGAGACACGTCCCTCACTTTCCAAGCGTGAAGAGCATCACATCACCTCCACATCCCATCGGGAGGGAAGTCACCGGCGCGGACCGAACCTTGGTTGTGCAGGACTGTGCAGGATTGTGCAACACTGGATTGTCATGTGCAAAAGCCTCGGCTGGGTTCGGTGATTGCTCGACTCGGACTTTGACCTCGTGCAGCTCATCTTTCTCTGTCTATTCCATCCCATCCACCTTCTTGAAGTAACCCGACATGGCGGAAGCGGCATGTGGACCGTCGAATGCGCTTTCGCAGTTCAAGCAACATCAAGCCGTCGATCGATCCCTCCAACAAGACCGACTCACCAACCGCCACTTGACTCGCGGCGGGCCCCAAAACTTCCGCTCCACCAACCCCAACGCTGCTCATCTCGACGCCGATTTCGAAGCCTTTCAAGCCGGTTTTACCCCGCCAGTGCTGGATCATGGCCTGCTCTTGCACAACAACTTTCCCGTTCAATCCTCACATCCACATCCACATCAACACCAACATCCCCAACCCCAAGAGACACCATCGTGGGCGAATGACTTCCAACACCTCCAAATCTCCTCCCCGAATGCATCTTCCTCGAATTGGGCCCAAGGATTTCAGCAACACATTGCACAAGGTGCGCCTCGAGCTCAGGCGTCAATACAATCTTCCCCGGCCTTTCAACAACAAGCGAGATATGGTCGGACGGGCTTTCAACCCTCCTTCACCCCACAGCAGAACTACCTCGGAAATGGCATGCAATCCAAAGGAAAGGAGCCGGTCATGGCGGAACAATTCGACGAGGCGGCATTCGAACGAGCCTTTGACATGGCCAAGGAGGACATGAWGGCAGATGTGGAGCAGGAGCAACAATCCATGCAAGATGATCACGATTTGGAAGCCATGATTGAGCGTGTAGAAGCTGCAACAGAGCAAGAAGCCACGAAAATGTTGAATCAAGTAGCTCAAGAAGATGAGCGATTCTGGAGGCCCGAAGATACAATCCACGGTAGTGATATCGAACACCAACCATTGTATGAACCCATCCACGACGAACAGCGCCCCATCCAAGACGAGCAACGACCATCTCACCACGACGATGACCAACTCGCCGCCACARCCCAAGAACTGCTGGAAAAGGTCTCYCACGACCAATCGGACAAGTTCAAAAACAGCCAATTCCTCTCTCTCATGCGCAAACTCCGCGATCGGGAAGTTCGCGTGGAAGGAGATCAAATGGTTGAGACTACTGCTGTTAGTCCCACCATCACCACCTCCACCTCCACTTCCACTCCTGCTGCTGCTATACCTTCATCTTCATCACACCATCACACCCCACTGATGCAGTCTCGTGATGCCGATTACGAGTTCGACCATTGGGAGTCTCCTTACACGTGATAAAGCCGTACAATGCGACATACATGGAGTGAATCGCTGACAATCTTTGTGAGTTAGGCGAACGCCACATCCTCCGACAATGGAGCAACACTAAACGCCTCTTCTGCTAGCATCTCCAACCCTTTAGGAATGGGATATCAACAACCTCATCTTGTAGATACCCGACCGCCTGAATATGGAATCCCTCCACATGAACAAGACCTCGATTCCGGGCGTCATCTAATCCATCCGAATGATGGGCAGGATGTGGTGGATCTTCTCGAGCAACCTGGCGCAATGGCCGAGGTGGAAGAGAGTGTGCCCGAGGATGCCATGCCGGAAGATTACCAGACGGATGATATGGGTGAGTTTCCCTCTCCCATTCATCATCATGCATTTGCACCTTCTTCGCAGAACGCTTCCCTGGTGGAAATGCTATACGGAGACAGTGCAGTCCTTTCCACTCCTTCTCCGCTGAAGCTGGGAGGTTGAAAGTTCTAGATGATGATRACTATGATCCTTCTTTTGCCGAACTCGCGTATGCTTTGGGGGAGTGGGATCACAACATCGAAGACCTCTGAAAATTTCTCATTGACGGATACTGTGGAGTAGATTCGGAGTTTCTCATGACTTCCCCTTTCTTTCGGCCTGGAGGTGGGGAAGGGGGGAATTTGTCGATTTGACTAGATCAGGAGGATCAAGATCACGATGATGATGATAATGATGATGTCGGTGGTGAAGATGGAAATAGGTATACGCCCTGGYCGGACGCGTATGTGGAGCGGAATGCTGCCGGGTGCTTTTTCCGGAGGAGTGGAAGGGGATTCATTGAGGGGCTTGCTGTCGTTGTGTGATCKACGCGCAACGAGAGGTAATGGAAGCATCTCAAGAGGTCGAGTTAAGGGAAACTTAGGGAGAATGGACCATGCTTGAATTGAGCTAGGAGGGACATCCAATCCTCGAGCTCCATATCATGGCTTGACCACACGATCTACCTGTATCCCGGTCATAAGTTTCCCACCTTTGAGAACGAAACGCTTCCCCTGTTTTCGTTGTTCGGACACTTTTGTACTTTGAGACGCCTTCGAGATGCGCTTCTAAAAGGTCATGTTGTAGCGTGGGAATATCTCGGTCTTTCGAAGAGGCGGAAGGTTGGAGAGGCGGATTGTTGATGGAAATGGAGATAGATGGTGGTTGTACATTGAGTATGAGTTTGAGTTTGAGTAGTAAAAGGGGTTCTTTCACTGCTTTATATCAATCCCTTCTGGTAGACTCTACACGGGTTATATCTCACTTTCTGACCTCTATCTCTCCCGGCATCTACATCCTCCTCCCTCCTCCCATTAACACCCTCAGATCTTTCCCCATGACCGCTGAATAGTCAAATTACGCATAGAATAGAATCGGACATCTTTACGTAGCCGAAACAGTTTCTTCACGATATCATCGCCTCCTTAGCCTATAACTTTCCCATCCTCGGTGGTTGATRAGCGGAATGCTTCACGCGTGATTTTCTCCTTTTCAATGTCGTTGAGATCATACCTGTAGGAAGGACAAAGTTAGCGATGGATGTAGGTTTGAAGGGATTAGTTGTGCAGAGTAGCTGTAGAGGGCGTTTTTCTGGCTGACTGGCTAGCTGGCAGATTCTATCTTTCGGATCGCTGTATGAGAGAGAGAACGTATGGAATGGACTTACCAATGCGAAGCAACGTGCGCGTCATCTCCGAATAGCGTGCCGATTTCTTCGAGCGTTCGGCCTTTGGTTTCCTGTGTTTTGGTATRGCTTATTAGTTACGTTCCTCGTAATATACAGGATAGGATAGGACAGGACAGGACAGGACAGGGAGATATGAAGCAAAGGCACTTGCAGGAAAGAGAAGATAGATCATAGCGATATAAATCGCAGATGGAATGATCAGGACACTATACAGATGTATCTTGTCAGTACGGGCGAGAAATTGTGATAGATAGGAGGAGACCCAACAGGTAAAATTTCCATCCGATGTCATTCAATGCCACGGGAGCTCCCACGAGCGTAATTTCCGAAGCGAGGAAGAAGAAGGATAATCCCCACGCTGTTCCTTGAGAACGTAGATGATTGGGCCAGATTTCGCTTACGTAGACCTATGAATCCCGCGAAGAGGAAAAGGTGTCAGTGGAAGTGTATTTTGGCTTGCGATGGATGTGGCAAACGAACGTATTGAGTAGCGTCGACGAAGAAACACCACCAGAAAATGTATAACCAGATGAAGAAGACTGCGGCGTTGAGACCGGCGGTGTTTGTAGTGTTGAGGAAACTTGCCGTCATGGCGCAGAGGAAGATGAGGGATATCTGTACGCGACACACATCGACGAAAGTCAGCGGAGCTCTTCTCATTGATAGATGGATGAATGGATAGATGTTCGACAACTCACCGTACACCCCGTAGCACCAATCAACAAGAAAGTCCTCCTCCCAAATCTATCAATATACAGCGCCGTCCACACATTTCCCAGCAGCGTAAACGTCGTCCAACACGCATTCAACAACAACGGCACAGACCCCTCAAACCCCAAACTCGCATAAATCAACACTCCATAATTCGTCATGACGAAGATTCCCAAGAATTGATTCCCCCACATCATAATAGCTCCCACAGCCGCTCGTTTCTGATTCGGTCTACCCCTGAAAATCTCAAAGGGACGAGTGGGGAATTGTTTATCCAGTTCGAACTGTTGCTCCATGAGGTAGAATTCCTGTCTCGCGATAGTGTGATGGGGATCGTTGGGAGTGGCGTGTAGACGTTCGACGATGGAGAGGGCTTCTTCGCGTCGATCTTGCGCGAGCAGCCAGCGGGGGGAAAAGGGGATCAGGGTACTTCCTGCCAGGACGATCATGGGAGGGATGCATTGCAATGCGAGGGGGAAGCGCCAGGCGAAGGTGGCGTGCGGGGAGGTCGAGGGGAAGTAATAGCATGCGTAGCCTGTTACATGTCAGATTGAAGTGGTTGGGGAAAATCGTGAAAGGGCGTGGTGTGATTGTTGATATACCCATCCAACCCGCCCAGCCGTAGCCGATGGCATAGAAGACTCCCGTGACGCACATCATAGCGCCTCGGATATCGGCCGTGCTGATTTCTCCTTGATACATCCTTTCCAATACATGTCAGTCAGCTACCGAAACCCTCGTCCTGATTGATAGATGATTTGACTCACGGAACCACCACAGCAAGCGTCCCGGCTCCCACTCCAGCAGCCAAGCGTCCCGCATAAAACATTCCAATACTCACAGACCCAGCACAGAGAGCTCCGCCAATAATCAACACCCCACAACCAATCTGAATGGTTCGTTTCCTTCCCACGTAATCCGCGGCCCAAGCACTCAACGCACACCCCAAAATGGCTCCCGCGGAGTTCAACCCGTTGAGTCCGCCGATGATGTTCGTCGTATGAGCATATCCCGGCTCTCCTGCGGCTGGGAGGTTGAAGTAGGTGTAGACTGTACGAACGATATTAGATGCAGTCGTGGTGGGAGAGGAGACATCTCACAACTCGGTTGCCCGACTGTACTTCCAATCACGGCGAGTCCATACGCAGTAGCTAGTGTCCCCAAGGCAACAAACACAACCACCAGGAGATTATATGTGTTTACCGTAGACTTTGCCATTCCGAACATCGTGTTAGTGTTACAAGATGAAAGATGAACAACGAACAAATGTTTAAGCTCTCCATCTCATACGCTCACCAAGCATCATTGGCTACCATGCTGGGATTCTAAACATTCTCCCGAGGTTCTGGTATGGTTAACATGCTTTCTCCGCACGTGGTGTTACCGATCTACGACACGCGAGAGCGGGGTTGGAACCTGCATTGTTTTCACCCGAAGGATCAATCTGCAGCGGAGGTGGTTCCGTGTGGGCGGTCTTCGTGCTTCTCGAAGAATGATTGGGTTTCTGTTCCGGAYATGTTTCGTGTTGATGTTGAAAGGGATTGGCTTCGTGAGCAATTTGTGTTTTGTGAGTGCGAGAGAGGAGATTGGAAGGGAGGCAAGAAAATGACTTTGCAACAACGTATAGCAGCGTACAAAAGAGGAACGATCAGATCCAATCCACCTGATGTAAAGCTGGCTTGTTCTCTTGACGAGCAAGGACTCATTTGAGACTTACCATAAGTAGAGTCTGTCGTTAGGATGCACATATAGCGATTTCAATGCTGCTGTCTGATCGGCTCGACGTTCTTCAAGCCGTGTGGTTCATAAACAAGACCCTAGCAAGTCTCGAAGGCAGAATTGCATCGAGAGGGCTCTCGGATTGAAGGATGATGACTGGGATGTTCATGATGACTTGAGCAATCACTTATCTTGAGACAGCTCTCTCCTTGAGAGTGTCGAAGGTTGAAGAGTACCTCCACTGGCCGGCTCCGTTCAATTTGCAGCGGCTCTATTCATGCCTAGTGGCAGCGGAGGTTCAACCACCATCCACTGACCGCGGTTGGTGTGCAGCCTTGTCAACAACGCAATGGATTGCTGGACCTCCCTCAACCTCGCACTCCGCGATCAGGAGGATGAGACACGCCGCAACGGCGAGTCTGTCTTGCAGGCACCAAGCTCGGACATGGATGTTGCCCTCCTGATTGCTTCTCGTGCCCGCATGACGACGGAAAAGCGCAGTTCGCAGGCTCCTTGCCCACGCCTACAAGGCCCAGTAGCAGTGCATATCCTCCCAGCACTTCAGGCTCAAAGCATCCCCATGAAGAGTGTTTGCCTTGGAAAGAGCGTCCTCGAGACTGAGCGTTTGCCAAAGCACGCGCGCATCGTGCGTCCGCCCTCCTTCAGTCAAGTATCTCCGGTAGTTCAGGAACGACGCCGCAGATGATGAGGCCCTCGGTACTTCCAAAAGCAATGAGAACGTTGGAAGAGCTTGCGAGTGCTTTGGGCTTTGATGAGGACAGTTTGTGGGGATATGCCTTGTTTCCTGCGCAATGCGAGGCCTAGGTACCTAGGTTCAGACAATCGCTCCCTCATGTGTGGAAAGCACGTAGATCAAGTAGACACTTCCATCATCCGGGTGGTGGTCAAGTTGGAGCTTTTCCCACTGCGCCAACGTCCCGGATTCYGCTCGCGTAGGCCCAACGTGAACTGGATAGACKCATACGCGATACAGAATTGAAGGCCAGGCAGAGGATACCGTAGTCCGAGGGTATTGTGAGGTTTGATGGTGGTTGTCGCCTAGCCGAAAGGTTCTTGTGAATGATGGAGTCTCAGCTTGCTCTTGCAACGCCAACTTCCCGCCGCGGAATCCGCTCGCATAGGCTCAAAATCCACCGCATAGGCTCATACGCAATTGCACATGGAATGGTGTACAAAGAAGCCCTTAGTGCGAGAGTATCGCGGAGTTCGATGGTGTTTGTCGCTTGATCGAGAGATTTTTGTGAACTTTGGGCTTCGTCGCCCGCGCAGTACGATAACCACCAACCATACTCGCGCAGACCCAATATCCACCGCATAGGCCTATACACACTTGCAAATGGAAGCTTGCATGTATTTGACGCCTATGCAAGAGTGCTGGAAGAATTGATGAATGCTGTCGTCTGATGGAGGGATGACCGGGTGTGTGCTTCATGAACCGCGGGGCGTTGTGAGCGGAACATGCTCGCATAGGCCTGATATACACTGCATAGGCTTGCTAGTACATGCGTAGGAAAGCCTATATGCATCTTAAGACTGTGCAAGGAGTGCTGGAAGAATTAATGAATGCTGTCGTCTGATCAAGGGTGGACCGGGTGTATGCTTCATAAACCGCGGGGCGTTGTAAGCGGGTCATACTCGCATAGGCCTGATATGCACTGCATAGGCTTATAGGCACATGTATAGGAAAGCCCGCATGCATCTCAAGACTGTGCAGGAGTTTTGGGGGAGTTGATGGTCGTTGTCGTCTGATCGAGCAGTTCTCGCAGAGATGGTCAAGATTTTGAGCTTCGTCGCCCGCGGGGGCGTTGTGAGAACGGGACACGCCCGTATAGGCCTAATATACACTGCATAGGCTTATGAGCACATGCATAGGAAGGTCTATGTCCGTCTGAAGGATGTGCAAGAGTGTTGAGTGTGTTGATGTGTCGTTGTCGTTTGATCGAGCAGTTCTGCGTAGAGGTGGACAAGATTTTGAGCTTCATCACCAGCAAGCACAATGAGTTCGGAATACGCTCGCGTAGGCTCAACATTACCTGCATAGGTTGACGGACATATGTATAGGCAAGTCTGCATGCATCCCAAGGATATGCGAGAGTGTTAATTGTGTTGATGGTCGTTGTCGCCTGATCGAGCACTTCTCGCAGAGGTAGACAAGATTTTGAGCTTTATTACAAGCACGGTAAGTCCGGAATACGCTCGCGTAGGCTCCGCATCACCTGTATAGGTTAACAGACACATGTATAGGGAAGGCCGTACTAGACCGATGGCTATGCGAGAGTGCTAGAACATTACATCGCGCATGTCGATTGATCGAGGCTGTTCTAATCAGTGATGGTAGTAGTACTCGGCTAGGGCTTGGCGGCTAAATATCATCCCCTCGGCCTAACACGCGATGTGCTAGATAAATACCTACACCGCACTAATAAACATAAGAACTACTGCATAGCAAATAGAAGCTACTAATCATCCCTATACGACAGTCAGAATGTGAATTAAATGCGGTGGTCAATTGATCGAGAAGCTTGAAATTACTACTACGAATTCTCCCCGAATCCGCGGACTTGGCACGCTTTCCCGACATACCCTATAAGATATGCTAGATGAATACCTACACTATACGCATAAACATGAAAACTACTGTATAGCAAACGGAAGCTACTAATGATCCCTATACATCAATCAGAATGCAAATTAAAAGTGCTGGTCGAATGATCGAGCGAGGTTTACGAGATTGAGTACCGCTGAGCTGGCGTGTCGAGCTGGCGTGGTCGAAACCCGCTCGATCAAAGCAACAACTCTCCGCATAGGATTCTTTGTATGKCCAATATCTAGAGCGGATCAATCTCTATCCTATGCTATCATGCAAAAGTCTATGCAGTCTTGATGGCTGTTGATCGGGGAGTGTTTGCAGGATTTTGATCACTATCTTGATGCCAAGCGATGTGATTCTAGAAGAGGGTACATGTACCCTACGACTCTACTCCGATCCATCGTTTGCAGCTTTGACTTCTTCGTTTCCGTCACTGCACTCCTCGGCCGTCGCGCTCGCGGACATTATGAATGAGTGACTTGCGAAAACGTTCATCTCTCAAGGCCTCGCATTTTGTAATGGTGTCCCACTCAACGCAAGTACTTCACATCCAACCGGCGAGGACAGTGCGATCAAACTCATTCATCCATCTCATTCTGAATTCAGCCTTCGCCGTGCATTCTACTTTCTACCCCTACGATTCTGCAACCCATGTTTCCCTCTAAACGAGCCACCACCGCGCGCTTTACCAACTTTGCCAGCCGAGAAACCCTTGTTCTTCTCCCCTCCAAGTCCCCTTCTCTGCGGCCCACCACCACCACCCCGAGGACTCCTCGCATCCAGCTTCTTCTTCGCAGACATGACATCCTCATCCACGTCCATTTCATCATCATCACCAGCACTGGCGCGAGAATTCTTGAATTTCAATCCTCGCTGACCTTTGACGGGCGCATCCTTGCCCTTGAGCGCGGCCACGTAAGCGTTGATACCACCCTCGAGAGTGCCATCACCAGGCTCATCCCCGTCAAAGTCCATGACTTCTGCATCTGAATCGTTGTCGTTGAATACAAGCTTGCCGTCGAGATCAGTCTTGGCTTTCTTCTTCTTTCCATCAGTCTCCCGATTCTTCAAAGGCTTCGTTGATGACACATGAGCGAGTGCTTTACGATCAAGAAGATCCAAAGGCTCATCGTCGTCTTCCACAATGTACTGCTTGCCTCCTTGTTTCGCCTTTTGTCCTTTGGCGACTGAGCGGCCAAGAACCTCATCGTCGGAAATGTCAGAGCCAGCGTCTGATTCCGAAGCAGATCCGTAGACGGCCTCGTCGTATTCGCTCTCAAACTTGCCACGCTTCTTGTCAGTAGCGGTGGTCTCTTCGCCATCGCCCTCGGTCTTCTTTCTCTTGCGCCTTTCCCGCATCTTGCGGATGTTTGTTATGAGTTTTCGATCTGCTTCTGGTRTATGTCTCTCCACAATTTCGGCACCGAATCTACGGATCATCCGCTCGAAGATGTGCTTGACCTTGGATTTGAAATGTGCCTTGTGCTCATGACTCCAGACGATCAAGTTGGGAACCAAAGTCTCCAGCCGTGGTAGCATGACTTCGCTGGGCAGAGAGATGATACAGACCTTGACGAAGCCCAATACTGACTGCACAATCTCACGGTTGTTGGATGTGAGGAAGAGATCCATAGTCTGCACCAAGTCGGCCACGGTGGACTCCTGCATGCGACCGTGGAACTCGTATAGCAGTCTCGTCAATGCCGTAATAGACGCGGAGATCATGTGTGGTGTTGACCCTGCCAGACCGGCGGAGACCATTGTGAAGTATTCCTCCAGACTGGCATCTACAGAGGGAGCGTCTGATGGCATGTGAGGCACGTTTGCGTTGACTACAACACCACCATCTGCCATCTTCTCCGCCATGAGGACGAGAAGGTCAAATGCAGCTGTTCTTGCCTTTTCGTTGACCTCCTTTGCGCTGATGACGACCTCGGGGATGATTGACGGGATGAAGTGAAGATCGGACTTTGGTAGTCCAGGGATGATTTCCGCAATCGATGCCAGTCTATCTCTCCGCGAGGGCGCTGTAGCCTTGTCTGCCGCAGTGAGGATGAGTTGTTGCAAGTCTGCGTTCCGCTCCTCCAACGCTTGTCGACCAATCTCACTCTCGGACAATCGAGGAATCAGCTTATACGCCTTCTTCTGTAGTTGAGGATCGTCCTGCTTGTTGAGGATGTTGGCAGCCATGTTGAACAATCCGCTAAAGCTCTCTCTCGGTAGATATGTCGATATGGTAATGATCAAATCCATCAGAGTGTGCGAAGTCKGCGGCATCTTACTCTTGGCGTCCTTGTTCTGTGACTTTTGCTTGTCTGCTTGGGTCTGCGGTCCAGCTTCATCTAGAGATCCCTCAAGCATCGTRGCCACGCGTTGATAGGTCTCAATCAACTCCGACTCCGGCGTGACGCTCAAATATGCGTTGATGCATTGAAGGAGGTTCCCGCGGTTTTGCGGGAGAGTTTCTGCGTAGACATTGAAAAGGACTGCCAGGAAGTTGCTTGCGAATCCAGCTAGATGCTCTAGATTCTTCTGAGCGTCTGCCTTGGAAAGACGTCCTTGTTGGATAATGTCTTCCTCGCCCTCAACCTCCACGATAGCTTTGTTCGTTTCCACAAGATTCTGCAAAGCCTTGCAGATGACAGTCCTCAATTGAGGTTGCTGGTAGAGCAAGTTACTCAGCATCTCAGCGAACGACTGGTCCATGGCTTCTACCAAATCGAGTGGCAATTCACAGTAGCCAGGAAGGCATGACCAGATCTGACTGACAACGGTCTCGAAGATCTTGATTTCCATAGTCTTCTCTGCATCGCCGTGGTTTAGAACGCGCTGAAACATTGTCTCGCTCAAGGGAACAAGCTCCGTCCGGAAGTGTGCCAGATTGGTGTTGCTGACAGAGTCTCGCATGATTGGGAGTAACCATGCCCGACCAGGTCCAGAGGAGGATGTTCCAAGGTTGAGAGGGAGTACTCCAAGCACATTTCCAGGTCCAGATGATCGGATAGCTGCTGAAAGGACTGCGTCTGCCTCCTTCTTTCCGGTGAAGGAACCGTCGGTGCGCAAATCTCCAATCGCCTTGACTACGCTGTCCAACAGCGGCTGACTTCGCCATCTCAAAACCTCAAAAGCCGCAGCAAGCACGTTGAACACCTCCATCCAAGCTGTCTGGTATTTGACACTCAGAAGATCCCGCAGTGTCTTGGCAACCTTCTCCAAAGCCTTGTCATCCATGATCGATGGCTCCAACAATACGGACTCTGGTATGCAGGTATGTAGGAGGGAGATCAGGCACTCGGATGCAGAAATGCGAATGTTATGGGAGGAAGAGACCAGAAATGAGGCGATCTTGTTGAACAGCTTGGGGAGCTTTTGGAAGGTCTCGTCTGGTGCAATCTGGGAAGAAACGTCATATCCTCTACTCAGAACTGCTATCCAAGGTGGGAGAAGCTGTGAATCGTTTTGTGAAGGCTGCAACTCGGTAATCACCTCCAACAATCGAGGAAGTTTGGATGAAGAAACCTCATCTGCCATGCCTGCAAAGATGATCTCGAAGATCTCAAAAGCAGCCATTGTGAGGTACTCATTGTTGCCTCGCGAAATGTTGAGCAGGAGTTCGCATAGAGCATCTATCCTCTTACTCGGCCAGCCATTGTCCACTGTAGCCAATGTCTTGACCAACTGCATGGCGTGCATCAAGTTTGGATCGTTCTGTGTCTCGTCCTTTTGCTTCTGCTTCCTCTTCTTCGATGTTGCCTCATCCACGGCAGATTGTAAATGTCGCACTGCAGTCTCGGCACACATTTCGGCAGCAGGGTGATCGAGAGAAGGTGAAGGCGGAGGTTGTTTCAAAACGCTGCTCAAGGCTTCCTGTGCCCGCTTCCGCACTTTCGGTCGGTGGTCCATGGCTAGCGCAAGAAGTCCACCCATTGCGCCGCGCGGACTGGTGGTCGACTGTGGGAGAGCCCATGCTTGAGAATCTTGTGCTACAAGTAGAGACTCAAGACATCCTATGCTGGCTCGTAGTAGAGGTGCCTCCGCCTCGGGATGTGTCAAGGCCGGCGCAAGGCTAGCGAGGATTTGAGGAAATTTCGATCGGAGGAGTGGCGCGGGAACATGGCTCGTGACAAGATCGAGGAGGTATACAACGGAATTGGCGACTTCCTTGTTCACAAGCCCCTTGTCGGCGGAAATGTACTGTCCGAGAAGAGACAAGAGCGCAGCAAAGTATGCGGTGGGTGTCGGTTCGCTTTTCTGACTGCGCAGTGTATCTTCAATCGCATTGAGAACGACCGACGTCTGCTGCTGACTCTGCAGCTTCGGCGACGAGCGGATTTGGGTCAATCTCTCCTGCAGAGACATGGCGGTGGAATGTCGTCGTCTAGACGGTGTTGATCCAACTTGACAAAAAAAGTTGGAGAGCCGTGGATGATCAAATCAGATTAGATTAGATAAGATCTTCACATGCGATCCTCCCGTCCAACTTCTTTTGCTTCGGCCAGCAGAACAACACGACAGAATTTTGCAATTTTGACGTAGACAATCAACTTCAACATCCTACGCAGATGTGGGATACTGAGTGCGGAAGCACGTGGCGGGATTGAGCCAGCTTGAGCCAGACGCACAACCATATCGTCTCGATCAACACGGACAACCGTCGCATATGGACCAGCGCAACGGGGATTAACACCTTGCGGAGAGTCACATACAGAGGATTGTTTTCTATCGAACAATGCGTCTCTAATGGGGCTGTCCTTGTTGAATACATAGTTTTTGGCTGCCACAACTTCACCAGACCTCGAAGCTACCCCCAAAGCTTTTCGCAAATTCAGACGAATATCCACCGCACGAAGGACCACCTGCTACGGGTAGAGCCAGACTATACCACAGTGTCTAGCTACGGACAGGAACCTCTGATTGAAGAACCATCATCGATTGACCACGAGCAACTGCCAAGCTCCATTCTGCCCATTCCCTTAGACCTCTCACGATGTGTCGTATGGTCCGAAATGATGAACGTGAAAACGTAGATGACTGAGTTTTCACCCAACTTTTGATTTGAGAACATGTCTACCCGAGTGAATCTAATCCCCAGATATCCATATCCACATCCAGATCCCTCTTCATCCCTCGAAGAATCTAGTCCTCATCCTCATCCGCCTCGTCTCCAACCACGTTGAAGAACTTGAGGCTGTACTCGCCCTTGGAGGTGCTCACAACACGGAGCCAGTCACGAAGCTGCTGCTTCTTGAGGAACTTCTTGGTCAGGTACTTGAGGTAACGACCGCTGAAGTCCTGGTGTGCCACGACCTCAATCTTGCCGTCGCCGAGGTTGTTGACGGTGATGTTCTCGCCGAGGTTACCGGTGCGGCCATCGACCTTGATGCGCTGCTGGAGGAAAGTGGCGAAGGCGGAGGGGTCGAAGATACGGTCCTGGGTGGGCTGCTGGGCGTTGATGATGAACTGTCGCGCGGTGTTAGTATGTCTGCCGATGGGGAATGTTGGATGGGGAGTGATTGCTGTACCTTCTTGGTGGCAGACTTGGAGCCCTTCTTGGCTGCGCCGGAGGCGGACTTCTTCTACAGGATCAAAAAACTCAGCCTACTGCTCTATGCCGAACTGCCAATCAAGGCGTTGGCGGGCAGAATAGCGAGATACATACGGTGGTTGCGGCCATTTTGTTGGGGATTTTGGGGGGTAGACGTAAAGAAGTGGTTATCCTACGCTGTCAGGTGGTTGTCCAAGGTCGACAAGTGAAGTGCGCGCTGTCGCAAATTTCAAAGAGTGAGTGGATCGACGAACTCTTGGCCGGGGGGATTAAAGTGGAAGGTGTAGCGAGAGGCGTGTGCCCGACCTCACCATCCCCTCTTCACCAACTCATATCCGACACCGACACATCATCACCGCAGCAATGATCAATGCCGTTCTCGTGTTCAACAACAATGGACAGCCTCGTCTGACCAAATTCTACTCACAATTGGTATCGATGCTTCTTTGCGGCGGAATGATGGATGTTGTACAGTAAGTAACTCTCTCGCGTAGGACACCGCCGTCCAGCAACGTCTGCTTTCGGAGATTTTCACTCTGGTGGCAGCGCGGCCGGCCAGCAGCTGTAATTTCTTACCTTTGCCTCCACTCCTGGCCTCATCGTCGAGCTCCAGTGCGAGTACGCATGGCGAGCACAACGACGCACCTTCGCTGGTGACCTATCGTCATTACGCCACACTTTACTTTATTGTCATCTCCACCTCTACAGAATCGCCACTGGCACTTCTCGATTTCATCCAGGTCTTTGTAGAGGCTTTGGATCGGCTTTTTGAGAATGTGTGCGAGCTGGACCTGATCTTCAATTTTGAAACACTGCATGCTGTATTGGGCGAGATGCTGGTATGTTGCCTTTGAGCCCTTTTTGGGATGCACCCTGGTACTGACTACGTCTGAACAGGTTGGGGGCATTGTCATTGAAACAGGGCTGGAGCGGGTGGTGGAAGGCGTTCGGGCACAGTAAGCAGAACCGCCATGCTGCAGCCGTCTTGAAGACCCGTACCGATTGCTAACACTCCATAGGGGCCGCATTGCGAAGAGATCCGCCGTGAATGAATCCCGTCCAAGCTTAACGCRGTGGGTCGGGAGATAGTCCATGGTATATCACATTGGAAGATCGTCTATGATATGTCGCACTTGAAGATCGCCCCAGGGCGAGCCAATATCTGTTCCAGCTCACAAGAATGTCATCAGATCCGTACATGATGTGRGAGGCTTTGTTCCAATCTACATCATCGATTGTCTGCATTTGTTCGTTGAACAATGAGGAAAGGATAATGTCCTTGTCTAGCATCTTTGTTCCGAGTATCGCCCTCAGCCTACATGTCATTAAAGCACGCTTCTTCCTCTTGAAGTGAAAAGACCAAACCAGATCCTACATTGAGTTGAGACATATACCTCACATCCAATTCTCAACACATTGACTCACATCACACGGTGGTTCAGACATCCGCTAACTTGAGACATTCGGCTTCGACCACAACCACATACCACCAACATACACAAGTCATATTCATATAATGGATTCCTCCCGCAAAAGGTCTCGCTCCGCGTTTCCCCCGTATGCATCTCTACGAAAGATGACCAAAAGCAGCACTGATAGAAGACTCAAGCTTCGAGGGCTGGGTCGAAAACTAAAAGGACATTTCCACTCCCGTCCTCTGTCCGGTGGTTTCAACACCCCACAAGAACTGAGAAACGTAAGATCTGTCATTTCCCTCAGGCCAGTGAGAGACTTACGGCTCCATCAGGTAAGCGAACCCACTCCACTGCCGTCCGCCAGACACCGCTCTGTTCGATTTTCTCATCCTGCTGTACGATATGTCATCTCAGCGTTGCCTACACCACTTTCTACAGGAAAGCCTGTAATCGAGTCTTCTGGCGAAATCGACTCCTCGGCCGATGTTGAATTTCCCGGCCAGGTCAATGCGTCTGCTATTCATGATCGTCGATCCAACGTTACAAACTCGGTCTTGTATGATCAAATCTTCGATCAGCTAGATGGTGTTCTGGCACATCCGCGGGACAGCAAACTTCTCCGTCGACGAGCAGAAAAGAAGAACTTCAATGGCGAGCAACGAAGCACTACCGTACAGTTCCCCGCGGAACCATGGCCAATCCAAGGAATCTGTGGTTCCCAACCCATCGAGCTCAGGACCAAGAATGGAATGCGAACCCTCCAATACCTCTCGTTCCATGCACCCATCAAAGAGGAAGCTTTCAGCGACGAAGCAATCTTCAAGACGGCTGATGTTGGCAAAAGTCGAGAGCAGCACCGACAGGCCACACTGGACCAGTTGAGCATTCCTCGGGAAGACGATCGTTCCACGTCAAGACCTTCAAACATCCCTGGCTTTTACGCTACAAAGACCCAGTCAACTATTCTGGCTTTCAACGCTACTCATCAATTGAGTTTACCTGCTATTCTCAAAGTCTCGAATGCCAGCCAAACAACCCTCAGGACGCAAAAGCACAAAGCCCATGGAAACCAATCTACAGATCGGCACAGCCAGACTAGTCTCGAATGGGAGAGAGCACTGCAGCACACAGTCCAGCAACGTGATCGCAACTCGGACATTTCCTCTCCTCCAGCAGCAAGGCATACCAACAACAACAACAACAACACAGTACCAGCCACTGCCGACTTCCCATCCGCCATTCCAACCAACAATCCAAAACGCCGCACTCTCCYACAAAGCACAACACTGGATCTCCACCTCGCCACACCAGCTCTCAACACTGCAATAATCACTCCGAACTTCCCAGTTCGAAACCAAGAGTTAGAACAACACCGTCGCACCATCGTCGGCGAACAGCGCAGAGATTTGGCTTTGACGCCTTGCACTACTACTACAGGAGTGAAAATCCCTTCTACTGCCAATCTCCCGAGAACATTCTCCATCCCACGCAGAGGCGTCGGTCAGGCACCGAAGCAGCAGGCTGTCTCGGGGTTGCCTGTTTCTCGGCCGGGGAATGGAGAATATCAACCTTCCAACAAAATGTCAGCCATCGCTGCCTCCTCTGTGCAAACCATCCCAGAGCATCTTGAACCGCACCGTACACCCTCATTCGGCTCTCGTTTTGCTGCGCACAGCGAGACGGCAGTCATTGCGAAGCGTTCACGTCTGGCGGTACTGAAGAAGATCATCACCAAGAACTATTAGAACAGAAATTAAACTTTGTTTGCTGGATAATTGAGAGTTGCGGGGAATTTTATTAATCCGAATAATGAATTTGAGAAGGTGAGAGAAACATAAAATCAAATTTCATTCKGTCTGATTCCACAAGCTTCAACGTAATTGATCTGGTCTGAGAATGAGTAAGGAGCCAGCTTTCCACTCGAAATCCCTTGAACGTGTCCCTCGCCAGCACCCCAAACACCAGACCGCTTCCGCGCTTTTCAAGCCAGAGTACCTGGCAGTCGAACTTGTATCGGAGCCGTGACGTGATGACAATTGACCGGCCAGGATGCCACTTGTATAGCTGGTTGAAAGAAGGAAAAATTGAAATGACACAAGACTGAACGCCGACCCTACTCTCTTCGTGTCACTCCTTCGTTCCCTTTGTGTTTCTGTTTCTGTTTTCCTCGCGTTCTTTTCTCGCGTTGCTCCAGGTATCTGCAAATCTCATGAATACTAAAACGTAGTCAGCGGAGTGCTTCTCAATTACTACAGGAACAAACTCACGCTTGCAATACCCAGGCGACTTTACTGTGGTAGAGTTGAGATGCTCCGCTCTCGGGAAAGCGTCATGCGCGGTTCGCAAATGACTGTGTGGTGTCTCCGGCTGTGGATTGCTGAATGGAAGGTGCAGGATCCTATATGTTGAGCATATCCATCAGATCCTTTCCCAAAGCCTCCACGCCTTCCATATCAGAGAACTGGTGCTCACGAATCCAGTGCACGCGGAGCCAGATTTCTTCCTCTCTTGGGACAGGGTAGTAGAAATCTTCCATTGCGTATTGAGGAATGATGGACCGCTGCTGCCAATTGACAGTCTCATTTCCCTCCGTGCGAGGTGCGCCAAGAAAGCGGCCGTGCAACTTGTCCGTAGAGATACGGTCATCTCCCTCGTACTTCATCTCCATCCTGCTGGGCCACACTGCGATTTCCTTATTGATCCATCCATGATTGGTGGCATGTCTCACCTCACGACCCTCCTCGAAGTCAGGCGCGAAGACAGTCTTCCGAGAAAGCACCGCCGAGTCGTTCCCCTTGAAGACCTTGCCACCAAAGGCTGGTTTGATTGCTGGTGGCGTTGCGGGCAGTCCGAGGCGAATCCGCTCGGCGGCATCATCGGTGTGATACTTGATGTTGCGCTCCAATTGAGCTTGTTGTATTTCGGCAAACTCTTTCTTGTGCTGCTCAACATCGAGGTTGAGCTCCCAGGCGATGGAGTTTGGTGCGATTTTGCGGCGAGAGTTGTTCATGCGTTTATTCTGGTCCTCTTTGAGGACTCTCGGTGCGACCCACTTGCGAGATTGCGAGTACATGACTTGAAGATGATGCTGGGGTATGATGCAAGACGGGAAGGAGGTTGCGAGTTGGCGAGCTTGCCGTCAAGGCTGCCGTGTCGTGCGATGCTATTGTGCAATTCTTGAATGGCTGCTTGGAGCGCGAATGACAGACTACAAAGACTCTTTTCGTACGGTCAGCGATCCGAAACAATAATCAAAATGGTGCAATGAAGTGAATTGGAGTCCTGAAAGTAGTGGCATCCAACGACGAATGTGGTCACAKATCCAGTTGTCGGACTCGGAAGAAGAGGACTCGATGTTGCTGGTAACTGCGGTCGACGGTGGAGCCAAGGAGAAGGTACAAGAAGCGAAACTGGTACCTTTTGTCGTTGCCGTTGTCGTTGTCGTTGTCCAGCGCGAGGTCCTACGGAGGCGCGAATTCTCCGGGGGCGGCTGTGTTAGTATATTTCAATCGATAGGCTCGAGTTGCCGCGGAGCGCGTGCTCCTTGGTACGCTGAGTGACAGCGAGCCCACTGAGTGTCGACGTCGGGCCTTTAGTATGCAGCGATCGGCGGCGGCCGCGAGGTCTGAATGTGCTGCTTGGTTCTGAGGATAGCGCGCGTGTTCTGCACGTCATGTACACGATGAAGATGTGTTGAGAGGGATGGTAGAGGTAGTTGGAGTGGCTGATGGATGAGTGTTGAAGATGCTTTTCAAAGAAAGGCAAATGACCATGTAGCCCTGCGGCTCAGTCACGCGTGCCGAGCACGAAGCTTGTGAATGGAGAGAGGCCGAACGTATCGCCTTATGATTGTGTTGGTGATAGCGAGCAGCGGCGGTGATGACCTGGCAGTTGATGTGCTCGAGCTGGAGGTGAGTATCAATGGCGTCTTGTGGTGAACGAGTTGGTTGAGATTGATGGTGTTGAAGCAGTCGAAGCAGCGGAGGTGTGAAGTAAATATATCGACGCCATCCGGCATATGCGTTCTTTTCGAGCAGAGTGAAGCCTGCCGCACGCGGAGAGCTCCGCCGGCGGTAAGAGCCACCCCCTCATGACACGCACTGTACGAAGAATAACCTCAACGCCCGAGCACATTGATAGAGCGGGAAATGTTGACAATCGAACAGGATGGAGAAATTGACAATAGGAATGATCATAGTCGCGCGTAGGCTCTGCGTACCGGCGCCGCCGTGGCACCATCTTAGACGTACTCTGAGCTGCTCAGCTTACATACACTGTTGCTGTCGCTGTCAGTATAACTATTGTCTACGCTCAGTGGAACGACACGTGAAGAGATGTTGGATTGGAGAAGGAAGACGTTGATGACTGAAAGCAGGGGTTAATGTGGGTCCGCATGACGCCACGTGCACTCCCGTCTCCAGGTGAGGTCCAAAGTAAACTTCGTTCCAGGACAAGGTTCCAAGCGAGGAGAACTACCTACAAGGCTGACTTGAGCGCCTCTCTCGATGTGACGCAGCTTTGGATGGACTGCCTGTACGAAGGCGACATGCAGTCCATGGGCAAGTACCATCGTCACGACCACCCTGGTCGATGAAACAGGGAAAGCTGCTGCAAGGAATCACTAGCGCCATCGCAAGCCACGCCTTTCACGTTGATAAGAGCCGCGATCCCAAACGTTCTTTCTTTCTTCTCGCCTCGTCGAAGAGCGGACTCTCCTCCTCCCTCAGTCGCTTCGGCGATGGGAGGAGGAAGTCCAGCGTCAATCCGCCCAGGCAATGATCATGGAGCCGGGTGATGTTCCTTGGCGCTGTTTATGGCCGCGCGCTTCCTACTGCGACCGCAAAAGATGACAGGCCACTGGAGAGTCGAAAGTTGAACGGCATTTTCTAGCCAGCCTCGATTCCAGCACACTTGAGAAAATTCTGGAGTTCCACGAAGCGCATTCGACTGTCCGCCCGCGTACGACCCTGCATCAAACCTTTTCGACAACGTGGCTCGGCGGGACACACGCCCACGATGTCTGTACGCCGTCTCGGGCAAAGTACTCAAATGGATTCATGAACGTCCATTTCAACGAGACCTTACAGTATGTATGTTCTCCTTTGTTTCACATTCTCCAATACTGACCATTCTATAGACATCCCGACTTTCTCGCCGTCCACCATGGCAACCTTGGAGAATCAACAGAAATCACCAAATCCCGCGCCTCCGTCTCAATCCGCTGGCGCCCATGAGTCGCGCGACTACTACGCTTCGCGGGCTGTATGTCACGACCTCCGCCATGGAAGAGCCATACCTTGCACCAAACCTCTTGCTTCGAGCTAGACTCCCCTGACCGTTGGCCCGATGTCGTGAGTCGGGCCGTCAAACACCTGACCTTTCCGTCTTCCATCGCCGGGTGGAAGACTTCTGCGTCAACTGTGCGATTACACGGCTGGGTGTGAGACTTTAAATATGCTCAGTCGGAGGAGTGCTGGGTCTCTGTGTCTTGCAGCTTCTGCGCAGACATGGACGCATCATGCAACCACCGAGTTGGAATTTGCGCAAATTGTGCTCACCATGACCGTTCTTGCGTTGTGCACTGCTCCTGTTATTTCACAAGCAAGCGTGTGAAACCCATTCCCACCTCTCCCGCCACGATCCAGAGACCTGTGATGTCCATCGAACGGATGTTACGAACTTCCCACGATTGGACGGTTCCGGGTGTCCAGTGATCTGGTTAAAGTGCGAGAGGAAGAGGAAGGCGATGTATTTCCTTGGTTAGTCGCCCTCGTCGCCCYATCCATCCTGCTCCTCTGCCTTCCACCTCCCGGATCTTGAGGATACCTTTGCATTCAGACTTGGACTGCTGTCGAACCTGGTACTTGACGCACAAGCGTGGCTTGCCCCTTGTGCTGAAAGATGCAGATTCTACATTTCTCATCTGAAGAAAAGATGCACCTCACGGTCCGGTGAAGGAAAGAGGTACGAGCCGGACATGTGTTGCTGTGCTATAGGCGCACGGCATCAGTAGCTTTTCCGATCTTAGGAGAGGGAGCTTCTGGGGCATGGCCGCTCATTCGCCGCTTCTATGCGCAGACCTTCCTTGCAGCTTTGGCGCAGGTTGCGTCTAGCGCGAGATGTCGAGCTGACTGGTAACGAGCGTTAATTGATCTTGAGCGAGACGCGCTGTAGTGCGGTTGCATCTGGCATCCCTGTCCTCTGGATACGGGGTTGATTCTGAGGCGATCTTCTTAGACCGCTGAAAATCTGACGTGCTGCCATGCAATGGAAAGGTTCATCAGCAAGGCCTTTACGGCAAAGCTTGATTGTCATCACGCTCTTCRACCACGTTTGAGGAGGCCTTTCAGCCGAACTTAGCTAGCAAATCAACAAAAAAAGGTCTCCTCATACCACGCTCTTTCGTTTCGCAATCGAGTTTCTTAACGTTGTCGTTTTGTGCCTTCAGAAGTCAGCCCGTCTCTGCCTGTTATACTCCAAATACACTGCCAAAAGAAAACCCGGCCTGTCGATGGTTTGCACATCGACCGGCATTGCGGGGAGAAGCCCCGCCAGCCGATACGCGAACCGGACCGCGATTGGCGTCATTTCACCCTGCTTACCTTATTGTGCGCACATCACTTTGTGGATCGCGATTAGCGACACTTGGATGTATTGAACATCCAACCACCTGCTGGTCAATATCCTATACAACGCCTCTGCATTTCAAATACAGGTCACGCGCGATAGCAGATTTCTCATCCCTGTCTACCATGATACCCTACCTATGACACGACGCGCCTGTCGACCCTAGCAGACATGAGCAACATGAGACCCCCACCGCGGCCGCGGTCCCGCAATCACTCGCAGTCTTCACTGTCACAGGCCTCAATGCGAAGTGAGTCTAGCATGTCCAACGCATCATCAATGGAGGTTCCTCAGATCTCCCAGCGGTCGCCATATCTCCAACAAATGGCACCGTCAAGACCGTCAACAGCCGGGGGTCCGGGACCCTCACAAAGCACTCAAACACTCCAGGGAGTTCCGCGACAAATGACCAGGACCTCTGTGGATGCCATTAGGACTAACTCCCCAATGCCGAACCAGCATCCTGGCCAGCGGAACAGACAGTATAGTCAGGGCTTTTTCGAGCCGAGTCTGCCGAATGCTGTTGGGAGCAATGTGCGGAATGCATCTCAAATTGCTGCGCAGACTGCAATGCATCATTCATCGCCTCCCGTAACCTTGGTCGGCCAGGAACGCAAGCGCTCGTACCCTGGACTGGCTCCCATCAACACTGTCGGTCCTTCGGGGAGTAACCGACGACCCAGCGAAACCCTGAGTCCACAGTTACCATCAAATGCGGCACTTGTGTACAGCAATGGTAGCGTTGGAGGGAACAGGCTTGTAGCTACTACAGCTGCAAATGTCGCGTTCCCGAATGGCAGAAGTCCTCTTCCTTCACCCGGCCTACCACCTCAACGCGCCAACTTCGTATCCAGTCCTCCTCCCGACAAGGAAGTCAAGGCCAAAACCTCGAAGATGAAGTTGYTCAAGCCCAAAAACATTGTTCTTTCAAAGGAAAAGGATGGCAAAGCTCTACCCAGCATTCCCTCTCCCAGCAAAACGCCATCCGCTGCCAACTTCCTGCGAGGCGGTTTCCCGAATGCATCAACAACAAGTCTCATTGATCCGAGCTCAAACGCTGGCTCTCTATATTCCTCTGCAAATGTATCTACATCCACGCTAGTCCCGGCAATATCAGAAAAGGACAAGGAGAAGCGCCACCACTTCCTGTCGCGGCAGAAGAACAAGCTTCGCGATGAGCCCACACAACTGCCGTTATCGTCAGCACATTCCAACTCGCAGGCAACAAATCCAGAAAAACCGCAACCACTCTACAATTTCACGCCAGATTCGCCAGGGCCCAGCACGTTCTCCAAGACCATGTCCGGCTTTGATCTACGGCATGGCGGTCGAGCGTTGAGAGAGAAGAAAAAGGAAGAAAAGGCTGCGGCGGCGGCGGCAAGGCTAGAACTCACCCCCATCATGTCCAACACATCCGCTTCCGGGATGGGAGATCAACTTTTGGGACCTAGTAGCTTTGAGACCAGCATGGGAGGTCCGCCTTCGGGAGGTGCGAGCTTGTTTYCATTCCCTACAGAGACTCCCTTGCCTGTCAACGCCCATTCATTCAGCAGTATTGGTGCTTCCATGGGTTTGCCCGGTATTGGACCTGACGATGCATGGCCCTTGCTCAAGGCCAGGCTGCTGAATCTCTTCTCTGGCGAAACTTTGATAACCCCAATCGAGGATTTCAACACCCTGGTCAGTGTTCACATCCGACGTTGCATGCAGCGCAGGTCGCCTGTCGTGCTGGTTGAAGATGTGAGGGAGCTGTTGCAGACAGGCTTTAGTTCGCTCGCACAGACATTGAGAGGTGTGCCCGATGACCGGCTTGTGACGAATTTGGTAGAGATGTGGATAGGACTTTATGGTGCGATTTTGCCATTTCTGCAAGCAGTCTTTCTTCCCCTGGAGCTGGAATTCAAGGGACGCGGGACTCTTATGACGGCGCGTGAGGCACAGGAATTCTGGGGCGCCATACCTGAAGCTCTCAAAATGGATGAACGCCCCTCGTCCGCCAGCGAAGCAAGCCGCAGCGGACACATGTCGGAAGAACTTGAAATTCGCCGCATCACGCTGATTGCCTTTCGCGATACAGTGATACTCCCCAAGCATGAGAGCATGCTCAACATCTTCAGTCGATTATCTCTCGATAGCATCAATGCCGGCGTGGCGTCTGATTCGAGTGGTAAAGCTAGAGAACACGCGCGAAGCGATCCGGTAGCCCCAGGTGCAGAGCGTCCTGGAACTGCCGGCAGTCTCAGCCCACGGCTCAGCAGCTTCAACTCACAGGGCTCCACATACTTGGACGCGGCGAGCAGTTCTTCAGGAGGTCATGCGAACCGCAGCAGAACCACATCCAACACATCCGCAGGCAGTTTCGGCACCAATCTCCCGCATGTGCACTCCCCTTCACTAGGAGGAGGACCGGGATCCTTCAACGCCACAAGTCATCCCCACCCTCCTGCTCCCCTTCTCGCGGACCCTGCAAAAGTCACAGAGACCGTGGCGAGGATGTTGCAGTGTTTATATGTACTTGCTGCGTGTCGAACGGGAGATGGTGCGCAGGCGAGTGTAGAGCGGCTTACGAGCGCTTTGAAATACAATTACCTCGCGAGAGGGCGGACTGGAAGGGATAGACGAGGTTGGGTTGGTATGAAAGGTCGTGTGGGATTGGTTGGTGCATAGAGGAGGGATTGATTGTGGACGCTGGCGTTTGAGCTGTTGGATTATGGAATGGGATGAGATGGGATGGGATGTGATGGGACAAATTTGACGTGATGATTGATGTTGTGATGCTGTCGGAGATCTACAGTACAGTACAGTACAGTACAGTACGTTGACGCACCGGGGTGACTTGGGGATTAGCAGAGCAGGCCTATGGTTTGAAAGTGAAGCAGAGCTTCAAAGCGAATCAACTTGCGCTCTTGGTGGCGTTGAATGACATGCAGTCCTTTCTCCGAATGTTGTATTCAAGAAGCCCTGTCTCCCTGTGGATAGGATCAAGGGTGTGACCAACTTTGCAAGCATCACAGCGAATGAACATATGCATGTCGATAGCATATAAGCATGATATGATGCTTTCATTCGTTCGTAGCTAGAGCAATACCCATCGCTGCATAGCATAGCAAGATGCATACCCAATCTATACAATCAAACCCACATCTCGGGCCTCCCAAGAGCAGCAGCAGTTTCCAATGCCACGAGACGCCATTCCCAGGTATCCGAAAGAAGAACCCCATCCCAATGCACCAGGCAGGCCCTTACTCCCCCAAAGAAATCCAAGAGAAAAATGCACTTTGCTCATTTATCGTTGAGCAGAGCTGCCACGCCCGTCCACTTTTGCTTCAACAAGTCGTGGTCTGCTTGTAGCTGTGATTGGAAAGTCAGTTTTTCCAATTCATTTCATCTCTGAACAGCAAATGCAAGAGACTCACCTGCGCATACGCCATTTTCGCATTGACGAGTTCCATCTCAGTCTCGTCCATTTCTTCCCTCAATGCACGATTCTCATTCTGCACTTCGATATTCCTCTGCATGATTCGGTCCATTTCTTCCTTTAGGCGCTCCTCAACTTCAGCAGGTTGTGTATCCACCACCTTTGTCAGCGCAGAGATTTGCATTTCCAGCGCTTCCTTGGAGTCATGCAATGAATCGTTTTCGACCTTTAATTTGACCAATTCCTGCGCCATGGAGACATGCTCGCCATCTTGCTGCTGAACTTGCTCCTCCAGCGCGCGTACTTTGGAATGAAGTTTTATATTTGACAGTCGCAAGTTCTCCGATTCGAGATTGCGTGCTCGTTGCTCTTCCCATTCCGCAGCGTATCGCGCCAGACTTTCGTCTGTGATTTGGATGCCGCATGCATCTCGCACCATCTCGTCGGCCCTGTAGAGCTCCTTGTCGACGCCACCACTAACGGAGCCGAAAAAGCCCGAGTCGAGGATTGAAGACGCAGAAGGCGATTTGTCAATGTAGACGTCAAAGATCTTCTCCTTGAGGAAGTTGGTCAGTTGGCTCATATCATTCATTTCAAGCAGTGCTTCCCGGTTGCGCTGCATGAGCACGACTCCAAACTTCAAGATGGCGTTGAGTCCTTCCCTGAAGATCAAATCGTATATCCGCAAGACCAGCTGTAGCGGAAATCGATACACAAATAGTGTCAGGAACCACTGCGTGGCGTATAGCTCCGGGTTAACATTCCGTCTTCGAAGATGGCAACATAGAGCCGGTTCATACGCTTCCAGCAAGCGTTCGAATTGGTACAGTCGCAGGTGCAAGCCAGCCAAATCTTGGGTGAACATGCTCCGTAGATCATACTTGGCCATCAGCCTCACAAGCAATGTAAAGGCCTCTTCTTCGCTCATGTTGAACAGCAGGGGCATCGCGATAAAATTGATACCTTGTGCGTATCCCACTCCCTCATCAAAGAGGGCGTAAGCTTTACACACGCCAAACAGCCCGTCTTKGAGGCCGGCAGATTGTGTGAATTTGCTGTAGGATGTTCGGGTGCCAAGATCTCGTTTGATCGCCTTTTCAAGCTTCTGCAGTGATGCAGCTTCCCGCTTCTGCTTCTCGGCCATGAGTCCTGTAGGCATTTCTGTGGCCGGAGGGCTAGCCCGGCCTGATATGACACCCGAACGCGTGGATTCGTCGCTCGAGGCATCGGACGTCAAAGTATCTTTATGTTGTGCAATCCCGTTGACACCGCCAATGGTTGATTGCGGCCGAGAGGCTGTGGGTTTGACATCCGCATCTGTGCCCCTAGCTTTCAGCATACGGTATACATTCTCCAGCTCTTCGTTCTTGCTCTCGGCCAACACTTGCCATACGACACCCCTGATCGCTGGCGGAATTCCACCGGTGATGGCTTTTGTGAGCTCGTCTCCACTTGATCTAGCCACGGCCGCAGGACCCTCATATACCACTTGTTGCCATAGATCCCAATTGACTTCTGAAGGTTCAGCTGCCGGGCCTGCGTCCGTCCCAGCTGCTGTCCCCGGCGGCAAGCTCATGTTCAAGGTTGGAGCCCGAGTGGGCGACTTTGCAGTGAACGAAGACGTTGACATGCGTGATCCGCTATCCCTCTTTCTTGGGCTTCCTGGCATGACTTCTCCTGTTGTTCCCATCGCTTCTTGCTCTTGCTCTGACGATGACGGGCGGGTGTTGTCATTTGAGCCAAACTCGCCCTGACGGCGTAGRGACGAGAATTGGTCCTGCAGGCTGGGCTTGACGCCGTCGTTCATTCCCGCCATGCTGCCGTCCATTGAAACCATCGAGGCCATTGAAGCAGCGGTACTACGCCTCTCCATGCCAGAGGCTGCTGGGCGTGGAGCAGGAGGCGATCGTGCAGGCTTGCGGATGCTGCCCATGCGGCCTAGCAATGCCCCAAACCCGCTTGAAGCTTTCCGCGCAAGATTGTCTGGTCGTGGCGGCGGTGTCGACAAGGCTTCCTCTCTTGACGGCAGTGCAGGCGGCGGCATACTTTCGCTGGCAGACGGTATGACCGGGATTCGGGTGGKCGAYGGGGAACGGAGGGTTTCCTTGGCTGAGATGGCGGGACTCAACGATGGCTTGGGGGCGAGGGGAGGGCTCATCGGGGAGGCTACCGGCGGCATCTCGTTCGCACTCTGTTCAGACAATCTTCGCTCAGCAGGGGCTGCATCGGTCTCGGGGTTGGCGTTCGGCGTAGGTGTTGGAGATGTAGTTGCAGCGTCTGTAGGTATATCTGTATCGGTAACCTCAGAGGTTGCTTCTTTTGCAGGCTCGTCGACGGTCGTCGTCGTCGTCGTCGTTGTCGTCGTCGTTGTCGTGGTATCTTCCGCAGCGTCTTCAAACTACGAGCATTGGCTGTTAACATCTCCTTTGTCTAGACATATCGTCATAGCGATGGGCCATTCTGCAACCTACCGGCTTCTCATCATCGCTCTCGTCCTTTTCCTTCAACACCTTGACCTCCGCGACGTCGCCATCACTTTCGGCCATGGCGACACGGATGGAGATGCCAGTGCTTTTGGTGAGCGACTGACGCGGGGATGCCTTTCCGCGAGATGGTCGCAAGCTGCGTCTTCGATCAGGAATTCCAGGAGCTTGATTTCGAATGCGCGGAGCTTGCTCGGTGGCAGTGGGCAGGATGTCGGTGGTGGTGAGGATGTCGTGTTGCGGTGGGAGGTCCCGAATAATGGGAGTTGGATTCGCGGTCACGGACATTATTTACTGCAGTAGCACCAAAGAATATGGTACGGTATGGATACCGGCAGCTGACGGCACAATAGATCACCAGAGATGAGAGTAAAGGAGAGAAGATACATTCACAGCTACAGATGCTTCCCTCTTGCCAATGACAACAAGGGCGAATATTTCGCCGCCCGCGCGCGAGTCGGCCTCAGACGCCAACACGAGCAGAAGACGGGAGGGCATCGAATCCAACTGGACTGGACCTATTCAAGGGCACCCCAGCAACAGGGGTCCATCGCATTGGGTAAGTAAGGTAGGTAAGGAGGTGTGTCTGTTGGTTCTATTCCGAGCTCCAAAGGTGGGCCACTCCGCCACGTAGATCCGTATCACGCGCTCGCGCACACCTGCATGACCCATCTTCCATGGAGTTGGTAGTTCTAGTGCTCAGTGTRGCATGCCAACAAACAGCTTCAACAATAAAAAAAATGTCCGATGTTTTCAAGGTTGGCATTTGCAGAAGACCCCCACAACGCCACGCAACGCAACCTTCAATCCAAACTCAAAGAAAACACGCTTTTGATCGGTTTCAGATGCAGATGCAGCTGTCAGCAGCTCGGCACATCATCCTTCTTCCCCATCGTTTCATCTTCTTCTTCTTCTTGGTTCTTATATCAACCCATCATCACGCATCATCAAAGCCCCAACCGCCACGACACCCGGAGCCCAGCCTAGCCTAGCCTGCATTCTTAGGCCTTGGAATCGACGCATCCCGTCATATTGCCAAGAGGTACGCTTAGGTATGCTCTCAAGATGCGCATCAACATGATATACGACTCCAATGTGTCGCCGTCGCCGTCGTCGTCAGCGTAAGCGAGACTTACTTCCGACCGACGATGGGTGCTCTCATCAATATCACGTGGTAGGTGGTTCACTGTCGACAATGGCCTTGTCAAGCCGACAATAAGCATGCCACGGGAAAGTTGACACAACTCCTTTATTCGGGTTGAACAAAAGAATTCCTCAATAACGGATAATGCTATTGACACACTCACTGCACACCACTATGGCAATGTTCGGAATCAACGTCGTTGGAGTACTTAACTTGCCAAAAACACCATCTATTCTTCAGCTACTCCCATCCTGTTACTTGCCTTCATCGAGTAACCCAACCTCGCAACGATTTCGCTCATAGCAATTGTCTGCTTCAACACGTCCTCCAACTCCAGCAGGCTCACAGCCCGCAACGCAACGCCAACAACCATGTCGGGCTCTGACATGGAAAAGGGCGCTGGCGTCCATTCTCCTCAACAACCGCGTGCAGCTGTTGTTTTCCCTCGTGATAGCTTCCTCCCTACCTACGAGGAGCATCTCAACACCGAACTGCGCAACTTCCCCGACGCAGCCCCTCAAGCCAGGCCCCAGCCGTTCGACCGCATCGAAGAGCCAGCAACAAAGCGAAAGGCCCTTCTGCGTCGTCGGTCATGGTGGTCTGCAATCTCCACCGTTCTCTTCCTTGTTATCTCAGCGGTCATCGGTTCTGCGGTCTTCTTGTACCGTTCAACCCACCTCAAGGACAGCGGTACGAAGGTATCCCTCCCCTCTACCTCTTATCACACTGTCACTCTCAGCACGCTGACCTTCTCCGAGCACGTCTCTGAAACCAGCATGCCGATGCCCGCGCGTGAAGCAGCGACTGTCACCTTCTTTCCAACGACGGTCACCATCACCGTTCCCAAAACCACCGTGTACGTCACTGCTCCGGTGCCAGCAACAAGCACTTCTACCCGGATCGTCACTGTCCAACCTTCATCTACAACCACTACTGAGGCGGACTTGCTCCCTACTACAGGGGAGCCATCCCTCATCACTTTCTCGACAGAGGCAACCTCTGTCGCATCGTTCTCAACTTCGAGCACCTCAACTTCGAGCACCTCAGCTTCAAGCACCTCAACGTCAAGCACCTCAACTTCGAGCACTTCGACTTCAAACACATCAGCTTCGTCGTCCTCAGAAACTACTCCACCACCTCCTCCACCTCCTCCACCTCCGTCAACAGAGTCAACGACTCTGGTCTCGGTCACAACGGCTACGGCTACACCAACCACAAGCTCAATACCTCCACCACCAACACGATCAGGTCGCGAACCTGGCTTCTGCGGTGTTGTTGGGGAAGCATGCGCTTAAACTCTACCATCTTTAGAGGGCTGTTCATGGGCGTTTTGGGCCTGTAAATTACTGGTTTGGGAGGAATAGGGGAACAACAAACAAGGAGTTTCATTCACTTACTAGCAAGAAAAAAAAACAAATTTCATCAAAAGCAACATGTCTCATCTCATTTGTGCAGAATCAATCTTTCAACTGTAGCTTTGTCGTTATTATATGTATTCACCTGGTCGTCGCATGTCTGAGTTTTGAAAGCCACGGTCTCAGAATCTACCCCTTTGTCCTCTCGAACATCGGTGTTGTATGAAGATCTCAACGCAAGCGACAAGATCATATTCACCTTCACCTTCACGATAATCGAACCCAGAGCTGTCGAAATGAGAAAATCATCAACATAACCGCGCCCCCAAGCTGCCCTGCCCGTCGAATAACGGGGCTACTCTGCTGGCAGGAAAGGTTCTAGCAGCTCCAGCGTTGTCGATTCTGCATCGTCTTGCCTCGATTAAAAAAGATACTCACATCGGGTACAGCTCTGGTCGGACTTTTTTGTAAACGGGAAAGAGTAATTGGCAGATTGGGCTCTTTGATTGCTGAACCTATCCTAGCCCCGACGTCTGTAAAAGACACCGTTACCTTAATTCTACATCCTGCTTCTTTGCCTTTTGAAAGCAACCTTGAATAAACATCGCTCCATCAACATCATGCTCCATTACCATTAATGCAAATCAAAAACGAACGTGGATGGGTACGACGGGGGTACTCCATCAACACCATGTCAAGCAAGAGACACGGAAGATTTAGAACCGGAGATCCCATCCAATCTTTGGACCGATTCTCGGCAGCTCCTGGGCAACCTCCTCGACATCCTTGTCTCCTCTACCCGAGAGACAGATGACGATGTTCTCATCCTCTTYCAGCGTCTTGGCGAGCTCAACGGCACCAAAGATGGCGTGACTCGACTCGAGCGCGGGAATGATGCCCTCCAATTCGGAGAGCAGTCGGAAACCGATAAAGGCCTCGGAGTCGGTGGCCGCGATGAAGGTGGCGCGAGCGCTGTCCTTCCATCCTGCGAGCTCGGGACCCACACCTGGGTAATCCAAACCTGCGGAAACGGAATGCGTGTCGGTGATTTGACCCTGTGCGTCTTGCAGAATGTACGTCCGCACGCCGTGGAGCACACCTGGCTTGCCGCCCGAAAGAGTAGCACTATGTCTGCYTGTCTCGATACCGTCACCACCAGCTTCTACGCCCAAAAGCTTGACGCTTGGATCCTCTGCGAATGGGGAGAACATGCCGGATGCGTTGCTGCCACCTCCAACGCAAGCAATCACAGCGTCTGGGAGCCTGCCTGTCAAGTCCTGCATCTGCCGCTTCGTCTCCTGTCCGATGACGCTCTGGAATGTTCGCACAATGGTAGGGAAGGGGTGAGGACCAATTGCAGATCCGATGATGTAGTGTGTAGTGTCCAATCTCTCCACCCACTTGCGCATTGCCTCGTTGACGGCGTCTCGGAGTGTGCGTGATCCGGATTCGACAGCCACAACCGTCGCACCGAGAAGCTTCATGCGGAAAACGTTCAACGCCTGTCTGCGAACATCCTCTGCTCCCATGTAGACTGTGCACTTCATGCCGARTCTCGCACAGACGGTTGCAGTCGCTACACCGTGCTGTCCGGCACCAGTCTCTGCAATGATTTCATTCTTGCCCAAACGCTTTGCGATCAAAGCTTGGCCGATGGCATTGTTGATTTTGTGTGAACCGGTGTGGTTGAGATCCTCGCGCTTCAAGTAGATGTTGGCGCCGAATCCCGGCTTGGCGGCCTTGCGTGTGTTGTCTGTTAGTCGCTCGGCTTTGTGGAGAGAGGAAGGTCTGCTCATGTATGGGTAGTATGAGCGGAACTCCTCCCAGAAGGTTGGGTCGTTGCACGCAGCACTGAAGCCTTTCTCCAGCTCGGACAGACAGTCCATGAGCGACTCTGGCACATACTGGCCTCCAAACTGTCCAAAACGGGATGGAATGAGCTCTGGATCCTTCTCGTCGGTGTTGAGTGCCTCGAGCTGGTCTGCTAGGCCTGGTCCATCGCCAGCCTTGACAACCCCATCGACATGCACGATACCGTTCTTTGGATCACTCTCGCTGGCGGGTCGCTTGGTGGGATCGGCAGTGGATATCTGTGCCGGTGCAGCCTCGTTTGTTCGGGTGATCCRGCCGCTGCCATCACCATTGGGGTTTGCGTCAGTTGAGATGCCATGTCCGTTGGAATCGCCGTTGGAATCGCCGTTGTTTGGGGACACGCGCTCGTTGCGTCGGAGGGTGATGTTGTGGCAGTATTCTTCTACCGCCTTGGCGCCTTCTCCTTGAGGAGCATTCTTCAGGGTGGTGATGATCTGACTGCCAATGACAACACCCTCAGAGACCTTGCCCACTTCGACAAAGTGCTCTCGTGTGCTCACACCAAAACCGACCGCAGCCGCCACTCCACCAGAGTACTTGTGCACTCGGTCCAATAGATCTGGCAATCCCGTGCTCAATGCTCCAGTCGCTCCAGTGACTCCCATGCGAGAGACGACGTAGATCATCGAGTCTGCAATCCCACACAGCAATTTCATGCGCTTCTCACTGGTCACCGGTGCAATCAATGGCACATAGGACAGACCATAGTTGGTACAGTGTCCTCGGAAGCGCACAGCCTCCTCCGGTGGCAGATCGACCATGATGAAGCCATTGACACCAGCTGACTTGGAGTCTTGCAACATGCGTTCTTCGCCGTACGCCAACAGCGGGTTGTAGTAGCCCATGAGAAGAACTGGGGCCTTCAAACCCCGCCGCCGTGCCTCACGAACCATGTTCAAACATATTGTTGTAGTTGTGCCATTTGCAAGGGAAATTGTGTTTGCCGTCTGAATGGTGGGCCCGTCGGCGATGGGGTCTGTGAAGGGCGTGCCGAGTTCGATAATGTCTGCACCGCCTGCTTCCATGGACAGCATGATATCGGGCGTCTCAGCAATGGTTGGAAAACCTGCAGTCATGTATGTGACGAGCGCCGGTCTGCCCTCACTCTTTGCGCGGGCGTAGGCCGCCTTGATGCCTTCCATGATGCCGTTGTCTTGCGTTGATGTTGGAGTTGCTTCTTGGTGTTACTGACGAGCTGTCTGGTGTTGTAAGAGAAGGTGGTCAAGAATCAATGTTCTTGAAGCGTTCTTTGTTTCAAGCTTGCTCTGACTCAATGCCTCCAGAATTAATGAAGTTCGTCACCTTTGGAGATCCACGCTCCACGCTAGCCACTCGGCTCACCCCGCTATGCAGGGTCCTCATCGTCGGTTGCCGAGTCTTCACTTTTTTTGACTCCAGCTCCACGGAAGCCTCGACTTCAAAAAGATTGTTGATCCGCGACGATGGAGTACCTCATTCGCTTCAAGCAAATACACAACACTTTTCGCCAAGCAGAGACGAATGCGCTAGCAGATCTGCTTGGCCTCACAATAGAATGGCTCTCATACTCAGACGAAGTACGWTAAACTTAATCCAGGTGAGCTGAACGGCATTTGTAAGGATAGTGTAGTGGCTTCTGCGTCTCGATACATGCCATACAAAGCGTCGGTGTGAGTATCTCATAGCCGAGATGCAGGGCGTTTGCTGAGTCTCGCATGTGTCGAGACCAGCAGCACAGCACTTGTATAGTCCTTAAGGTCGGTATCAACCGTCTCATCGCCTCGTCCGTCAGTCTACCTGAATCTTGATTGTTCAAGCTAACGCATCATCAGACACCTTTTGCCATAATACGCTTCCAAGAACCCGTTGACCATGCGAGGGCGGCCAAGGATCTAATGACCCGCTCGATTCTGACTTATGCAATCCATGAACTTTGGGGAGAGGGCATTGACTATGCTTCACTCCATGCAGATATACGTAGACGCACAGAGGCACGCTGGGATGATTACCGATATGTGTCATTTCGTTTCGAGCTTGACAGCTTCCAAGGCAGCCGTTCCAGTCGCGAACAGAAAGCCACGATGGAGGCTCTTGCATTCATGGACTTTCAAGGGAAAATCGTCATGAAGAACCCAGATCACCTGTTTACCATCTTCGAAGACTTCAAGCTGAAGGCTCCTGCTCCTCACCGAGTCTTTCTGGGTCGACTGGTGGCCGAGAGCAATCGAAAGGTGGTTGCTAAATACAACCTCAAGAAGCGCAAGTACATTGCTACAACTTCCATGGACGCCGAACTTTCACTTGTGACTGCCAACATGGCTCGGGCTGGGCCCGGGAAGTCAGCGTACGATCCGTTCATGGGTACGGGTTCTTTCCCTCTGGCTTGTGCAGAATTTGGCTCTGCTGTATTTGGCAGCGATATGGATGGCCGGAGCATTCGTGGGAAGAAAGATCGCAATGTGAAATCAAACTTCAAGCAGTACGGTACATCGCCCCTCTATCTAGGTGGCTTCGCAGCGGACATCACAAACACTCCCTTGCGAGAGACTCGATGTCTGGACTCGATTGTGTGTGATCCTCCGTATGGTGTTCGTGAAGGTCTGAAAGTCCTCGGCAGTAATCGAGATTACTTACAGGAGGAGATCTTCCTTGCGGACGGAAGACCTGCACATCTCGTGGAAGGCTATATCCCGCCGAGAAAGCCCTACAGCTTTCTACGCATGCTGGACGACATCCTTGACTTCAGCGCGAATATGCTAGTCGATGATGGTCGGTTGTGCATGTGGATGCCCGTCGCAGGGGCTGTTGAAGAAGCGATTGACGAAGACAATGTTCAAGTCACCGAACAAGAAACCGAGTACGACGTACCACAACACCCCATGTTGAAGCTTGTCAGCACTTGTACGCAAGATTTCAACAAATGTGCGTTTTCTGCAGGACTTGTACATCACTATAGCTGACCATCGCAGGGTCGAGACGCTTGTTGACCTACCAGCGACTACAGGACAGTAGCGTTGATGCCGATTCCTTGATAGCATATCGTACGCAGAGGTTGGAGCTGCAGGGTGTCAATGGGGATGGGTCCGCAGATGAGCTGAACGCTTTTCGAAGAAAGGTAGTGTTGTCATCGCTCCATTCAACTCCCCTGTGCTAATAGCGAAACAGTACTTCCAGGGTTTCAAAGACTGAGGTTGAGAGTGGTGCCACGATATGTCGAATTGATTGTAACTGACATGCTTGAGAGACGCTGCAGCCGTCGTATGTCATATGACAGTGGAATATTCAAATCACACTGATGTAGAAGAACTTCAGGGTTAGGGTTGGGGTAGTAGAGCGAAAGCATTTCGTCTCTGACTACCACAGCGGGACCAAGCCTGGGACAAGCATTAAATTTCAATGGTATGTTTGGATGTATTGGTCTTTGTTCCAAGGTCTGAGGCCTTGAGCGGAATGAGAGTGACATTTCATTTCGTGTCGTCGTAGTTGAATGCGAGTCGTTGTCAATAGACGTCCATATTCACTCCCAGCCGTGTCCATGAGTATTCACTGCGACACATTCCGGGCTATTTAGATGGCCAAGCCAGGAACCAGAGCAAGCATCCGATCAATATTCCCTTCTTCCATGACCTACATAAGGTAGTACTGCGCCTGCATATCACGAACTCCGACTGTGTTCCTTGACTCCGATCCCGAAATCCGTTCAGGCACCTCTCTTCCACCAAACGTTCATCCGCGACGACGCCAATTGAAACATGATACCCAAACAGAACAACAAAGTCCCACCAGAGATTGTTCAGCAGCTCATCAAAGATGCCCTCCAAGATCCACAGCTTCCCAGGCAGAATCCCACAGAAGCCTTTTGGCAGCTGCCTGCCGCAGAACATGCAAAAGCACAATCTGCCAAGCTCTCCTCTGTCACCACGTACGCCATCATAGGCTCTGGGATTACAGGCTGTAGCGTGGCGAAGAATCTGCTTGATAATCTACCCGCAGATTCTAATTCGACAGTCACCGTTTTCGAGGCACGCTCACTTACCAGTGGAGCCACGGGACGAAATGGAGGCCATATTCTCTCCCCTGTCCCGGAGGAGTTTGGAGCCATGTCGAAGGGTTTTGGTGCAACGGAGGCGGCAAAGATTGGAAGATTCGCGAATCGTACACTGGAATCAATGCATGGTCTTGCTGCGACGGAAGGACTGACAGAAGCTGCCCAAGTTCGGCATGTTCGGACCATCACTGGCTTCAGGGATGAGAAGCTTCTCGACGAGGCGAAGAAGAGTTTCCTAAAGTATGAGGAGTGCGTTCAGGAAGCACAAGGAGATGGCCAAGTTCTTACTAGCGAGGAGGCCACACAAGTAAGATGCTATCCTTCTTTCGGCAAATTCGAGGCTGACATTATCAGGAGTATAATCTCAAAGACACCGTGGGAGCAATCAGCTGTAGTGCGGGTGCTTTCTGGCCATATAGGCTCGTGACTGGTATCTTCGCCAGGATGCTATCTCAATACGATGGTCGCTTCTTTCTGGAAACCGAGACTCCAGTAACTGCGGTGGCCTATCAACCCGAGGAGGACAGAGACCATCCTTACAGCATCGACACGGCCCGTGGAACTGTTCACGCCACCAAAGTCATCTATTGCAGTAATGGCTGGACAGGACATCTCATTCCGAATCTTCGCGGAAAGATATTTCCACTGCGAGGGACCATGTCCGTTCAGAAGGCAGGATCTGAACTCCCTTCACAAGGAGACCAAAGATCGTGGAGCATGATCGACAAGCCTCAATACAATAACCAGGACAGCACATTCTCATACGGACTCTACTATATCACGCAAGACCCCATGACAGGGGATGTTTTCATAGGCGGAGAAAAGCAAAGGATAGGGGAAGTGTTGAGCAGCGATGATACAACGACAAGCAGTGTCTCGCAGAAAACCTTGGAGAATATCCTACCGACAATCTTCGCAAAGGGGTGGCGAGACGGTGAAGTTCCCGAAGTGAAGAAGCTCTGGAGTGGAGTCATGGGCTTCACGCCAGACCATCTACCGTGGGTAGGACAGATTCCGAAAGATGTTACTGGTAGAGCGGGTGACGGAGAGTTCATTGCAGCCGGGTTCAATGGCTATGGTATGCCGCTATGTTGGGGCTGCGGCGAGGCCGTAGCCAAAATGATACTGGGAAAGGAGGCCGAGGTCAGCGAATGGCTGCCGGCAAGCTTCCTTGTATCATCAAAGCGCCTGAACAGCGTATTCACCACCCCCGAGGCTGCGGTCGCGGGACTATTGGGACAGTTGCCGGATTGGCTGACCACCGCCAAGTTGGTTGGCCGGCACGCCGTAAACCTCGTTAGAGGTGCGTTGTTTAGGTGGATGTAGTAGTTGGGGTACCTTCAGGATATTCGGTAGTCATGTAAAGGATAGAGTTAGGTCAAGACGTGGAATWTTTGCCAAAGTTCATGACGCTTTGTTATTGCTGAAGTTCCGTACAAGAGCCGTGCGATCCCGTATCGACTTGCCTCTGAGAGTCCGCAGCCGAAGAAGTGTTTGTGAAGTTTGGCATCTTTGCGAGTAGAAGCGCCTGGTGAATGTCTTGAGAAGAGTGGGAGCAATACTGGTGGCTAAGATGCCAACACGCAATACTTATCCAAAATCTTGTGGGTACTTTCAAAAGGGGTACGGGGAACGTGTCCATCGTTCCTGCCCTATCGTAAACGGACATCATCCAGACTGACTCAAGCTCAAAAGAAGCATTGAATAAGACTGACCGGTGGAAACCGTGTGAAACGAATAGATCAGGTAAAGGAGAGACATGTGTGTATGAGAGGAGCAAAGCATTCGATAAGCAGGAGAGGTGTACGGCATTCGAGATCAGCTTTGCTCGGCGTGCAATAGCAGAGCAGCTATATCGACGATGCAATGCTGCTTCTCAGTGAAGCAGTAATTTCTCAAAGTAAGCTACGCAAGTCTGGCAGCGTTATGGTTCGAAGGTGACGACCACCAAGCGGACACTAAGGTACACATGTGTAAGTGCACGCAGACCACCCTACTGGGAAGTGAACAAGAGGTAGACGCGTGTCGAAGGTACGAATTCCTGGCATTACGCGAACGTATGCTATAGAGTATCCTGCGCTCATTATTGCTCTGTAGGCAGTATCCGTCTTTCCTGATTCATATGATCGACATCATGTACTGAGAGTGAGGTCTGCGGTTTATGGTAAAAGCTGCAAATGTCTCGAAATGACTTTTACGCGCGTAGCATGGRTGTAGTCGTCGCCATCGTTGCCCTTGTCGTCGTAACCCAGTCGTCGTCGGATCGAGGCCTCGTCGTTTGCATTTCGACCGTGGCGTTAGGGGTATATTGGCCGTCGTCACAGAACTCGCCTCTTGCATAGTCCAGTGCCCTCGCGTGTGCCTCAGCAGGCGTGAGGGAAGGACAAGCAGCTGCCTCCGGCAAGTGCTGACCAGTAAGGCAGGCACTATCCACTCTCTCTGCATATGGATGTTCTTCGTCTTCCTCGCCTCCCTTCTTCGTCTCTTCACTTCAATGCACTTCCCACTGTATGCTGTGTGGCGTGTTGGCAGCAGTAGCAGCAGYGACGGCAGCATCATCATCGTCCGCTCGCAAACGCCGCCCCGCCGCTCAAGCTGCAACCACCCGGGAGCGTCCCGCCATTCCTTGATTAGAATGGTAGGAGCTTCGCCGAACGCGACTACTTAAAGCGCGAGAAATTCCCCAAACAACCCCCAAACAACACCATCATCTCTCTTCCAATCGAGAGCCATCCCATCCCATCAACATCGCAGTGCACCTTGCACTACACTGCATTCCCTATCAACCGCACTTGGGCCTACCTCACTAGGCCAAGTGTTCAGCGCCTCTCGCCATCCATCACAACCGCTTCATCCTCTCAGCAAACATCAGCTGAATTCCAGAGCCTACCATCCGCAACACCCAAAGCAATCACTCATCATGGACGAACGTGCGCAGATGTTGGCCGACCTCGGCCTCGACCATCGTGACGAGGTGTCTGTACCTGCCCAGCCGAGTTCCTCCGCCGAAACAGCGGTGTACGAGCATCGCGATGAGCAGCGACGCCAGAAGGCCCACGACCAGGCCGATGCTGACGCGGGCAACCCACAGCATGCCAAGATCAGCGCGTGGAACAAGCAGGAGATGTTTGGCGGCGACCCGATGCAAGATGGCCTGGCAAACCGCTACAGCGGTCAAGGTCATCGCGAGCAGTTGCAGCAGCAGCATCACCCGCAGATGAATAAATCACACGCCATGGCCGGGGGTGATACACGCCGCGCCCAAGGTAATGGTGCTTCGGCCTCCCTGTCAAACGTCCCTCGGGGTGATGCACGCCGCATCCAAGGTAATGGTGCTTCGGCCTCCCTGTCAAACGNAATGGTGCTTCGGCCTCCCTGTCAAACGTCCCTCGGGGTGATGCACGCCGCATCCAAGGTAATGGTGCTTCGGCCTCCCTGTCAAACGTCCCTCGCCCCACTCAGCACCACCAGGCCCAAGCCGGGCCATCTCTCCCAAAGGGTCTGGCCAACGTTGTGCCAAGTGCCCGCACTCCAATACGCCCAACTGGCACTCCAACACGTGCCGCACGCACTACCGCGACATCCGTTGCCGACGAGTCGGTCTCCTTTGTCACCCGATCGCAGCACGGATCGACGGTGCGAGCCTCTGCAACTGCGGCTTCACCTGATGCCCTGGTCACGTCCCCTTCATCCAGTGGCACTCGTACCTCGGCCACAACCACTGCCACCATCCTTCGAGTCCCCCGTACTAAGGCTGCAGACAACCCAGCGCCACCACAAGCACCTAGAGCTGTTGCGGTCGATCATTACCGCAACATGGTTGATGTGAAGATGGCGCAGCACTATGCAGCGAATCCAGGTCCCAAAGCTGATATCTACTACAACATGTTCCCGGAGCGCCGCCCTTATCTCGCCAAGGCTCTTGAGGAGATCGCYCAGAAGCAGACCGCCAAAGTCAAGAAGATGGTTCCAATTGAGGAGGTGAAGCATGCTGGCAGTAGTGGCGACAAGGCTGATGCCAGAAAGGACGTCCCCAACATCGAGAAGGTCGTCAAGAAGGTGGTTGTGGACAAGGCCCCCGAACCAAAGGCTGCCGTCGCCGCAAAGGCTTCACCGAGCATCATCACCAAGAAGGAGATTGCGGAGGACAAGGCTTCCATCACGAAAGCTGTCGTGACCGAGAAGATCACACCGATCAACATCAAGAAGAAGGCCGTTCAGGATGCCGTCATTGACGAAAAGGAGAATGCATCAACCATCATCAAGGAGGAGATTGTTGAGAAGGGCCGTGAGGTTTTGGCTCCGCTGGCTCCGTCTGAGCAACTGTCTCGTAAGCCTAGCCGCCCAGAGACCGCTTCATCTGCCGGCAGTAGCCCTCGCTCTGAGGCCAGCTCGACCAGCGCTTCAACAGGATTGTCCATTCCAACTCCTCCAGCCCCGTCGATGCCGCAGACCCCAATGTACGGCAAGTTGATCGTAACATACCTCAATGCCGAAATGAACCACATCGACACCCAGAAGATTGACATCAACGCGCCCATCCACGCCAGCATCCAAATCACCTCCAAGGCTGCTGCGTATRATCCTCGCGCTATCCAGAACGCTGTGCAGAATTTCGMTGATGGAATGTGTCTGCGAGACCGGAACATTCGTCTGGAACACGGCGATGATGGCCTGTACCAGGAGATCTAAAACGAAGATGGTTCGTGATGGCGTAGGGCTGTCGAGTGTGGAAAGGCGATGTGGATGATGAGGAGCTTGTGGTGCTAATGATGAATTGTGATGAACTCCAGCTCAGCTTGAGCATCGAATGTTGTCGGCGCTTCACRCATAGCTTATGCATGAACCAAACAAAAGTATTCAACATAGCTTGCCTGTCGTAGTCCACCGTGAATCCGGTCGTGCAGTGAGGACACGCCATCGATTGTTCAGATTCGCCACGATCCGGCTGCGAGGTGAATTCTGAGGAATGGCCGTCTCCGACTGCTGGGAGCAATTCCAGGCAGTATACGATCGCCTCTGGTCGCGTCCTACTTGTGTGAGGCTTCTCTTCCGGGCCGTTGAATGGATCTACACGGATGGAAGTACAAAAGATAGGCCTGAGCTAGAGAATGCAATCCTCGTATCGCCTTCGAGATTGGATGGAGAAACTTTCTCGATTTTTTACTAGCAAACGTGCTTTGACGGCTCCACCAGTTGGAAAGAGAAACTACATCTCGCCGAGTATGAGGCCATTCAGCGGAACTCCAAGATGGTGCGCCTTTGTCGGTTGACTTCTGATGAACGCCATCATGGCTTCCCGCGCATATCGAGATCTAAAGAGATCGGACTTGGTCCTCTTGAGATCCTAGAGTGTGGGCGGATTGGGACCGTTCGACGGACTCGAGAAAGAAGGGAATCCAGTAATAAGAAGGATCTAATGATACCGTGCTCTGGTGTCATCCCTCGATGTCGTCCTAGATACATTCGAATTGCTCGAGTGTATCCGTATGTCGACACAAAAGGGGCCGTCAACTGTGAGGATACGCATCTCGCACTAGCTAGCAGTGCTGATCCGGCAGGAGTAAGTACTATTGATGCCAGCATTGAGAGCTTCCACCATCGCAAGACGTGCTCGCAGGTGCTTGAACGCGTTTCGGAGGAGTCGCCAAGCAGGGATAGATGTAAGTTGAAGAGCTGTTCCATCACATGGCAGAGCTCTTATCCATGCGTGGATGAGTGCGCAGAGTCATGTCTGCAAACGACATCTTCGTCGAGGGAGTCGAGTAGAATGGAATGAGACTCAACAAGTCAAAGTCACGCTCTCCGATTTCATGGTATTTCACATGGATCGTTAGCTCCGGATGACCTCGGCTTCAATTGCCCGACCCAGCTCCACCACGTGCAGCTCAGCTCATCATGCCCGCCATCGACACCTTTCTTCCCGGGAGCACAACCTCCTGCACCGCATGTCCAAAACGCTCGGCCTTCTACGCATAATGTCTCATTTCATAAGCTCCACGTCGAAACATCTACCCAGAAGCCACGCGGTTTACGAATCCCTCTTGTCCTTGCCGCCCTCGATTCGCCCTTCCGTCTATGCATCCTGCCAATCACGATGTCAGTCCACGATCGTCGAGAAGAAGCACCCTCGTACGGCGATATTCTTCCCAGGTGCAGGAGTTCAAAGGGTGGGAATGACCACTGACTGGTTGGAGGCCTTTCCTCGTACCGTCAAGCCCATACTGGAGCAATTCGACGACACACTGGGATTTAGTCTGTCTAAGATAATCGCCGAGGGCCCCAATGCTCGTCTGACAGCTAGTGAGAACGCACAGCCTGCAATCATGGCAACGTCGATCATGATACTTCGGGTCCTTGAGCAGGAGTTTGATTTCAAGCTGGCAGATCGAATCGATGTTACTTTGGGACATTCACTTGGGGAATTTGCCGCCTTGGTTGCAGGTGGGTACATACGCGAGGCAGATGCTCTAAAGCTTGTCAGAAGAAGAGGAGAAGTCATGGCGCGCTGCTCAAAGGATTTGGATGAGGAGGTGGGCATGGTTGCTCTCGTCTGCGAAAGCGACCACTTGGAGCCCATGGTCGACGCTATACATGCCTTTCTGGGCCACCACTCGGAAGGAACCAAAACGGACAGCCATTCGGACAATGACCTCCCCTCTGTGCAACAAGTTTCCATCGCCAACGTCAACTCCAAAAACCAGATTGTACTATCTGGCAGCATCAAGCGAATCAACGAGCTCCTTACTCACCTTCGTCAATTTGGCGGGCATGACCCGCGTGCAGTCAGGCTCAAGAGCGACTCCCCCTTCCACAGTCCGCTTATGAAGCCCGCGGCAGACTTCATGAGGAAGACACTTGACCAACCGTCCCCAACAGAGAAGGACCAGGACATCATAATGTGGCCTGGCATTATTCCCTGTATCAGCAATGTCTCGGCACGCCCGTTTCAGGGAAAGCAGGAGATCAAGGATCTATTGGCACGGCAATGCGTTGAAACCGTACTATGGCACGATAGTATTGTGTATTTGCACAAGGAGGAAAAGGTAAAGCGATGGGTGGGAATTGGGCCTGGTAAAGTTGGTCGCAACCTTGTTGGTAAGGAGGTCGGCCTGAAAGGTGCCGTTAAGGGAGGAGGAGTCTGGGGCATTAGCGATCCACGCGAAGTTGAAAACATGATGAGAGAGTTTGAGAAGACGGAAATCATGGATGAGAGCGAGCTGTAGCGCAGGCATAGCCGGGCAAGTCGAATTACGAATGCTGTTTGGTTGATTCTTGTGCCTACGGGAATATCAGCATGTTTGCTCGTTGTCGTCGTTGCAAGGGACGTACAGTACTCCTAGCAAGCGCTCGACGGTGTGACCCGATTGCCGGGGAACAATAGTGGGTCTTTCAGGTACACAAGCAACACAAGGCTGAGCAATACCCAAGGTCGGACTCCGCGAAGCTCCACTTGCTACGGGAGCTTCAACAAGAGGTTTTGACAGCTCTCCAGGCTTGTCCGCGTTATYCGCGCTACGCTTGCCTGACAGAGCCGAGCATTGCCGCCTCCATAATCTTGCTGCTTGATCATGGAAGGTTAATTGAATAGTTGGCAGTTGATGCGAACATTCAAAGTGGTCATACATACAGGTACCTTCAGTACGCGACCCGATATCGCTCTCGGTCTCACTTGCGGTCAGTCCAAGCCTCCCCGGAGACGAACCCTGTAAGATCTCCAGCCAATAAAAACGCAGCATCCTTATCGGAGGTCGAGCTCTCGGTGATCGATATGACACGCAAAACAACTTTTAACCCACTGTCATCAATCGACAGCTCAAGCCGCCCCCATCAGAGTCGCACGCATGCAGTTTGGCTCCAGCGTAGACTGGACCATTCCGAACGTTTATCGTACCGGCGGGGTGGGCGAAGGTGAGGCGAGACGCGCCGGAGCCGGCGATCCTGCTACCATGGCCGCGAAGGTGACGACACAAAATCTTTTTGGTCGGTACCTTTGGGCACATGTGAAGACGGTCTTAAGCCTCATCGTGCCTGCTTTTGTTTCTTATCCCCTCACAATCTCTGTTCTTCCATCTTGAGTCGGAATAAACAGAAACATAATCCTCCTCCACTTCATATCGTTAGCCTCCACAACCACATACAGCACATCAAGAATTAGCAAGCAGCAATCATGTCGAACGTTTCTGAGCCGGAGTTTGAGCAGGCATACAAAGGTGAGTTGGAAAGCAGAGCTCAACGACAGCCAAAGGAGCTACCTTGTTGCTGGATTAGAATACTGACTCTATCCCAGAGCTGGCCTCTACCCTCGAGAACAGCTCTCTATTTGAGAAGAACCCCGAGTACAAGAAAGCCCTCGAAGTCGCAGCCATCCCCGAGCGTATCATCCAATTCCGTGTTACCTGGGAGAACGACAAGGGCGAATGCCAGGTGAACAGCGGATACCGTGTTCAATTCAACTCTGCATTAGGACCGTAAGTGCGATGAATACTCGTCAAGGACAACAACGTTCAGTGGACTTACTGTAGTCCCATCCTCCAGATACAAGGGCGGTCTGCGTTTCCACCCTTCTGTCAACCTCTCCATCCTCAAGTTCTTGGGCTTCGAGCAGATCTTCAAGAATGCTCTCACCGGCCGTAAGTGCTCGCGATACAAAAGCACCTGATTCTAGTTGAATTTGGGACTAATGACTACCTAGTCTCCATGGGCGGTGGCAAGGGTGGTGCTGACTTTGACCCCAAGGGCAAGTCTGATAACGAGATCCGCAAGTTCTGCGTGGCGTTTATGCGCGAATTGAACAAGCACATTGGCGCAGACACTGATGTACCAGCTGGTGACATTGGTGTCTCGCCACGTGAAATCGGCTGGATGTTTGGAACGTACCGTGCTGAGCGCAACAAGTGGGAGGGTGTCCTGACCGGCAAGGGCGGTGCATGGGGTGGCAGCTTGATCCGACCARAGGCTACCGGCTACGGTCTCATCTACTGTGAGTAGAAAGTAACGTGGGACTATTGCACATCGCAGCTGACATTGGACCCACAGACGTCCAGCACATGATCCAATACGCATCAGGTGGAAAGGAGTCCTTCGAAGGCAAGCGTGTTGCCATTTCCGGATCTGGCAACGTCGCCCAATATGCCGCTCTCAAGGCCATCGAACTCGGCGCTACCATCGTCTCTCTTTCCGACAGCAAGGGTGCCATCATCGCAAAGGATGACAAGGGCATCACGCCAGAGGTTGTCAACTACATCGCCGATCTCAAAGTCAAGAGAAAGGCGTTGACGGAGCTTTCGGAATCTGCAGAGTACAAGGACAAGTTTGATTACAAGGAGGGTGCCCGCCCTTGGGTCCACGTTGGCAAGGTCGACGTTGCTCTTCCTTGTGCGACCCAGAACGAAGTCTCAGGAGAGGAGGCTCAGGCTCTCGTCGACGCTGGTTGCCGCTTCACCGCCGAGGGCTCCAACATGGGCTCCACCCAAGATGCCATTGACGTTTTTGAGAAAGCACGCAAGGAGAAGAAGGGTGAGGCGATTTGGTATGGACCTGGTAAGTTGTGATGATTGTAGCGCAAACTCCTGTGCCCCGTGCTAATTATAAATCTAGGCAAGGCTGCCAACGCAGGAGGTGTTGCCGTCTCTGGTCTCGAGATGGCACAAAACTCTGCCCGCCTGAAGTGGACTTCTGATGAAGTGGATCAAAAATTGAAGGACATTATGGAAAACTGCTTCAAGAACTGCCTAGAGACGGCAAAGGAATACGTTCAAACTTCTGACGGAGAGCTGCCATCACTTGTTGCAGTAAGTTCACCTTTAGATGGCGAGATGAGTGGTGCTAACAGGTCTGACAGGGAGCCAACATTGCTGGGTTCAGCAAGGTTGCCGCTGCTATGCGTGATCAGGGTGACTGGTGGGCCAACTGAATTGGCGATTGGTGAGGAATTCCGCAAGTGGTAGCCGGTGCGCCTTCCATCTCAGGTATAGAGGATGGCAAGGATCTGACAGCACAGTGTCCAATGGGTCATGGCGTGATTTTCAGCGAGCAGCTCGAGCTTCAGCGTACATTCCGGTCGTTCGTACAGTATGAAATGAAATGAAACGAAATGAGGAGAAGGATAGAGATCCAAATTTTCCACCTCACACTCGACTGCGATCCTCTCTGCCGAAAGGACTAAGTTTGGCAGCTTTAGACGGTTGCGCAACTTCACTCGAGGGCCGGTCAAATTGAAGGTTGCCGCCCTGTAGCAGGCAAAAAGTGTCCTACAACAACGGCAGCACGATTAAGAAGACATCTCTGGGTAAGACATTCAATCCCCCGTATTTGACTCTTCGCAAGGCTGCTACTTTTGGTACTTGTAGCTACCGGCTCGTACGCGTTGTCGTTGATTCACCACAAGGAGAGGCGGAAATCTTCAATCTCAACGGCCCTTGGACAACCACGCATGTATGCGTGCATGCCTGATATTCTGCTTCATCAGATTTCGGTTCTTTGTCACGTCCCATTGATTTGGAAATTTGAGACATACATCATCATGCAGAGCCAGAATGCACTTCTTTTGTCTTGAAATATCATTCAAGCAAACGATGGCCAGGAAGAATGCCAATAAAGCAGACTAAGTCGCTTGCTGGCAATACAAACCAGACACCTGCATTATTGAACCACAATAAGACACACCAAACGGGACATGTCCAACACTGCCATGTCTTTTCAATCTCGCACGGAGCAACAACACGAACTCACCGACACGCCATTTCGATCCGAGATCTCCACCACGATGGCTGCTTCAACCTTTGGACTCGCTTTTGGCAGTCCCAAAGGAATGCCAATCGATCAGAGGAAAGCGAGCACAAGCACCGCCGACTGTATACCTCCGTCCACGCATACCACTTCAGGTGGAATCCATGGCTGGTTCCTCTATAACCCAAAAACGGAAAACTTTCACCAGTCTGCGATGGATGAGGAAAAGGAGGAAGAACAAGTCGCTGCTCAGACGTTGGTAGATGTATGCGAGGAGGCTTTGGATGATGCCTCCGAAATGACCTGTGGCTGTGAAGAAGAAGAAGAAGAAGAAGAAGAAGGGCCAGGCCTGTTGAGGAATTCCTTCTCATTCGTAGCGACTACGGACTTGCTCGAACACTCCCCAGCTGTATCCCCTTTCAGCGATGTGTATGGAGCATCAGATTCTCCTGCCTCAAGCACGATATCGCATACTGGCAGCGATGTAGAGGCTCTGAAAAGATCCTTATCTTTGGTTTGTGGATCGACGGGCACTTCTTTGTCTCCCTTTCCACTAAACGACCGCGGAACTTCGGGCTTGACTTTCTTTCCGCTGTTGTGTGAGAGTCACTTGAGCAGCCATAGAGGTTCGGTCATGGAGGCTGGAGTTGCACTAGATTCGAGGGTGTTTGGTGGAATTGGGACCGTGCAGAAAGGGCGGAAAGCCAATGTGCGAAAGCGTTACAGCTTTATGGAGTGATGTCCAGCTTTATCCTTCATCGAACGGGACAAGGCTTAGTGACATTAAAGGTTGTCGATTCCCTTGCAGATATCATTACATTGCTTGTAACACTTGCCCACCTGCACTCAACCAGATCCGCAATTCAAATCACCGATTTATCCAGCCTGATGTWTTGCTGCCCATTGCTTTGCATCTGTGGTTCGAAAGATGACCTCGTGGAATCATATTTTGTCTTCCCCCCAGCGAGCTCGTCACTTCTCCGTTTTGAGTCGACAAGAAGACTATGACTGCTCTTCATACTGCCATGCTTCAGAAAGCCCATGATAGAACCCCGTCGACGTGCTGTCTTAGCAGTGATATCTTCTTGACGGAAACGAACGTGGACTGAAGTATGTTCAGATGTCGCAGAGGACACGGAAAAGGTGCTCTCGTCTTCCACATGTACCCCACGACCACTGGCAAGCATATAGCACCTTTGCTCCTGTAGGGGAATGCCAAAGAACTTGGTCGGTGGAGTATAAGTAGAAGATCCCGAACTTGGGAGTGCCTGATGTGCAGGGTGAGCTCGCGGTCCCGGTGGACGATAGCTTCCGTAACCCGATTGCACAAGTCTTTGCTTTAGATCGTGAAGAATGACGAATGTTTTGTGGCGTAATGAGTCGGCAGCATCAACGAGCTGCGCGAAATCCACAGGTTTATGCTCGAGAAGCGCTTCATTTAGAAGATCCAAGAAGTCGCTACGCAAATGAGACACCACTTGCTCGAGAGAACGTATTGCCGTGAAATCTCCGTATTGAAAGGCCTCTCCAAAGCGTAGAGTCGCGCGATTCTTTTCCTTTTCGATCTCCGAAGGCGCCTCTTTGACAGATTCGGCGAGCAAGAGCATAATTGGGGCGTGAGAGAGGGCTGTATCGTCTTTGATTGCGTCAATCATTGAACCCGCATCTCGAAAAAGCCGTACGATGGAGTCGAGGCAGCCCTTTGGAGGTGAAGGGAAGGTAAGCGGTATGAATTCACGAAGATAGAGCAAACTCACGATGATGCCGTTTCGTGTCTCGCCAGACACTGCTGTTTCCCCTATCCCAGGATGGACTTGCGTCTCCCTGATTGAAGATGGCCGGTCATATGGTGAAAAACAAATCCGTGATAGTGATAGTGGTGATTGCAGAGCCAGACGTTCGAACGGTAAGCTTAAGATGTCACATGGACTTGTTTGTTCGGTTGCGCAAGTGTTCATATTTGAAATTCCCGGTATCTCTTTGGTCTTGGACCTGATCTCAGCCTGTGTCGATCTTGAACCAAATCGACGCTCGGATTCAGTGGATGGAGCATGACCATTGCTTTGAATCGCCGGCGGCGTGGACACTTCTCCCTTTGGGTCACGAGTTGAAGGTGATATGGCCTGGACCAGAGTAGGGATAGTTTTTGGGTCCTCCAGCAGATCATTGGAAAGCCACTTGATGTTATCCTKAGCCTCATGGTCAGCCCGTGGCCAGATATTAATATCAAACAGTTCCTTGTCGTCAGCAACCCGGTTGCCAATGCATCGTGTTTTGTATTGGATAACATCGCTAAAAGGTTTGCCCCGATGCTCTTTGCTGATGTGGTCGAGATAAAGCTCCATTCCATTGTAAACAATAGAAGCATCCCTATGGCCAAGATAAACACAAAATATACATTGGAAAGAGTACTTGGACTTCAACACCACTCGTTGAGGCACATGGCTTTTCGCAAGGAACGGCCAACGTAGCTGGAAGCTGTAGTTAGCTCGGATTGCAAGAGCCTCTTCGTACATCGGGGTGGAAGATTAAAAGCGCTCCGATGTGTCGAGAGCTACACGTTGTGACAGAGCAACGAGAACGCATTTTAACGAACCTTAATGCCCCTTTCCTCAAAGATGAACACCTTGTTCCATATGCTAGAGATGTGATTAGTCCGTTACAATCACAGGGACCGGCACCTTTACGCACAGAAACGGGCTTGAGCTGACAAAATTACTGCGAAAGTCGCACTTGGGTTCTCTACACTTGTTCGCATAAGCGGATGCCTTGAGATAATCTTTCAGATGCTTACCTTGAGATATTGAGCATGCCCAGGTTTTCTTGCAGCATTACGCGACCAGGCGTCAGCCTCGCTGCACCTTTTCATAGAGCCTTTTTGATCGCCGTTTTGTAGACTCCAAGCGCTCTTGCAGAAGCCGAGGAATTGATTGTCTGGGGTCGCGATCGGCACTTGAGCGATTGAAGGTGTAGTGGGAAGCTTGTCCGTCCCAGCGTATGAGTATCGTCTCACTGCTCCTACGTCTGACTTGTATGCTTCAACATTGTATGATGTCGGCTGTGAYGAGCTCGATGACGTTTTCGATGACAATCTCGCCGTCTCCATGTCGTTTGAATGTCGTGGGGGAGAAGATGACCTTTGGCGAACGAAAGCCGAGAGATTGTATGCACCACCAGGTCGGAACCAGTCGTCGTCTAGCGAGACCTGAGGTAATTGAGGTGCTGACATGAGAGAATAGGAGGTAGAGTTCTTGCTTGAAAGTGGTGTAGTTAGTTGGACAACAAGTAAAGACAAGGGTGGAGAGAGAAACTGACGACAACGACAGGAAGCTCTTTCAGGTCTTGGGTATGTGGGCAGGACTCAGCCAGCAAGGTAGCCACCATATTCCAAAGACCACTCGGCTGCACCGCCATTTGATGGCTGATGTCCACAAAGTTGCATCTCTACTCCCAAATGCACCGACTCACGGCCTGAATATCGAGTGTAACGCCTCAGTAGCCCACATTGGGTATGTGGGTACACCCGTGAGGTGCCGTCATGCATGCCGCCGCTTCGGAGGTGAAGTTTGAGTTCTTGAACGGTAGGGCTGAGAAACAGGCCGCAGATTAGATTTGGCTCTAACTCCACTCTGGGGTAGTGCAGCGGGTAGCCCCTTCCGCAGCTGGTCTTCCTCCCGTCTGGTTCTCTCAGCCCTGTAACAGTCAAACACCTTGAGTACTCATTCCAGTACTGCCACTCCTTGAAACCGACCGACCCACCACGCTCCTTTAGCAGATAGTCTCTCACTCTTTTGAGGCGCAAACATCTTCAGTCGACTTTATACCCGAACAAAAGACCGCCTCCCTTTCCGACAGATCCTCAACTATTCAGCCCATTCCGAATAATCTCGCCGATACGATGTTTTCCAAGCTCTCCGCTGTCTTTGCAGTTTTTGCGATCGCTGCGCAGGTCGCCTTCGCCTCGCCTCCAGCCTGCCTGATTGGCGCTGTCAACACCCAGGATAACCCTCATGACATTAAGGGTGTATGCAGCGGCGACGCGGCGAAGGAGGTCGCGAAATCGATTGGCGCCAACTGCGGCGATGCAAAGGACGACGCGACCAAGTGGTTCACTTCGGTCTGCAAAGATGCTGGTGTGACCGTTTGTATGTTCACTTGTCGCGCGGGGGACCCTAGAATCATACTGATAACCTGTTAGCTATGTCTTCCTCGGAGTCGACCACCAAGTCCTCCTCCAAGTCATCTTCGACCGAGTCCTCAGACTCTTCCTCAACAATGTCATCCGGACCGACCACTACTGGCGACAGCACAGGTACAATCAACGCTTTTTACCCAAGTGGGACAGGAGCCTCTTCAGGCTTCCATACAGGCATAACTAATCAAACTTCTTGGGCAGCTTCGGCCAGTGTTGCACCAACTGCGACTGGCAGCGACTCACCTGACTCTACAGGTATGGCTTCGCGCGTGGGAATGGACATGCTTGGTTTGGCAGCTGTGGGTATCTTCGGAGCTATGATTGTGCTGTAAAAGTGTCACGGCATCTGGTAAAGGACAATACGCGGTTCCACCTGAATCTGTCTCGTCGGTGCACGATTTGACTGGATCTATTCTTCTGGAATGGCTTTATTGGGACTTCATCGGAACCTTTCTTGAATCAGGCGCTGTACTTTGTGATCCTTTCCAGAGACTGCGGTATTGAACGTGTTAGCGGCGCATGTGCAAACTCGAACCATCGGACGAGATACGCCTTGAAGGCACTCGTCTCGAACATCATAATAATCATGTATTTTCTGTGCGAAGGATTTCATTTCTATGATTCCTAGGGGAGCGATGCGAGCTCGTAAGGTAGATGGCAATCCTATCGCCTCTCGCACTAACAGGCGCTTATTCTCATGCTAGACCACAGCAGGGCGCTTCCCTATTCACATTAGAGAGACGGGAGAGACTCGAAGGGTAGAGCCCTGGTAGCGCAAGTGGCGCTGGCGTTCCATCGAGACAAACTTCTTCATACAACATAGTGAATATGAGTAGTTTCGAACTGGAATTTCAGTGTGAACGGTTACTCCTACAGTCTGACCACGCCGGGCTGCCTCTACGCTGAGCCTACCTTACTCACAAAGATGTTCCGGAAGTGTCTTCATCTGCTATGGGACCAAGAGGTGCTCTGTGCCGACCAAACGTCGGCGCAGATAGAGTGTCCACGAGTCAATGTTAAAGGAGTGCATCCAGACGAGGCTCCATACTGTGGCTGATGACCACCCCCACTGCTCCTACATGCTGTAAACAGAATGTATACTCAATGATAGTATCGATTCCTGGGGTATCGTGCTGAGAATACAATACAGTAGCGCCCCCGCCATTCTTTCTCTGTCGCCCGTCAGGCCTCCTTAATTCCATTCAAAGGAGACCACGATCTCGCTGTCCTCGTGGCACAGCACCAATTCTACTCCTGCTGTCGCGAAGCTACTGGATTACCAATGCTGCCATTGATACTACCATTGCGACCGTGGTCGGCAGTCGCGAGCTGGCTTCGTGCATCAACACTTCTCAGACTGGCGACATCATGCGTCGACCTCGCATCATATAGACTCCTCGAATCTATACCTCCGATACTCCGCGCGTCGTCGTTCTTCTGTAGATTGGTGATGGAACGGAGTGATTTGGCATCTCCTGGCTGCTTGTTGGCATAATACGAGTTCCTCTCGCTTACCAAGGCGGGCGACGAGACGCCGCCTGCATCCCGTTCGCGCATCAAACCAGAAGAGGAGTAGATGCTCGTACGCTCGGCCGAGGCAGTGTGCATGCCGCTCGTGGAGTAGCGCTCAGAATTGGCATTGTTACCACTCAGCACGCTTAAAGGAAGCGACTCGCGGCTGCCGCCGAAGACTGAGCTTGGTGCCATCGCACGTACCGAGGCATCAGTATCCATGCTGCGACGGCGGCGCTTTGAAGACGAAGCAAGCGTCAAAATGCTGGCATTATCAGTGAGGAGGTTGTTGGCAACGGCAGAGTTGTATGTAGCAGGAGAATTGGTCGAATTGCTATCACCACCATGAAGATGTCGAGGGATGGCCGATGCAGTTCCTGTTGCCAGCTGTCCTGGCGTGACGGGATACTGATGGCTAAAGGAACTGCCCATGGGTTGACTCTGAAGGGTGTGGTTCGAGGGCCCGTTGACTGGGTTGGGCACATTGCTCGACTGGATTGTCGTAAGGGTGGTGGCCAGCGAGCGTTGGCTATGGTTCGGTGAGCTGAAGGTGCTACCTGCCCCAGCACCATCCATGCTGCTCAGAGCGCCGGCGCCCGTGTTTGTCGTTGCGGCTTTGCTGTGTCCCGCATCGCTATGTACCGTCTCGGCATTGGTGGCGAGGGTGGGCGCACCGCTTTTGTTGCTGTGACTAGGCCCCTCCTGATCGTTGCTATTCCGATCAGCCAGCGACGAGTACGAGGTGGTATCGTGTGGTGGGCGGGGCGAGTCGGATGGTGAATGCGACTGCGGCTGCTGGACCAAGTGGCCGGACTCGGGGTAGGGATTATTCTTGCCGGCGCTGTTCTTCTTGCCTTTTACAGCACCATTCGCTTTCTTGTTACCAGCCTTTTCCTCCTTCTTCYCCTTGTCCTCGCCGCCCTTGAAGTGTGCAAATCGCTTTACTAAATTCGCGAACGGACGTCGACGGCTCTGCGGCCTACCAGCGACTTCGGTAGCGGCCATGAGCAGGTAGGTGATGTGCTATTGCGAGCGCTGGCTTGACGGCGAAGAGTGATGATGACAGTAATGCAATCAGCTATCGTAGAATCGAAGAGCTGCGTTTGCGGCGTCTGCCGGGAGGTGAGACCGGAAGTCGGGGACTAATTCGGTCTGTATGACCAAGCAAGGCAACCGTTGACGATAAGTGTCGCGGGATTAGAGACAGCTTCGAGTACTTGGTAGGCAGCGTTTGTATGGAGAGAGCTGTACGGAGAGAGCTTCAAGGAGGGCAAGTAAAGCAAAGCAAGCGAACGACGAGTGATGCGTCCCTCGCATTGGCCAGCGAATGATCTACGCGTCTCCACGTGGCAGTGGCCAGCGCCAAGCGTCACCAAAGGTTGGCTTCCCGAATCACCTGATGCTCCGCACGTACATTACACCTGCCTAAGAAGTACCTTTACTATGTCACTTTCACCTCAAACATGACAATGCCAACTGCCAAGCCACTAACGGATGCGAAGCCGTGTTGTACTTACCTCCAAATGCTTATGCACGAGGTGATACACGTACATCAAAGGTACTTGGAACGCCAGAACCGCTGAAGCTGCACTCTTTGTGGCCTCTCGGAAGTCCACGAATGCGCATGCACAGAAGCGCCATGATCACACACATCTGGAGGCACACCAGGACCAACAGGAAGGGCAGACCACGATGACAGATGATCTACAACGAGCTTTCACACACAGCAACATGCAGTCAAGTAAGCCCAAGCGAATCTTGCCTCTGAGCGCAGAAGCCATTGCCCAGATTCACTCCTCCAAACACATCACATCTCTTCAAGGGGTCACTTTTGCACTCCTAGAAAACTGTCTGGATGCTGGAGCAAGCCGTGTAAATATCTCTGTCGATTGGAGACGAGGAAACGTCACTGTTGACGATAATGGCATCGGTATTCCACTCGCAGAATTCGACGAAGATGGTGGCTTGGGTAAGCTTTACTGCACATCTAAACGGTCCTTGGATGGCATCCAATCTAGCAAAACACATGGACACTCTGGAACATTCCTGGCTGAGCTTGCTGCTATGTCACTGTTGAGTATCAGTTCAGTTCACACCCAGACTCGAAGCACTGCTGCGGTGTTAACCCTGCACCATGGCAAGGTCATCACTCGTCGACTGCCCGATATTGTAACACACCCGGGCAATGTCAGCCGGATATCAGGCACGAATGTCTCTGTACGAGATCTCTTTGGAAACATGCCTGTGCGCATCAAGCAGCGAGCCTTTGCTGGCCAGGCGAGCTACGAAGACGATAAGTCATGGTTCGAGCTGAAGCGTGGCGTCGTAGCTCTTCTACTTGCGTGGCCGAAGCCTTGTTCCGTCAAGCTGCGTGATATTAATGCTGATCATAAAGCCATGTCCATCGCTGGTCATCAACCCGGCGCCCCAAGCGCGCTGACAGTGAAAAGTCTGCATCAACTTGCTGGGAGGAATGTCAGTTCTGACCTTCGCGATGCTTTGCCACTCTTGTTTCAGTCAGGCTTTGCACCTCCCGATTCACGAAGTAAATGGGTGCCACTCTCCGCATCGACCTCCTCCATTTCTCTCAAGGGGGTCATATGTCTCGAGCCGGCGCCTACCAAGCAAAGTCAATTTATTTCCCTTGGGATCACTCCATGCAGTGCGACAACGCCTTCAAACGAACTCTACGACGTTGTGTCAAAAACATTTTCAAATAGTAGTTTTGGAGCCTGTCAAGAATCTTTCGACGTGGCTGCCGGCGAAATTGGCAGAAAAAGGTCTGCAACTACTCCTACAGGGAAGCAGTTGCAAGCAAAGAAAGGAGTCGATCGTTTTCCGATGTACTGCATACAGCTAAAGTTCAAGGAGATTAGCTATGCTTCAGTGCCAGACGTTGAGTGTCTCTGTGACTCTTCTCTGAAATCTGCCGTGGAAATCCTTGAAGCTGCTCTGACGACTTGGCTGGAAAGCAACCATTTCCGACCGAGGAAGAGGCGACGGAGGAGAAATGAGGAGCAGGAATCTAACCCCGGACTTGTTGGGCACCTTTCTGATAAGCCATTGGCCGTTGGAGTCGATCGAGCGGATGTCACTCCACGAGTCGATAGACGAAGGAACGATCTCGGGCTCTCCACTAAGCCAGCGTCACAGGACATGACATTTGAACCGAGTCTGAGCATCAATGCGGCAGATTTGAGTTCCTTGAGCAAGATACGATTTGGCAGCACGAGTGATAGACCTCAAAGTGCGTTACATCACACAACTCGATGCGAAGATGATACAGAGGTTCCAAGAGCAAGATCTGCCGAGCCTGCTCAGTTATCTGGAACAATTCTTCCAATGACCGTCAAGAAGCAGCGAAGGCTACAAGCTGTAAGCATCGAGGCAGGAGAGCTGGGAGGTATTAGCAGGGAGCATGACTTCGCCTCACGGCTCCCCAAGCCGGCCGTCGCTGGGAGTCGGAATAAGGAAGATACCTCCAGCGATTGCTTTGGAAGCATCAATGACGATTCACTGCTGGAGGCTGAACACGCCGGCCGCCGGGAAAAATCCAAACAGGCACATGTCGAAATCGAATTGAATGACTGCAATACCTCCTGGACGGATCCCGTCAGCAAACAAGTCTTTCGGGTCAATTCACGCACGGGTGTTGTGCTTCCTCTGATTGATGAGCCGGAATCAACAAGAAAACTTGCTGCAATTGATGTCACGCTGTCATCGAAGGGCAAGCCTCTGAGCCTCTCCCGGCGAAGCGCCATGACAGGGAAAGATGATGCAGAGAGACCAGCAACCGCGGACAGCACTCCATGGCTACCGGGGTTTCTGAAGCAGTGGATCAATCCGGTCTTCGCTAGACAGAAAGAGGAGGCTATTCCTATGGCTTCGGCAAGCGGGCCAGGTCCCTTGGAGTTTGATGTGAATGGTAAATGCTGCTCGCACATCCATCTCGAGTTGCAACTGAGCAACAATAGCACTGCAACAACACTGACCAAGACTGCGTTGAGGAAAGCAGAGGTCATTGCCCAGGTGGACACGAAGTTCATCCTTTGTAAAATGCCCGCCACACCACCCACCAGCATGCCGAAGGAGCAAAGGACCCTTATCCTCATCGACCAACATGCTGCTTCCGAACGTATCATGCTCGAGAATCTGCTAGCAGAATTCTGTACTCCGTCTGACGAGAATCCCACTTCAATTCAGACGACCTGCCTACGCAATGGAACTGCTCGCGCTCAGCCCCTGGTCGTGGAAGTCTCCGCAAAGGAGGTCGATCTCTTTGCTCACTATCGTACCCACTTTGCGAGATGGGGAGTACTCTACGATACTGTCAGTGCGGAAAGGACCGGATTTGCTCAGGGAAGAGACGAGATGAAGGAGTCAAGAATCCGAGTCACCCACCTTCCCAGGCCTGTAGCAGAGCGTTGCGCGAACTTTCCGTCTCTGGCCATAGACATGTTGAGGAGTGAGGTATGGGCGCTAGAAGACGGCAGWCGAAAAGCGGCCAAGGATGTCCAAATGCCTGCTTGTGGAGAAAATGGTAGAGACCAGCCCTTCTGGCTCTCTCTGCTTTCGGCTATACCGCCGTCTCTGCTGGCGTTATTGCAGTCTCGCTCCTGTCGATCAGCAATCATGTTCAACGACGTGCTATCTCGAGAGCAGTGTGTAAAACTGGTGGAGCAGCTTGGGGAGTGCGTGTTTCCATTTGTGTGTGCGCACGGGAGGGTGAGTATGGTTCCACTGGGCAATATAGGCGTGGCAAGTGTAGATTCTGGGCGCGAGGTGCAAAGATCTGAGGGACAAGCGATGGGCAGTTGGCTAAGGTCGTTGGGAACGATGTAGATCGACGTCAGTCCAGATAGCTTGCAATGCGAGTGTGCAGAAAACACGAATTTCGCCTGCTACAGGCAGTCCGACAACTATTGATTTCACCGGCCCTCGCCCGTAAGCGTCCTCTGTAGGCGAAGCTGCTCAAAACTGCTTGACGACCCTGCCTTCTCTGCTGTCAGACTCGATTCAAACTAGGCCATCGGTGAAGAAGTGGACAGTTCGAGTTCTGTAACTTTCGGTATGGTATGTCCTATTAGAGCCATCGGCATGAGAAGATTATCAACAAAAGAACGCCCTTAACCGCCCTCTCCATTATATAGCGGGCCACTCTGCTAGTATTAGAGGTTCTAGCAGCTCCAAAATTGTCGATTTCGCAGAGAGCAGGGCCTCAAGACGTGACAAGCACGACTGAGGGCGTCTTGTCTCGATGAAGGATCCTCACAAGGCGTTGAAGCCATTTCTGAAGGTTATGCGATTGGCAGTGAAGGCAGTGAAGGCAGTGAAGATCAAAGTGTCAGAGCATGAATACCTTACAAGAAGTTGACGGAGCCTGCCTATAACATGTCGAGGCTTGTAAAGGAACTGCAACGGCTGAGAATTGAATGAGGTTGACAGTGAAGTAGTGGCAGAGCATTGCATCGCCAAAAGATCTCTTGGAAAGATCACAACTCACACTCTCCATTGTCCTCACAGGTCCTTGGGAACGCTTGGAAACGCGTTTGGATTCCGGAGACGCTCTTGCGTCCTCTTCGCCGCTTGAGCATTGTGCTTGCGCTGCAGTCGCATGTTGTAGAACTGCTTGTGTAGCTCAAATATTCTGGGGCCATCGACAGTGGGCTTCTCCGTCTGCTTTTTCCCCTCAAGAGCCTTTAACTTTTCATCCTGTTCCTTCTCCAACTTTTCGACATCATCATCTTTCTTGTCCTTCTTCTCTTCGTCGTCTTTCTTGCCATCCTTCTTCTTTTTCTTCGCCTTCATCTTCTCCTCGTATTCCTTCTTCACAGCTGCAATCTCCTTCTCGATGGCCTCTTCGCGACGGCGCTTCTCCAGGTCCTCGGCATCTTTTGCTATGGCAAATTTGGCGTCCTGTAGATGGCCCGGACAGATGTTGAACCAGTCATCCTGAGCCTCCGTGATCAGAACAGTGGAGGTCGGTTTGTAGCATATCCAGCAGGCCTTGGCGGCGCTCTCTGCCGTCATGCGGCGGAGATACAGGTTCTTGGATGCCATCTCGCACTCTCTGATGCATTACCTCCTTGTAGCACTGAGGTCGGGAATAAGGGTGGAGTCAGTAGACCGATTGAGGTCCGTCCCTAGACTGTCCGRGCCGTGTCGAAGTGCTGCGCTATCGCTATCGGGGCGTGATGGGCGGAGAGCGGTCCGCTCGGAGCGCTAGGCCTGCAGGGATGCAAGGTACCCCGGCATGGTATGATGACTTACTTACCTAACTTTTTTCTTGACTCTTTCCGGACGTTACTCTTGCAGTTCATTTATTGCAATTCTACCAGCATAACATCACCATTCTCTGCTGCTTGTTGGGGAATTCAACGCAAATCCGAGCAATTTACGACCCGCACACTCTTCAAGAAAACTTTGCCAGCTCATTGCAATGCCTGAAAACGCTCCCGCTGCCGGGAAACTATGGGGTGGCCGATTCACTGGCGGCACGGATCCTATAATGGTTCAGTACAACGAGTCCATTTACTTCGACCGGGCCTTCTACTCTCAAGACATTCGTGGCAGTGTGGCGTATGCCAGAGCAAACAAGAACGGTGGTTTGCTCACCGACCACGAATTCGCTGAGATCGAGCGAGGTTTCCAACTGGTCCTGAAGGAATGGGAGCAGGGCAAATTCGAGATTCAACCAGGCATTGACGAAGACATTCACACTGCCAACGAGAGACGACTTGGCGAGATCATTGGCAAAGATATCGCCGGCAAACTTCACACTGGACGCAGCCGCAACGACCAGGTCGCTACTGATATGCGTCTCTGGCTGCGAGACCAGCTCGACACACTCGAAGAATACCTTGTGGCCTTCCTCAAAGTGATTGCTGCTCGTGCCGAAAAGGACATTGAGCATGTCATGCCCGGCTACACCCATCTCCAACGCGCTCAGCCAATTCGCTGGAGCCATTGGATGCTCATGTACGGCTCTTTCTTTGCCTCTGATCTGCAGAGGCTTCGTGAGGTCAAGGCGCGTGTCAATAGAAGTCCACTAGGCTGCGGTGCTCTCGCTGGTAACCCCTTCAACATTGATAGGGATGCCATCGCCAAGGAGCTGGGCTTCGATGGTCTGATCATGAACTCGATGGCTGGCGTCGGTGATCGTGACTTCGTGGTCGAGACCATGCAATGGGGCACCATGGTGATGACTCACATGTCTCGCTGGGCTGAGGATCTCATCATCTACTCCACTGGAGAGTTTGCATTCGTGAAGTTGGCAGACACGTACTCCAMTGGATCATCGCTCATGCCACAGAAGAAGAACCCCGACTCGCTTGAGCTGATCCGCGGCAAGTCCGGTCGCGCTTTCGGCCAAATGGCAGGCCTCATGATGAGTGTCAAGGGCATCCCATCGACATACAACAAGGACCTACAGGAGTCGGTCGAGCCTATGCTAGATCACGTCAAGACTGTTGGCGACAGTATTCAAATCGCAACTGGTGTGCTTTCAACCTTGGCGATCAACCCAGAGAACATGATCAAGTCCCTCTCGCCTGACATGCTAGCTACCGACCTGGCAGACTATCTTGTCCGCAAAGGAGTGCCATTCCGTGAGACTCATCACATCTCTGGTCGTGTTGTGGCGCTGTCGGAGAAAGAGGACAAGCCAATGGACACTTTGACTTTTGAGCAGCTGCAGAGTGTTGACAGTCGCTTTGAAAAGGACATTCTCAAGGTCTTCGACTACCAGAAGAGTGTTGAGATGCGCTCTGCAAAGGGAGGCACAAGCCGTAGCGCAGTGATGGAACAGATCGAGGCGCTCAAAAAGGTCCTCGATGGGCACAACATTTGAGCACAACATCTGATGAGTTGTTGGATGTAATGATTGAGATGACCGAATGCAACTCGCTTCAAGGTCTGACCACGGCTAAACGAAGATCAGTAAGCAGTACCACATCGTCATACGACTCTACCCGTGCCGTGCCTGTTGGAGACGCGGTGTTGTCCTTGAAAGGCATTGCCCTTCACAAGAGAATGGACTGATCCTTATTCAACCTCACCTCGTCGCCCTTTACGTGTAAATGTCGTGATGCTATGGACMTTCGCCAGGCCATAATCCGTTCTGCCCCAATTGTGACTTGCAACATTGTGACATATCATGCGGTTACCTCTCCTGCCTTCTCTTCCTCATTATACATCCTCACAAGATACTCCCCACCCATCCCAACGGCAATCGCTCCGCCCGTAAACCATGCGCCCTTTTTGAACCACCCGGCACAGTCCTCGACGCTTCCCAAGTCCACCTTGGTTATCATGTATCCCAACGAAGCCGCCGCACCCCCACATGTTCCTATGAAGTAGGCTGGCCCTGCACCGACTGCAACACCTGCTCCAGCTAGCAATGCAACCTGCACCCCAGCCACTGTGCTAAGGAAGGCCTTTGGACTCTTGGCTTGCGCCTGTGCAATGCTTTTGATCCCCACCTTTGCATCATCCTTGATATCCTGAAAGGCATAGATCATGTCATAGACGATAGTCCACGCCACACAGCTTCCGTACAGACATGCAGCGGCTGCTAGAGCATGCATGTCCGTCAAGAGATCCATACCAAGGGCTGGGAACCCCATGAAGGCACCCCAGGAAAAGGTCAATCCAAGGACAGCCTGTGGATACTGCGTTACGCGTTTCGCGAGCGGATAAAGTCCTACAAAAACCAAGCTAGGAACGCCGTAGTATAGGCACTGATTGGGGAATTGAAGGAGCAGCCCCAGTCCGGCAAAAAGCTGTGCACCGAGGAAGGATACAGCAGCAAAGGGAGTCACCGCACGACGGGCAAGAGGCCGATGACGGGTTCGGGCGACGTGTGGATCGAGATTCCGGTCCCAAAGATCGTTAACAGTGCATCCTGCACCTCGCATAATGAGAGCACCAGTTGCGAAGAGGGCCGTTGTTGAAAAAACGGTTGCCGGCGAGGAGTGGCTAAGCGGCGCGGCGAGGAGAGTGCTGAAGAGGCACGGTAGAAAGAGATACGCCGTTCCTGCGGGCTTGTCTAGACGGGCTAGTTCGGCGTAGGGAACCCACGATGAGGGCAGAACCGAGAGTATCCCGGTGGTCGGAGGGGAGTAGAGCTCGTCGTGAGTTGTGGATGTCGTCGTTGTTCGTCGAGCGTGGGTCGGAATCGTTCGTCGGAATCGAGAGGCGGCTAGTTGGTGTTGAAGCTGGRGGGAAGTTCGCGAGAAGGAGGAGGTTGATCGCGGGACGAGCGAGGAGAAGCGCAAAGGAGAAGTGATCATATTGATTGATACTGCGACCTACCTTGTTGTTTTAGATTATCGCTCTACGTGGAAGATGTCGTGGATAAGTACTAACCAGATTAGATGAGTGATGTGAGGGTGCGAATGGAAAGTTTGGCCGCACTTTCCTCCGCGATCCAAATCCCAAGCGCGTCGTCGATCATTCGAGCTCTACCGTAGTTCCAATTCCACCTCGTCCCTCAATCCACAACCTCCATCTCCATCCGCACTGCCACCACGCCCACGCGATAGCGCCTGACATTCGACGGCCTGTACGCGTTCGTCAGATTTGCCTGGACTAAACGACCTCCCACTTCTGCGCCCTTTCTGCGACTGCCGCCTGCAACATCCGCGGTCCCGGCGCAAGTGAAGTGAAGTAAAGCAAAATCAACAACATCGACATTGAAACCGATACCGAACATCCGACCCCGAATTTCCACAGCCCAAAACATTCGCCAGTTGCTTCAGGTCATGTACTACACCCACTGAGCGGTCACAATGCCAGCTCAGCGTCCCCGCGCGAGCTTCGAGCCCATTGCTCCCACCTTTGATCTCAAGGAGCTGGTGGAAAAGACCGCCAACTTCAGCTATGCCGACCGGATTAGCTGTGACACAATTGAGCAGCAGGGACTGGTTGCGTTCGAAAAACTCATTACAATGCAGGTCATTGTCGGAGGCAAGCCACTGGTGATTGATGGCTTCGATGATCTCCTAGATCCGTGGACATTCACCCCGAAATGGTTGCGTGATAACTGCGGGGAGAAGGTGGAGAATGCGCGGAACCTCACGGCCAAGGAGAATCTTCCGCTGTCCATGGGCCACTACCTCAAGAACATGGGTCTGTTGACAAACCAGTTCTTCGACAAGCCGGGCGCATACCGTGAAAAGGGCAGACAGAGAGTGTATCTGAAGGATATCGACTGTCCAGCGGTTTGGTGGGATAAGCTAAAGGACCACATCCCTGGCAGTGTTTCCTACCTGAATGATAGTACGGGTGAACCAGGTGGGCCTGGTGCTATCCCAGATCCGACGAGCAACATTCCTGGTCGGAGACTAGGACGAGGTATTGCCAGAGCTGGGGACCTGATGAGTTCTCTTCCACCAGACATGCGTGCGGAGAATTTGCAATGCTACATTGGCCACGAGGGGACGTACACGCCTGCTCATCGCGAGATGTGCGCATCACTCGGTCAGAATATCATGGTAGAAGCAAGCGGTACTGTCTCCGACGATGGGAGAGCAGAAAAGCCAGGGTCTTCTATCTGGTTCATGACCGAGTCCAAGGACCGCCACATGGTTTCCGAATACTTTCTCTCCGTCCTAGGACACGATATCGAAGTTGAAAATCACTTCGCACAGGTCGTCGCCTGGAAAAAGGCTCCCTTTAGCGTGTACATCGTGGAGCAACGCCCAGGGGATTTCATATTGATCCCACCTCTTGCTCCACACCAAGTCTGGAATCGTGGAACACGCACGATGAAGGTAGCTTGGAATCGAACTACTGTGGAGACACTGGAAATGGCTTTGAACGAGGCTCTGCCACGCAGCCGCATTGTGTGTCGAGATGAACAGTACAAGAACAAAGCGATTGTCTACTACACTTTACAGAAATATGCCTCGCTACTCACACTCGCCCAAACGCAAGCAAAACGCATCCCTGGCGATGCAGCATCTCGCCACCTCTACTCTGGCAAAATCAAGCAGCTCATCAAGGATTTCAAGCGTCTGTTCAACATGTACAAGCAGATCATGCTCTCGGAATCTTTCCATCCTGACGATCGCGAAGCGATAAAGGCTGAATACGTTCCATACGACTCCAACGTCACTTGCGCCTATTGCAGAGGCAACATATTTAACCGATTCCTCACATGTGGCCATTGCAAAGACCTGCTTGGCCATGACACAGACGAGGGCGATCCTTACGACGTGTGCATGGACTGTTATGCAATGGGCCGCTCATGCGCCTGTATAAGCGGCCTGAAGTGGGTGGAACAGTTTCGGTGGAAGGAATTGACTAACAAATACGACGCATGGCGCAGAATCATCTTGGAGCTAGACGGCGGTCAGACTGACAAAACCCCTCTTCCGCTGCTAGAAGAAAGGCGGCGATTGACCAAGAAGACGCTTGCAGAAGTGTGCAAGGATCAGTTGAAGCGACGTCCTTTCAAAGATGTCAAGAAACCCGAATCGAAAAGCGACGACGAGTCAGACGAGGAGATCATTGTCGGGGACGACGGCCAGGTCAAGAAGATTTTGAAGAAGAAGAGCAAGACGTTTCTGAAGAACAACCTACCGTGTCACGTGTGCTGCCACAGGCACCCAGTCTGGAAAATGGCAAAGTGCACGACTTGTGAGCGCTCTTGGTGCTATGGATCGCTCTTCCGTGGTTGGGACAAAATGCCTTTGCAAATCATGGAGGACCCAGACTGGACCTGCCCGCATTGTTTGGGTATATGCTTCGCAGGCGCGTGTAAGAAAGAGGGAAAGATGAAGACGTACGAACCGAAGGGGACTCTTCTTGGGCACGACACCAAAAAGGTTGCTGATGCACGAAGTGTGGAAGCACTGGTCGATTTCAGCGTTTCGAATCTGAATTGGCTGAAGGACGATTTACCTGAGAAGGGCAGCGAGTCTCGGAGGCTGCAGCGCGCGAGGGCAGAAGCGGAGAAGAACAAGGGATCTGGTGCGATTGACGATGACGATGATAGCGCTGCCGTGGATGTGACACAAGTCGAGATGGAGTATTCGCCGAACGCAACTCCAATCGACCCTGCTCTGATGAGTGGTGCGCTTCCTGAAGATGAGGAGACACGGCTTGCACATCAGCTCCGGCTTGCAAACGCAGCACTTCTCCCGCCTCCTGCAGCTATGGTCGCAGGTGCTGCACCAGATGGCTACGCACCTCTCCCCGCCGCCGGTTACTCTGGCTTTGCTCCTACAGCGTCCATGTACCCCCAGCCTGACGATGGGTCGTCCAACTACGTCTATCCTGGTCAGCACGAGGAGAGCCCAAGCGGCGACAACATGGACTCTTTGCGACCTTTCAAGAAGCGGCAACGTAGCGGCCATGAAGCTGCAGGTGATGATGATTTTGACGGTGACATCTCTATGCAAAAGGCACCCAAGCAAAAGAAACCTCGTCTTATGCAAGCCGGCTTCCGCTCGTTTGATCTCGCAGAGAATGCAACTGGCCCTTCTGCTAGTAAGGCCAAGAATGAAGCTCAGCGGCAGTTTGAGAAGGAAAAGGAGAGGAAGGCCTTGGAGAAAGCCAAAGCCGACGGAAGATTCATCATCCTACAGGCTGCAATCAAAGGCAAACATCGGCATGTAGTGCTCCGGGTCCCTGGAGCCAGACTCGCTCAATTACTAGCTGTGCAAGCKGCAAAGGCTGCAATACATGGAGATGATATTGACGCTGAGCACGAGCATGAGCACGACGATACAACGATAGCTCCGCTTCCAGGACCTACGGTACACTTTGCTCAGGGTGACGCTGACGAGCAAGATGCAGGGTCGCTTCTGAAAAGCGATATTGCCCCCAAGAAGACCCCGAGCACGATTCGCGAGGAGCGAGAGCGCAAGATGCGAGACGGTATAGTGCTTACAGGCAACACGAAAAAGGCGCTCGTCCCTGTTGAGAAGGATGAAACGTATGGATATCGGCCCCGGGAGAAGCAGAATGGCAAGTGGGTCGCTATAAAAGAGGTGGAGCCCACGGCTGCAAGTGCCAAAGGCAAACGCAATCGAGAAAGCAGAGGTGGACACGTGGAATATGAAGAGATTGACATTGGTAGCGACGACGATGGCAGCGGGGTTGAAGAGAGGGATGGGTTCAACGCCATCAATGGTGGACGCAGTCGCGCAAGTGGTAGCAACAGCAGAAGGAGTTTACCCGGATACCTCAACGATCGCACTTATGATGGACCAGATCAGCTGCCAGATACTTTTCGCGATGGCGATGTCCACGGTAGCAGAGCCGGCCGGCCGAAAAAGAAGCGCACTAGTGATACCGCGCACATGGAGGCTGCGATGAGACTTACCGAGGCAGCCCTCACGAGTCCGGAGCCCGCTGTTGCTGCAAAGAGTGCGAAGCCGAATGGCGCGAGGACCTCTTCATTTGGAGGCAAGCAACCGAGTATGCGGCCCAGCAATGGAAGTGGGAACGCTCCTATCGAACTTTCAGACGGGAATCCATCGTCTAGCGATGATGAGGAGGCTGCTCCCACGCCTGCTCCTGCGCCTGCCTCCGCTCCCAAGATCAATAAATCATCGGGACCTAGCGCTGCTCAGCGAGCGCAAGCTGAAATGGACGAGGCCAACCGTCTGGCGAAGTTGCAAGCATTTGCGATGGTCGACGGCGGCGATGACCTATTCGATGAAAGCGACGATGACGGAGAGGAGGAGATTCCTGCCCGAAAGGTGCAGATTTGAGACATCGCAAGGCTTGAAGGTTGACAGGGTGAACCTGCAGAGCCCAAGAAGCAGYGTCTAGATATCTAGCGTAGCTGCTGTGAAGTCCACCCAGGCCCGTACTACAGCAGGTGTTCAGCCGGATCACAAGTTTTTGTAAGACTTACGAGCAGAGGCAGGACGATCATCGGCAAGTTTTCGATCCTGGGTTCGAGCGCAGAGAGCGAATAATAAGTCAATCAGTAAGACAAGTTTCTGTGCGGATGGTCACGAGGTGGGCAAGCGTGTGCGTGGGACGCTGCCATCGAGCGGAGCTACGTGCTGTGCAGGGGAAGAAGACTAGGTGAGTTGACGTCCGTGTACATCAAGGGGATTGCACTGTCGCTACGCGGCGAAAGATGCTGGGTACCTAAGTAGTGACTCAAAGGTCTCTTTCCAAGGCCACATTCAGAATCGTTCCGTCAGCACACCCCTCTCATGCGCGCTCTTAGCCTCGTGGGCCCGCCTCTCCYGCATCAGTCCTCTGATCCATTCAGCTGAGTACAAGCCTGCTCGTAGCTTTCCCAAGCCTCAACCATGTGAACTATGTTGCCAAAACTGTCACCAAAGTCTATCCTCACACATTGATAGTAGAACTCATATTTGTCCGTCTCGCACCAGACATTACGGTCATCTGGGCCCCAGAGGGTTCTGCTTCTTCTTGGGAGTCGCCCATTCTGGTACTCGCTTCTCCCGTTCGTAATATTTGGCGGTGTGAGTCTGCATCAGGCATCAACTCAACAATGTGTGAAGCGTATCTGAAGACGTCATGCTCATATGAGTGGGAAAAGTCTTTGAGCAGATAAGAACTGTCAAAGTGATGCTCCTTTCCCCTTTGTATTCCATGGCAAGAGTGTGGGCAAGGATATGGGGACGATGCCTTTTTCAACCTCGCAACCTGGCGAGGTATTTCAGTTGCATCATGACCCTTCCGGAAGCATTGTGCCACCAGCACTCTGCCAAAGTCGAWCGATGATTCTGCGATTTTCTTCCCATCTTGCCCACGCTACTGCCTGCAGCAAGCAATCCGCCAAATCATCGAGCTTACCGCCTGCTATCAGACGACCACCTCTCGCTTGCTTGAAAGCCTCTGAAATCTCAGCCGCCTGCCCCTCGAACGATAGAGAGACATCGTCTGACTCTCCAGCGACCCAAGATCTTACAATTGAAACCTTGGCCTTCTTGTCAACTTTCCCCTTTCTTGCCACGGCGTCACTGATTGTGGTTGCAAGCGTACTGCCCGAGATGAACATATCTTGAGGTGGCCGCAACGGAATTGATGCAAGACCCTCGGTCCAGAAATGGGCAACACGCGCCGGATTGACTGCATGAATATCAGGAGACACTATGCTCGTGTCAGATGCTCGCAGAGTCTCTAGACAAGCCCACAACATGCTCTCGAGCATGTTCACTCGGATCGTCCATTCCAGAATCGTTGATGCGCCACCAGAGCGGAATCGTTGCCTTTCAATCAGGATCTTTGTTGGCTTGAGATTTAAAAGCTCTGTGGTAACTCCATAAGCAGTCTTCGACAGTGAAGAGGGTGTGAACGCTTCCCTTGCGATGGCGGATTCCAACTGGCGCTGTGCTTTGGTGGTCTTTGATCCGGCGTCTTCTATGGCTGCTACGACGTCTAAAGCTTCGGGAGAACTAGAAGCGGTACTGAGCAAGTCCATACGTTTCCAATTTGTAACTTTCAGGGGCATTGGTCCCGAGGAATGGTTCGACGAGGGTATTTCCAATGCGCAGAATGCCAAATTTCGGATGCCCATGTCTACACTGACGATTCGCTGCGGTAATGAACGGTCCAATCTAGCGTTTACAGCATCTGGTCTTTTCAGTGCAGACTGCAATTCAGCTTTTGTTCCCGTGGAAGCAGCTCCAGTGAGAAAAGCCCAGTATTTCAACTGCCATGCTTTCAATGTCGACATATGTATCGTGGTCATGGTGGCCGACTTCTGTCGAGATTCCTGGGCTTCGAGCGTCTACTGTCACCTGTCATTGCTATAGCATCTTGATGTTATTTGCATAAACTCAGGTTGACGTCGAGATCGACACCAGGTGGAGGTTCACGTGTAAGACGCGAAGAAAAGGGTCGCGCTAAAACTAAATAAAGATACAAGGTACATCCTTGYAGGTCCACTACTGCCACCTGACAATTGGCCTCCTCAAGACGGGAACATTGCTAAGAGCACATTCTCCGTTTTTCTTGACTAGACGAATAGCTGCCGATTTGACAACAAGATTGAAACAAAGCCGGTTCCGTTCATCTATCTTGATCCTCAATAAGCTGCAAGAGTAAGCTCCTGGCTCGCAGCTTACGTATTCGCGAACTTCGGCCCTCTCTTGCATCCACTCCCCGTAGCCAACCATGCACTCCTGAATCTGCGATAGCAATAATGCTCTGCCATGGCCAAAGACGACACAACCGCCCAAGAGGCTGCGCGCAACCCCAACAGCGAAGAACACGAAGCAGTGCGATTGCTGCAGCAGGAGCAAGACAATGATGATTCGCCTGATGAAGACCTAGAATTAGGTTCGAAGCCGCCATCGCCAGCGAAGCGCAATGGCAATACACATCCGGGTATACCGCCGCGAAGGCAGTCCTCATTTGCTCAGATTCGGCCTAATGGGACACCCCGGACACCGCACAGAGTACGCTTCAATGTGGAAGAGCCACAAGAGCAGCATGGCGGAGGACACGTCGAGGAGGATTGGATGGATGATGAGGACTATATGAATGGCAATTCGACTTCGRAATATCAGCGAGCCCCTCTCCTGACTGGCATCGAGGCTCCCAGTGTCTCCGTGGCCAACGATCTTGATCTCGCGGAGCTGGAGTCTTCGCGGCCAAAGAGTGGCTTGCGCAGTGCCTTTATGAACATGGCCAACAGCATTATTGGTGCTGGGATCATTGGACAACCATACGCTTTCAAGCAGGCTGGACTGCTCACGGGAGTTCTACTGTTAATTGTTCTGACTATCACGGTCGACTGGACGATCCGTCTTATTGTTACCAACTCGAAACTGAGCGGCGCCAACTCATTCCAGACAACGATGGAGCACTGCTTCGGTAAATCAGGATTGGTGGCAATATCTGTCGCTCAGTGGGCCTTTGCATTTGGAGGAATGGTTGCTTTCTGTATTATTATTGGGGACACGATTCCAAGAGTCCTCGGGGCCATGTTCCCCGGTCTGTACGACATCCCGATTCTCTGGCTTCTCACAGATAGGAGGGCTATCATCGTTCTTTTCACGTTGGGCATATCGTACCCACTATCTCTATACCGGGACATTGCAATGGTAGGTCTCCTTCAATCGCAGATCTAACGACGACTAATGCTTTATAGCTTGCGAAAGCTAGTACATTGGCCCTCATCAGTATGGTCGTAATCATAATTACAGTGATCACGCAAGGTCCGATGATGCCGGCGGAGTCGCGTGGACAGCTCAAAGGCAGCTTGCTCGTCAATGGCGGTGTCATCCAGGCCATTGGAGTGATTTCCTTTGCATTTGTCTGTCATCACAACAGTCTGCTCATTTATGGCTCGCTCAGGACACCAACCATGGACCGCTTCGCCAAAGTCACGCACTACTCAACCGGCGTCTCAATGCTGGCATGTCTCGTAATGGCGCTGACTGGCTATCTGTGCTTCGGCGATCGAACCCAGGCCAACATTTTGAACAATTTCCCTTCGGACAACATCATGGTCAATATTGCACGACTGTACGTATCAGTTTTGCCCGACTCCACCCGACACTTCTAACGAGTATCTCTCTAGCTGCTTTGGCCTCAACATGCTCACCACCCTCCCACTCGAATGCTTCGTCTGTCGTGAAGTCATGACACTCTACTACTTCCCAACAGAACCCTTCCAGCCCAATCGCCATTTGATTTTTACGACCTCACTCGTCACGGGAGCGATGGGCATGGCACYCCTCACCTGCGATGTTGGCATTGTTTTCGAGCTTGTGGGCGCAACGAGCGCCTGTGCTCTTGCGTACATCCTCCCCCCGCTGTGCTATGTGAAGCTTGCGAAGAGAAAGACCTGGGAGACTTATGCTGCGTATGTATGCATCGTGTTTGGATGCTTTGTCATGGGCGTGAGCTTAGTGCAGGCTGGGGCTAAAATGGTGAGAGGTGAAGGCGGAATGTCAAGTTGCAGTTAGCATGTACCGATGTAGACAGCAATAGAGGTTGGAGAGGAGATCCCTCTGTGGCTACGATTACTCAGACCAGTCATTGCAAGCTTCCATTCTGCCTGTGTCCAATGGCTTCCACTTCGATTCGAGGAGTTGTGAAACTCGCTGAGATGCCAGCTCACCATTCCACCATTGAGAGCATCAACTTTCATTCAATACACCATCATTCAACAAGGGAGATGTGGCCACAGCTGATTCCCTCCCTCTCAAGAAAGAAACCCAAGACGGGCGAAAAATCAAGGTCGGGTGCCCAGCAACGGGTCATTTGATTGTTCTGTGCCACTGCGCGAGGACGGCCACGCCACGGAGAGCAGTGGCCGTCATAAATCAGTAGTATGGTAGCGCGGGCATGTGATTGTAGATGAAAGAAGAAGAGAAGAGGGCGGAGATCGGGCGAAATTGATGTTAGGTCCAGCACAGTCAGCAGCATCCTAAGCCCAATCTGACGACGTTGCTCGCGGGTCCACTTCTGCCATTTGGCCTCACCGCGGAACCCTTTCTATCGTATCCCCCGTGCGCGTGTCTCGCCTTGCACGTAGCCTAAACAACTGCTGCTTGACCTTTTCAGTCGATCGTCTTCCAGAAAACACCACGTTCGGCTCATTGCGTCCATTCGGAGAGCAACAGAGCAAGAGCCCTCTCACAATGGACCACGAAGCGCTCAAGGAGCAGTGGTCGGACATTGAGGACCGCGATGGCATCCGTCTATCATGGAACACCTTCCCCTCCTCGCGCATGGAAGCCAGCCGACTGGTCGTGCCCATTGGTGCCCTCTACACTCCGCTGAAGGAAAAGACCGATGGCACTCCTCTGCTGCAATACGAACCCGTCACATGCAAGCCGCCATGTCGAGCCGTTCTGAACCCTTTCTGCCAGGTAGACATGCGCGCGCGGATATGGATCTGCCCGTTCTGTCTGCAGCGGAACAACCTCCCTCCCCATTACAAGGACATTAGCGAGAGTCAGATTCCTCCGGAGCTCCACCCTGGTAGCAYCACGATCGAGTACCGACTGGCCCGCCCCGCACCGACACCACCAATCTTCGTATTTGTGGTTGACACATGTCAGGAGGRGGATTCGCTCAAGGCGTTGAGGGACAGTATCATCAACGCTCTTGCCTTTCTGCCTCCGCATTCGCTGGTGGGTCTGATCACATATGGCACCATGGCACAGGTACACGAGCTGGGCTACACCGAGTGCGCCAAATCTTATGTGTTCCGCGGGAACAAGGACTACGGCGCGAAGCAGGTGCAGGRGATGTTAGGATTGACAATGGGAGGCGGTGCGAGGCCGGGAGCGCAGCCACAACCTCAGCCAGGCCGGCCAGCAGCACCGCCAGTCGGGGGTGCACAAGCGAGATTCTTGCTTCCGGTCCAACAGTGCGAGTTCCAGCTCACAAACGTGTTGGAGAGCTTGCAAAAGGACCCGTGGCCCGTAGCGAACGACAAGCGTGCCATTCGCTGCACAGGTGTTGCGCTGTCCGTGGCTGCCGGTATCCTCGAGGCGAGCTTCCAGAATTCCGGCGCTCGTATCATGCTGTTCACGGGTGGTCCAGCCACCGAGGGACCTGGAATGGTCGTGGGTMCAGAGCTCAAGGAGCAGATCCGTTCTCATCACGACATCGACAGGGACAACATCAAGTATTACAAGAAGGCGCTTAAGTTCTACGACACACTCGCGAAGCGTATTGCGCATAACGGACATGTGGTGGACATCTTTGCCGGCTGTCTGGATCAGGTTGGTCTCCTGGAAATGAAGGGCCTGCCCAATAGCACTGGAGGACACATCATTCTCACTGATTCCTTCACATCATCCATGTACAAGCAGTCGTTTTCCAAGATTTTCGATGCAGACGCACAGGGCAACCTCCTCATGGGCTTCAATGCCTCGCTCGAGGTCTTGACCACGAAAGAGCTGAAAGTCACCGGTCTCATTGGTCACGCTGTTTCACTCAACAAAAAGTCTTCTTCGGTCGGCGAGACGGAGTGCGGCATTGGAAACACATGCAGTTGGAAGATGTGCTCAATTGATCCAGCAGCATCTTATGGTGTCTACTTTGAGATTGCTTCTCAGGGCGGCCCCGCTGCACCTATGCAGCAAAGCCCTCAGAAGGGTCTGATCCAATTCCTCACATACTACCAACACAGTGGTGGGCAATATCATCTCCGTGTGACGACCGTCGGAAGAAACATGAGTGGGCCCAGTGGTGATCCGGCGATCGCCCAGTCCTTCGACCAGGAAGCTGCCGCTGTGCTGATGAGCCGGATCGCTGTTTTCAAGGCTGAGGTTGACGACGGTCCAGACGTCTTGCGATGGGTAGACCGCATGCTCATTCGTCTCTGCTCTCGGTTTGCCGAATACCGCAAAGACGACCCCTCCAGCTTCCGTCTCGAGAAGAACTTCACCCTCTACCCACAGTTCATGTTCCATCTTCGCCGATCACAATTCCTACAAGTGTTCAACAATTCTCCTGRTGAGACGGCCTTCTACAGACACGTGCTCAATCATGAGGACGTCTCTAACTCCCTAGTCATGATTCAGCCTACCCTCGACTCGTACACATTCGACCAAGAAGGCTCTATGCCTGTGTTGCTCGACTCAACATCCATCCAGCCGCAAACAATCCTTCTCCTCGATACCTTCTTCCACATCCTCATCTTCCACGGCGAGACGATGGCGGAATGGAGAAAAGCTGGGTACCAGGACATGGAAGGCTATGAGAACTTCAGCGAGCTTCTCGATGCTCCTAAGCAGGACGCAAAGGTAAGTGCCCATAAGACATTTGCTGTTCGAGTAAGCCACTAACGGTCATCACCTATAGGACCTCATCCAAGATCGTTTCCCTCTACCCCGCTTCATCGTCTGTGATGCGGGCGGTTCTCAGGCGCGTTTCCTCCTGGCGAAGCTCAACCCGTCTACGACACATACCTCTTCTAGTTACGGAGGTGTCACTCAGACTGCGCAGACAATCTTCACAGATGATGTCAGCCTGCAAACTTTCATGGACCATTTGATGAAGCTTGCTGTCAGCGGTACTGGATAGGTTTTGCGATTGAATGAGGAGTGGTGAGCGTCGGCGCTGGAATCGGTAAAGTACTGGGAAATATACATGCTTGCTACTGTTATGGGTAGAGAAGGGAGCATTACGCATGCACGTAGATTTTGATGACGGTCGAGTAGGCCACATCGGTATGGAAAAGCAGGATTCAGCACATCTGTCATTCACTTTGTTGTTTCGGCATTCTTGTCGAAGAGCAGTTCCCGGTATACAAGCGCTGTGGTTGTCTGAGCGGGTCAGCTAAACGAAGCACAACTCTTGCATAGTCGGACGTCGGCGGATTCAACCCGCAGAGCTTTGACATTCGCCATTCTTCACAATCGAGACAATCTCCAACTAGATTGTTCGGGCGGAATGGAGAAGCTGGAGTACTTTGCGGAGGTGGAGAAAGATAAGAAAAGGTGGATAAAAGCACACCAAGTTAACGCTCATCAGGGACCATCGATATGTGGAACTTATCCGGCATCACAGTTTTCAGCACGACCGTTGCATGCTCCAGCCGGCGACTGTCTGTCGCGTCCAGAACAATGCTCGTCAAAGATTGTGGTCTCAACAAGAGCATATGCATTGGATCGACCTCTCTCCTTCCCAAAACAGAGCATCCTCCTTATCTATCACTGAAAATCGACCCTGTCAACTACTCCATGTGTTCTTATCATACCAAGCTTCTCAAATTGATGTCAACGGCGTTCCGGTACGCACATTGCTCGCTATCAAGCTTTTCTATGCGCACGGCAACGATCATCGTGCAGTGTTGCAGTTCAGCTCTCATTGGTGTTGCGAGTAACATATCGGATTCGATCAACCGTTTGTTGCTTATCAGAGTGTCCTGGAGCGTGTTCATGCTGTCTCCGCGGCTTCTTCCAATGGATGAATGAGAGCTGTTAAGCGGTTGAAGAGGTGAGTCTGCTTGTAATATAGGAAGCGATGGCTTCGTCCAGGCGAGAATCCTAGTTGACAGGTCCAGTATCTTTCACCACCTCTGACTTGGCCAGCTAACCTCGCCCACGATGCACCAACATGTCAATGTCATTGGTATGTCTCCACTGCCGCAGCTTGGATCCTCCTGGTGCTAACTGCATGTCTCTGTATCAGTCAATGCCTACACTCCCAAGGAGACCGTGGAGCTCATTGGGCGTGCTGGCGTAGCCAAAGCCAACATGCGATTGGACAAGATGTTCTTGAGCTCTGTTCTTGCGGGGATGCTTTTGTCGTTCGCCTGTGCTGTATTGATCAGCACCAACACCTCGCCATGGTATGTCGACCCGAAGGACAAGGAGGAGCCGAGCCCGTGGCTTGTCTCAACAATTCGCGCACAGTCTCTTGCTGATTAGGGCACGCTGGCAWTGTGGGTTGTACTTCCAAAGATTGAGRGACTCTAGCGATGATGCTCCTATGTGGACTGTTGCACTGTTTGGGTCGTTTGCTGACACTCTCTGTCAATGATCACAGGTTCCAAGAGAATGCACCAGGACTGATCCGAACGATTGCTGCACTTGTCTTTCCCTTCGGCCTGACGATGGTCATCGTAACCGGTACTGATCTTTGCACGGGATCTTTCATGGTTGGTTCCGTCCAGGTTGAGCAAGCTAGCAAACGCTAATTCATGTTTCCAGATCACTACGATCTCGGTCCTCCAGCGACGTTTGTCAGTCTGGAAGATGCTGCTACATTGGTTCGTCACGTTCTGGGGTAATCTGGCCGGCTCTCTCTTCTTGGTGGCCATCATCACGGGCTATGGCGGTGTGTTTGACGCCCCAGCATACCAAAAGGAGGTCATCAGTTTCGCGAACACGAAGATGGTTGTCCCGGAGTGGCACTCGATCTTTCTACGTGGCATTGGAGCCAACTGGTAGGGTAGAAGCCATGGCTGTCAGGGAGAGCTCGACTAACAGTCTCTAGGTTGGTATGCTTGGCATGCTTCCTCGCCTTCATGGCAAGAGAGTACTTCTCCAAAGTGATTGCAATTTGGTGGCCTACATTTGCTTTTGTTGCCTTGGGTTTGTGTCATTCTGTTCGAAGTCTGCCATCAATAAACTTACAAATGTTCCCAGGTCTCGATCACGTCGTTGCCAACATGTTTTTCATTCCCACGGCAATATTCCACAACGATCCATTGATTACAACCAGCTTCTATATCTGGAAGTCTCTGATCCCTGCTCTCATTGRCAACATTATCGGTGGGGGCTTGTTTGTTGGCATGGCATACTGGTATCTGCACGCTAGTGGCGAGGGCCCGGTTTCTGTGGATGGTGTGCTGTACGCGGCCGACCAGGAGACCATTGTGGGACAGAATGGCACGCCATCAGAGGCGTCTGTCGAGGACCGCAAGAAGAGCGACGATGTAGTTGGACCCGAGCACATGGTTTAGCGGAGTGGAGTCGAAACTGCCAGTGGTGCGATGTGTAATGTCCTAATGAAGCTGTAACACAGCACAATAAACATCAAGTCTGTGCTTACGTGAAAGGGAGTCAAGCCATCTCACACTCCTTCCTTCCATCTTTCTTTCTTCTACGACTCGGAATTGYGGACTTGGCCAACGGAATAAGGTATACAGTACAAGCACGCTCGGGCCACCTTACGGCAATAGAGTTCGATAGTACATGCAGCCTCAAAGTACTGCAGTGCAAACATTCTGCTATCAGTCGCAAGATATCGTCATTATGAGACCGAGTTCGGTCAACGGCACTCCAAGGGAATCAAGCCACTCCATCTTCTCGTTACACCGAGGATCTCCACGATCTGGTCACTTCTGCCACTGTCTCACCAGAGCTTGCCCAGCTGAGGCAACCTAGAGATATGCGAACTCGCGAGGGTCATGACGGTCCGTTCGCAACCACTTCGCTGGAATTACCGCAGGCATTTTGGCAAAAGTGCAATTAACATGGCCCCCACTCACGCGCAGCTGTTGTAGCTCGAATGCGGAAATTGATCTTCTCGTCGAGGTACCGACGACCTACCAGCCAGTCATGATTCTGATAGCATTGAGACAGGGTTCGGGGTTCCGTCGCTAGGCCATGCATGCATAGGAGGTTGGCAGACAAGTGTGAGCGGGGTGCAAGGCTATTGAGGTCACACGCAGCGCTAAGAGAGGTGGAAAGCCAACCTCCCGCTGCAGCTACGTCGCTGCAGCTGTATTGTAGAGTGCCAGCGTGCAACTGCGCCGATGTCATCGGTATGCACAATGAGCGTGCTGAGCAGCGAGTGCCGGAGTGTGATTGACGATTGAGAAATTTTGGAGCACTATGATCGGTATCAAAGGTTCTTGGATTGAGGGACTAGTATTTCTCGTCTCGCAGACAGATTGCCTTGATCTAAGCAAACATGCCTAGCACCGACTGGTTCAGTGTCCATTGAGGCCTTGTAGTACAATGCGCTGAAACTGCCGCATGCACAATCCTCGTCTCTGTGGGAGGCTAAAGCTCCACAGCCTTGAAACATTCGCGCTCATTGCGCAATCGAACCTGCAAGCAAGGGTATCCTCCATAGTTGCGGACAAACAAGAAAAAGCACAAGCGAGAGCAGTGAGAAACCCATGCTTCCAACACACCGGATACAGTTCGCCTTTCCGTGATGCATCTGGCCCGCCGGCCATTTCCCAAACGCCAACTTGATCAAATATTCTCTCATTCAGATACATTCGTTTCGAATTTTCCATTCGTATGCTTTTAGTAGTACAGGCCGTGATGCAAGACTCCATTCCTGCCGAATCCATGATGGCGTGATGAAAAGTGTTCCCTGTCGTTTATGGAAACAAGAGTGGTGTAAAGAGGATCCATCCACAAGAGAAGAGAGGGGTGAGCAACGGTAACGTCGGCATGACGATTACCTTGTGCTCGACCTTCGTTTGGCTGCCCGGGCTTGGTCGAAAAGGCTGTAATAGTCCTGAAGTTCCTTTTTGGTCTGAGGAAGAAATCCACTGCGGGAGTTCAGACTCGACGCGCTGGTCGTTGATGATAATGACGTCCTGGACGAGGACGGGGATAGAGAGCGTTCCTCTGATGAGATATGCTCATGTTGCTGGGCTGGTGTGGACCACATAAAGTACGAAGAGCGTGGTCGCTTCGAATCAGTGGCGGCAGGAGCATCGTAACCCGGCGTTCGTTCTTGGTTGAAGTTGAGTGCCGGTGACAGCTGGTAACGGGCGTCCCGCTTCAATTCTGTTCGAAATGCCGATGGAGAAGTCGGCGAGCTTGAGTTGGATATGCTGGACTTTTCCATATCGGCCATTCTGCAGTGCTGGGAGCAGTACGGGCCGTCGGGGGAGTCGCGGTCACAGAAAAGGCAGCAGTCTTGAAAGCAGTCCATGATAGCTACGGTGACCCAAGAAGGTGTTGTCTCGGTCAATGCAGAGACTGAGTGGCCAAGGTCAGACGGCGATGATATCAAGAGAAGATGTTGCCAGATGGTGGTGAGTCTGAAGAGTGGTCTCGAAGATGTAAAAGTATTTCAGTTGGTTGTGAATCATACGCACACGCACGGACGTCTGGTGGCGCGATGTCGAGGGAATGATGGAAATGGCGTTAGACAAGATTGGGTGCGGATGTTTGATGGTGTTGCATTTATGGCATGCTATGGTGCAATAGAAATTGTAGGCAGAGGAGAAAAGTAATCAGGTGGAGGAGGTACGTATATATTGACCAAGGAAAATTGGAGAGGAGCAAGGCGTGAGTTGTTGGGTGAGGCTCGCAAGCAAGCGTCTCAGGCACGATGACCCTGATGGCCAATCAAAGCATGCAGGTGGGGCCTCTGGAGCTGCCTCGTGCACACGAATTGGCTTGGGCGGACGATCACGCAGACTCGGACAAATGAGTGCAGATGCATGAAGTAGCGTGGGTGGGTGAGCAAGGGCCCAAGCTAGTCGTCCGGGTACTTTTATGTTGGAAAGAGCTCGGCGTGTCCTCCGATGCTACCCGGACAAAGACGCAGAGCTTTATCTGAGTACGTGTTGATGTGTGATGGAAGCTTGCCTTGTTGCTATAACCTGTCGATGGAACGATTGCGCTCATGCGATCAACGCCATCAGCTCCATGCACTGACTTACCAGCGCACGGAAAACGGCTGCCTCGCTTGAGAAGCCAAGCAAAAATTCGACGGCAGGCATACGCGAAAGAATTGTTTCAACGCCCTGCGGCTGACAAAAGTCTGCATCTGCATCCTCTGCGTTATTAYTATTGCTTGTGCGGCGCTTGCCAATCAGGACAGACTGCTCCATTTGGTAAGTCGACAATCTGAGGGTGCGGTTGATCACTGTGGTCAACGACGAATCAGCTCGTCATTTGACGCTCATCAATTTGCCGTCCAGAGGCTCGCAACATCGCGGCTCGACCTCCCAACAAGTGCGCTTATGCATGAGCAATGAGTTGCCCGGCAAGCATCTTCACATTCCGCCCGTTTCGTAGGCGATGTGAGCATGCACAAAGCGAGAGAGTCCGGCGGGGTTCATGCGTGAGGGGTGCCCTAGCAGACCACACGGTTCGGGCCAGTTACCGTCGCCGCTAAATCGCACCTCACCATGGCGCGCGAGCCGCCCTTGCTGAAAAACGTGGCCTCCCGTGCGGAGTAAAACAGCTCTGTGGGTCGACTTCAACGTTGACGCGGGTTCACTCAAAATCAGATTGATACAACGAGGCGTTCAAAGCAGCCTGCCAAGTATTTTGATGACCTTCACCTGTCGAGCGCTGAACGAAAGGTGGCCATCTCAACCAAGGCAGGCCTCTTCGCGATACCTTCGACCCGGGATTTATCGGCGGCCTGCTCAGCATGCCGGGATGCGAGCGAACCACCCCACGCTAAAAGGGTACGTCCAAGGATTGCCAGGGTGCGGAGGCAAACATTGCCGTGGGCGTCTTTCTGGCAACCGCTTGGTACTGTATCACGGCATGGAGCGGCCTCAAGTGCTTCCAGTGATCTTTACAGCAAACACTTGCTCATGGCACAGCGGGTGCGCAATGAGATCGGTGCGCAGTGTACCGCGTCTCACTAAAGACGCAATTCTTGGTGGCGGCTCCAGGCCYGGCCAGACGCGAGAAAGCCGTCCTCTGCGTTTTCCCCACACCCCGATGCAGGTTGTCGACATCCACGACAATCCGTCTTGATCGTGACGACAGCGTAGGGTAGTTTGTCAAGACCGACCCCGATAAGAGGGTTTCTGCTGCTCACAGCTCCATGGCCATGGATTTTCCTGATTGTGATGGTACAGTGCACATGATGCGGTCTGGCATCTGCTGAAGCATGTCGCGGCTATTCCAATCGCGCTGCAGTTGAAATAGAGATCAGCCTCGATTGTACCTCACTCGATGATGCGAAATCACCAAACGTTGGTGCTTTACGCCAGCTGCCATTCCATTCTTTCTTCGCCGTTGATGGTCCGTCCGTACACTTTAGGCATCGGGATGGAYCATGCTGGCGTACAAATCCAATGTCAAATCACGATCCAAACGCGCCATCCATGCCCCGATTGCCTCAGATGCGCTTGCTTGACATCCTTACCTTACAGCTGTAGCGTAACCCCGATCTGGCAAGTCGTCAATGGAGAYGGCTGTCATGCGGCTAAGCCTGTGAGCTGCCGAATTTATGGCGACGCATATCGTATCTTGGAATGTGTTTTTAATGCAATGGTGAAACGCCCATGGACGAACTTGGTGGCCTCGGCAGATGATAGTGCCTGACGATGCTGTCGATATCACAACAGAAGCAGCACTGCCTCCCTGCTATGCTCTTTGGCGCGTCAGTCGTGTGTCAAGATTCAGCGCATGTAAGACGGCCACATGACGCTGAACGTCGGCTGAGTCCGGAGCCCATCTGTAGTCTGTGGGSAGGTGGTTGTTGCTATCGCCACTCCTCGTCGATGCTGTGCGCGCCATGTTCCCGCCCACTCTCGAAGAGAGTTGTACCAAGTCACTTGCAGATCTTCATGGTATACATACATGATACACCTCCTCTCACCGCTCTTTAGCGTCTTTCCTCATGACGACAGATACGTGGGAGTGAAGAACCATCGGGCCGTCGCCGAGGTCTTGCAATTTCGTCATGTTCGTTCATGAGCCTTGCGGTGAGGCTGATCGAGATCTGTATGAGCCGTGCCGAATGATCGATACTYGCCGAGAAGCTTGTAGCTGCTGCGGCGGCAGTAGACGGGGTCTCGCTGCACTGTTAATCTTCGGTAGTGTATGGCTCGAAGGCTAGAGATACCTGAAAAGATCTTGGGTGGGGCTGAATGATGTTGCGAACTCGGAAAGGTTCGTGTCGAAAACTCTTCCAGGTCAAATTCTGCGAGTCTGCCTGCCGTGTAGGGCCGCGCCACGAGAGCGCCTTCCAATTTGGGAAGGAGGTCTGAACGATCGAAAAATGATCGCTACAACAAAAGTATTTTGCACACACAGTAGCCATTCAATACACCAATCTGGAAGGAAGTATTTATGCACGAGGATAGTCTGGATAAAATACCTTCATGATCAAATTATACAGATCTCACGCAGTGAAGCAAGGCTCCATGACATTCACTTACCATTTGTCAACATGGCGTAGTGCAAGTCCAAGATAGAAGCTTGAGTGCATGTCACAGCTCTCCATCTCATGTGCTTGAGTTGTCTTGGTGTGCTCTACCTACTCAGTATAAGCACTTCTGACAGAGGTAGGTCGAGAGCTTCGTCATCATTTGCCGCAGACGTCGTCGCCGGTGCTGAATGGGACGATCGTCGTTCCGCATTGTTCGCGATTAGGTCTTGAGGTTCAGGTGGAGGGAATCTCGGGAGCGCATGCCATGATTAGCATTGTGGAAGTTCGACATGAAATTTTGCTTGCGGACACGCCAGTGCATGGAGCCTCCTTACGATCAAGCCTCGCTCTGCAATTCCAGTCAAGGCCTCGCGAAGGGCATAAGCAACTCTCATGCCAGGGCCTCTCGAAACTGTTCATGGGTTGAGAATGGTTGCGCTCGCACCGCTACGATCGTAACTGCCATTTCGAAATCTGAGGCAGGCGCGGATTCAGGGCCCGCAATATCGACGTGAGCACGGAAGCCTGAGGTTACCAACCTGATGCCTAATTCAAGATCGCGTCAATTCTTGCTCACTGCTTCCCCTTCTGCTAACTACACTCGCTTCAACTTCCACGGACGTCCACGGCTTCAGCCTTTATCAAGCACTGACTGACATCTCGTTCCCGACTATTGACAAGATGGAGAACGACGGCTTGAGGCGATCTGGTCGCACTCGCACCACAGTCAAGACGTTTCAATCAGAACAGGAGCAAGCAGCGCAGGTCTTGCCGATCCGGAAGAAAGCCACTGGATCCCACAGCAAAGACAAGCCAGAAAACACAACGGGGGTATCGGTCAAGGACGAGCCATCGCCAGACGTCCAGGAGACAGATTCCGACGTCACTTCTGGCAACTTCCAGCCTACCAACGGGGAGGCCGCGAGCGAATACAAGCCCAGCAAGAAGCGAGCCCGTTTCACTGAGCCCGGCGATGTCAAAGACGAGGATGACGCCGACCTCGATGTGCTGCAGGAGAAGCCCAAAAAGAAGCGAGCCAAGAAGTCTGCCTCAGTCCCTGGTCAGCAACTATATGGAGCTCCACCAGTTGGCACACTGATTCCGTGAGTCAAGTCCACATAGCGAGTGTCGCTGACGCCCTTCGCGGTCTTCTTCAGACATAGTTGCTGACCTATCAAAGATGGGGCACTCGCTGGCGCAAGCAGCCACAGATTTTCGCCGTTACTCGCGGCAGCGGAACTTCGTCGAAGACCAATGACTGGATGCAAGGACAGGCAGAGACCCGTGTTAGGGAGGTGTTGCAATCGATTGAGAAGCTAGCGCCCGGCGAAGTGGAAACACGCCTGGCAAAGTCCATCGCCGAGCCTTCTGAAGAGTACCAGGGCTACCTTGACAGAGCCAATACGCACAAGATGTTCATCCTGAGTCGCCTTCGCGGGGTCGAGCATGACTGCCACGCCAATCACACGGATTGTCCTTACGAGACCCTTCAGGTGGCAGGCTCGAAGGGCAGCATCTATTCAGTTCGCATCAGCCATCTGACTACTTGCACGTGTCCCAGCGCAACGGGCCTGTTCATGAAGAAAATCGGCGAGAGGCCCCAGTGCAAGCATGTCATCTATGTCCTGCACCACGTATTGAAGGCGCCAGAGCACCTCAAATACCAAAAGGCTTTCCTCTCCTCCGAGCTGAAGGAACTCTTCGCAGCAGCACCCCCGCTTCCTGCACAAGTTGCTAAAGCCGAACCAAAGGACGGAAAGCGTAAAGCCGTCGAGGGCGACTGTCCCGTCTGCTTCACTGAGTTTGGGGAAGAGTCTGTGACGTGGTGCCGTACCAGCTGTGGCAACAACATTCACACAGTGAGTTCTAAATCGCCGACAACGCTCTACTCACTGCAATGGCTCACGCTTTCTAGGAATGCCTGCAGGAATGGGCCAAGGCGAAGACAGCACGTTTGTCATGTCCGTTTTGTCGCGCGGATTGGGAATTTGCCGATAAGGATCAGGTGAGCGACCTTTCAATACTGTCTCTTTGCTGCTCAGCGACACCGCTGACCTCGCGGTTGTTCGCGTTACAGGCCATCATCACGGAAGTCGAGATGCCAACAACTACCGATAAGGGCGGCTACCTGAACGTGTATGACCAGCTGAGCTACAAGTGATGATGCCATGAGAAGGCTTTCGGCCGTGTAGAAGGGATCAAAGTTTGACGGGCTCTGTATGAGCAGCATGGTGAGCAGCTGAGATACGACTGTCGGGCAATATGTGCACAGCCCATTGACATTGACATGATTCCATGAGTTTTCATGTCACCATTACAGGCAACAATCATGAATGCATATCGTATCGTTTGCATTGCTCTCCGTTCATGTTTGTTTCGGTGAGCGGGTACGTGCATTCTACCCATGTCCGATCCACCAAAGCAGTGGCAATGGCGAGAAGCATCATCCTGCTAACTACACATCACACCGATGGCTGGTACGAAGCTGTCGGTTCATCATACAACTTGTCCTTCTTTGCCCTCCTCGCCATGGCCAAGCTGTATGCTATCCAGACGTCGCCTGGCAAAGGCAGAGGCGTCTTCGCGACGAAAGCCATTTCCGTCGGGACCGCCATCATGAAAGACCGCATAGCCATGAAGATCCAGAAAGAAGGCCCAGCTATTCAGGAGGCAGAGGTGTTGCAACTCTTCAACAAGCTCACCAAAGCGGACCAAGCACGCTTTCTAGACCTCCATGATGGTAAACGCCAGTACAACAAGATCTTTCGGATTTGGAAGGGTACGTATTCGATCCATGTTATGATTCATCCAGTTGCTGAACATGTCCCAATGCAGGAAACGTCTTTGGAGGCCATGGATATACCGCGTTGTATTTCGAAGTCTCCTTGATCAATCATGCCTGTGTGCCGAACGCAGCATTCGGATCGGAATCTGATCCCGCGACTGTCGTTGCGCTGAAGCCTATTGCCAGTGGAGAGGAGATCTTCATCACGTACAACTCCATGTTTGACCGTCTGAGCAAGCGTCATCGGGCGAATATCCTCCGCCTGTACGCTGAGTCCCAATCTGAAAAGCATAGAGATTTCTCGAAGCCTCTTCGCAGCTCCTCTTTGATAGACCCATGTGCTGACCTTGCTTCCTTCGCACCAGATACTACGGCTTCGAATGTTCCTGCTCTGCGTGCTCGTTGCCCAAGTACCAGCAGGCACTAAGCGACTATAGGAGACAGCTCCTCAACGTGATGAAGGGTGCTCTCAATGGCTTTGAACCAATCATGACGACGTTCTTCGATCTTTACGGCAAAATGGATGGCAGGCAGGCGGAGGATCCAAGGGTATTGCGTGGTATGCCTCAACGACCTCTTGCGAAGCCGCTTTCGGCGGACCAGACGAATGCATATCCTCTCCTGGTGGCCGGCTTACTCGTCGCTGAAGGTCATTCGGAATTGGTCCTGGCAGATGCATATGCTGGCGCAGCCGAGACACTACTTCAACGCATGGAGGTTCTGGACGACGTCATCTCACTGCAAGCCGTGAAGGCGGTGGAAACGTGGATGCAGCTTGCTCTCAGCTTGATCGGTAAGCTGTGTGGTGCCAAGTCGCAGAGAATGCAAAACATCCAGCAAACCTGGAAGTACATGCTTGACACCGACCAGATGAGTGCAGCTCTCCTCTTTGTGAGTTGGCTTCGGGCCGGATCAACATCTAGACCTTGCTGACGAGATAATTCTAGCTTCGCAACGTTCCCGCGACCAAGAGAAAGGGCATCTTTGGGGCGCGGCTTGGGGATGTTGTGAACGGCGGCTTGCATATGTCCGTCCTGAGCGAGCCAGAGTATCGGGCAGCAGTCCGGCAGAAGCGCAGTCAGAGCCTTCTTGACTGAGTCCGCGTCAGGGAAATCCTGTTACGCTCGCACCAAAAATCTGCGGTGTGACACAGATGGAGTTGAAACTGTCTGATGAGCGGATTCACGTCATTCTGACCTTCTCAGATCATACATCAAAATCTATGCATCAATAGTCTCCTTGGTGTAGATCCTTTGTTGGGGTCCTCGATATTCCGTGATATTGATCGTGCCGGCTGATTGTAGGACCGACTTGAGGTCCGTCGATCGTCGACGTATTCGTGGCAAGTTTCTCCAGCTTGTAGATGAGATCATCGGCGAGAATTGGTACGGGAACGCTTGGAACACTCTTGGACCTGGTGCGTCCCAATGCAGCACCATCTCCTACCCCTGAAGAGCCTGCGTTGCCAATCACAGAAGGGCCTGCATCGGACTTGGATCTCTCTGGTCCAGTCTCCTTGGGCGGCGGCGTCGAAGGCCGGCTGACGCTTACTCCACCCCGCGGCTTACCAAACGACTTGAACATCTTGAAAAGGCCTGGCCGCCCTTTGTGCTTGACAGTCGCATGAATGACCGTCGGTTCTGGCGCGAAAGCGGTCTTTTCAACAAGTCGTTGAACGGCCGCAGCGTTGTTCTCTCGAGATTCACGACTGATGTTGTCCAATGCTTGCTGTATCGCAACGAGGTATTCCGGATAGTCCGGCGTGCAAATCTGTCGCAAGAGATTCAACTTTGACACGTCTTGCGAGATGATCGATCTGTCTTCGGAAAAGTGCCAGCCAAAGGCTCGGATATCCATCCTCATTGAGAGGTTGACGCGATCTTGCACTCCCATGAGCTCAATCAAGTAGTCCACCTTTTCTTGGGTTGCAGACACGAAGTTGGCGAACTTCTTGCAGTCTGCAATCATCCATGGCTGATGAACAATCGATCTCGTCCTTCTGGTATTGATGTGCGCAAAGGATTCGGCAACTTCGCGGAGTAACTCGTACTTTTCTCTGAACGACTCGAGCCGAGTCATGTCCAACGTGTTGGCGTACTGGGGTACAAATTTCTTGGGCGGCTTCAGTCCAAACTTGGCCATCATATCCTCGCGCGAATGTCCAGCCGAACGGTCTACAATAGTGCTCAAGGTGCTCTCGATTGTCGTCCGCAAGACTGGTTCGTCTAGCCTAGCGTCACGGGGATCGAAGAAGGTCGGCTCCTTGAGATCGGGGTATACCATTGAGGGATGCTTCGGGATAGCATGATTGGTGACGGAAGCTGGTGGAGAGGAGATTCCCAAACAAGAGCCCCAGATTAGCAGTCGGGCCTGCTGTAGGCCCAATCTGGTGAGCAAGAGCTGCTCTTCCTTGTCGAATCGATGCTGTGGGTGGATGAGGCCAAACGCTTCGACGCAGTTGCTGAAGAGACCGGCCAGGGCGATTGCGCCTGTGAGCTGGGCTTCATGCTCGGGGACTGGAGTGAATTCCAGGTGATCGGCGCTGATTTTGTCGCTCGACATGGTGGCTACTTTCGCATGCCGTGCGTGGGATTGGTGGAAAATGGAGTGAGGACGTGTGGTGAGAGTGATGGAGAGATCTATGGTCAGTCTTTCACCCGGGTGCGAGGGAAATGAGCAAGAGAAGGGCCGAGTGTGGTGCTGCTCGGATCACCATCATAATTGTGGTGGTGAGGGGCTTGTAGTGTGGTACCTCTCCGAGTGGCGTCTTTGGCCTACCTTAGAGTACTTAGCTGGATGAGAAGACTCTCCCGTGCGACAGGGCAGCATCAGCATCAGCATTAGCATTAGCATTAGCGGGGGCCTGGGAGTTGATCGCTGGAACTTCATTGATGCCGGTCGAGTCCTCGCTTGACGGAGCGAGGAGGACAAAGAGGGGACAGGGTTGGGATTGAGATGGCGGAGTCGGCGTTCAACGAAAATATCATCGCCGCGAGCTTCCTGCGCGCATCGTCTTCATCAGGATCATCACACTTGTTGGTGTAATTCATCGATCATGCCCGCCAGCTTCTTCGGAACGAATGAAGATGCAGAGAAGGGGTGCACGCCGGGAATAAAACGAAGCATTGCGGGCTGAAATGGAATGGAATGGAATGCTCGCTTGACGAATGCAGAAGCGAATGCGACATGCCGCGCGAGCTGTCTGGCATCAATCCCAGCTACGGATGGACGCATGCATGCATGCATGCAGACCCATGTCCAGGCAGWCATATCCCCATTCCGAGCATGCATCAAAAAAAGCGAGGTCCGAGGAAAGTAGAATATCTCGGACCATTTCTGAGTTCTCACGCAGCGATACTCGCCGTCCATCCATACAAAGTGGAATTGCACGTGAAGCCCAGGTAAGTCTACGGCCGCAAATCGGATCTTGCCTGCAAAACAGCCGAGGTGCAACTGATCGACGTACCACGTCCGCGTGAGAGAACAAATCGAGGTCGTCATCTAAACTAGGTATCTACTATATCTTTGTCCGTCTCGCTGGCGCGTGCCGTCTTGCTTTGCCTCCAAGACATCAACATCTTCCTCTTGCAACACCACACATCACATCATGGCCGAAACACCGCAATGGGTCAAGGCGCTTAAGCCAGCCGGCCCTCAAGGCACCGAGCTGCTCAGCCAGGAGCGTGCAAAGTCCAACGTCAACGTCGACCAATTGAGCACTTTCCTCTTCACAAAGGAGGCTCTCGAGCGTAAGAGCCGAGTGTTGAACATCCTCCAAGCAGAGAAGGTCTTCGACAAGAGCCAGGACTACTTCTTGGGACGGACGGACAAGTTCGAGCTCGCCCTGGCCCGAGCGAAGAAGTACCGACAGTTGGCTGTGCAGAACAAGTGGTCGGACGAGGAGAAGCGGGTCGCCAACGACCTCATCTCAGAGCCTTTGCCATATGCTCTGCACGAGGGCATGTACCTGGTGACTCTGCGGGATCAGGGAACGCCAGAGCAGCACAAGAAATACCTCGTCCCCGCGCAGAAGGATGAGAACATTGGCTGTTATGCTCAGACCGAGCTTGGTCACGGCTCCAATGTCCGAGGACTGGARACACTTGCCATCTGGAACCCCGACGACAAGACCTTCATCATCCACAGCCCAACACTGACGGCTTCAAAGTGGTGGATTGGATCACTTGGACGGACCGCAAATTACGCATGTGTGATGGCTCAGCTGATCATCAAGGGCAAGCCATATGGTCCTCACCCATTCGTCGTCCCGATCAGAGACTTGAAGACCCACCAGCTGCTGCCAAATGTCTACGCTGGAGACATTGGTCCAAAGTTCGGTTACAACACCATGGACAATGGATTCCTCTTGTTCAACAAGGTCAAGATCCCCCACGATGCCATGTTGGCCCGTTTCTCCGCAGTCGACCCAAACACAAGCAAGTACCTTCAGCCTAGCAGCCCGTCTTTGATCTACKGTACCCTCACCTGGGTGCGGAGTAACATTGTCCTCGCTTCCGGCAGCACTCTGGCTCGCGGTGTCACCATCGCGACCAGGTATCTTGCTGTGCGTCGGCAGTTCCAGGACCGTGATGCGCCTTCAACCCAGAAGGGTGAGAACCAAACGATCAACTACACAATGGTACAGATCCGAATCCTCCCCCTCCTTGCGGCTTGCTTCGCCATGCACYTTACCGGCAAGGGTATGATGGCTCTCTACGATGCCAACCAGAGGAAGATTCAATCCAACACAAGCAAGGCCGATCAGTCCACTCGCGAGCCAGGTCCAGAGGAGACTCAGTCCGGCTCTGACCTGCTTGCTGACTTGCACGGAACCTCTTGCGGTTTGAAGTCGCTGTGTTCGACCATCGCGGCTGAAGGTCTGGAGGTCTGCCGTCGTGCCATGGGTGGTCACGGATACAGCGCGTTCAGCGGTGTCGGCCACTGGTACGCAGATTACCTGCCCACCGTCACTTGGGAGGGCGACAACTTCATGTTGACACAGCAAGTTGCCCGCTACCTGCTCAAGGCAGCACGCACAGTCAAGAAGAACCACGATGCAAGCAACGACACCACCGAGATCTTGACCTACTTCCACAAGCGTCAAGACATTGGTTCCGCGTTTGACATTCTCGGCAAGGATGAGGACATTGTCTCTGCGTATGCTTGGAGATCCGCCTACCTCACCTTTGAGGCGCTTCGCCAGCGTGACGAACTCAAGCAGAGCTGGAACAGCCTCCTGCCTCAGTTCTACACTCTCTCGCGCGCCCACTCGCAGTACTTGGTGGTGAAGAACTTCTACGAGACTTTGCAATCACCATCAATTCACTCCGAGCTCGACCCAGAGACTCTGATGCTCATGCACAAGCTCTTCCGCCTCTATGCTCTCCACACCATTGAGCAGGAGCCTTCGGAGTTCTTCACATCTTCCGCCGTGACCGTTGCACAGATCAGACTTGCCCGCAACAAGGCTGTGATGCAGCTCCTTGAGGAGATTCGCCCACACGCCATCAGACTTGTGGATGCGTGGCAGTTCCCTGACTTCCAACTCAACTCCTCTCTGGGACGTTATGATGGCAAGGTGTACGAGGATATGTTCCACCGTGCCTCGGAGCTCAACCCCCTCAACAAGAAGATTATCGATCCTTACCCTAACAGCCCGGTGTTATTCAAGGGAGAGAACCCGAGAGTCAAGCTTTGAGGGTTTCGCGAGGGAAAGCTTTCTGCAAAGGTCTTGCTATAGCAATTGAAGTGTATTAAATACAAGATTTACATGTGCTTTTTCATTCTCCTCCCTTTACTGTTCTCACTGTCGCATGCTGAGCTATCCTTGTTCGAGAATATCGGGAGCAGCGACTTCTCTTGCGTATCCTTTCTGATATACGCAACCTCATTACGTCTGTTCGGGCTGTGATTTGGTAGTCAGAGGGATGCTTGTCCTGCAATGCCCTTGTCGGTCTACTCTCCTGTCAAATCTACTTGATGTCGATCAACAAGTGAGCCATCTATTGAAGTGTTTGAGCAGGTGGATAATGAGTACAAGTTAGCTCGCGCGTGAATGGCAATGACAGACCGATCAAAGCTCTATGGATGTCCTGTAGGGCGTCCGTGAAGGCATGCTGGGGCAAAGGGAGTGCAGGCAGTAAGCCATATGTGTCAGTGCTGCCGCTCACCATTTCACTATTGGACTATCTACATCTGAAGTTGTCACTGTGGTTGTTCCTAGGTGGTCATTTTCACCAAAGTCCCGTCTAGTGCCCTGACGAATACCATACTCGCATATTGGCTCCCAATACTTGATCATTAATACCTTTTAAAC